AGGGCGTCGCGGTCCCCACTCGAATCATGACCAGGTCACATTTGGCCCTGGCGCGCGTGCAGTTCATGCATGCCTGGTACCTGCCCCGCTCGCAGACCAGCTGGGACTTGATGCAACGACCACAAGGGGGCCTTTCCCTTGCAGCCTGTGGTGGGTCGACTGAGGCCTTGCGCTAAAAAACAAAAACAAAAAAAATACTTGTGTTAGACTCAGGGGTCTCTTGGCAGTAAGTGATTAAAGAAGCTGGCTACTCACCTTGCCTTTGGACGACCCAGCCGCCCGCGCCTGTTGACGCTTCGCCTCTGCCTCCCACTCCCTGGCTTCCTCTTCCTCACGCTTTTTCTTTTCTTCGGCCGCCCACCTAGCTGCCTCGGCCGCTTTCTTGGCCGCCTTGCGCCTCACCCGTTCGTTGAGCTTAGCCTGCATCATGGCAGGCTCGTCATCCGTCGCCTCTTGGATATCCTCTTCCTCCCAGGACGCGATGTTGAGGAGGTCAAGATGTTTGGACATGGAGGGCAGGGTATTGAGTAGAACTGTTGAGTAATGACTGGACTTAGTCAAATTGATGGAGCGAATGTTTGATTTCACACGTGGATTCAAATTCGGAATTGGCCGAACGATTCCCACGTGCACCAATTGGGCCTCCAGGGGCGTCGGCCCTAAGAAGGGGATACTGTCACGACCCGACATATCCGTCACTTCCCTCTATGCGCCCTAGTGCCACTTGGTCCGTCCCTCCCACTATCATCATCATCCGTCCACCCATCCGTCCACCCATCACCCTCATCTGCACTTCCTCCCTCGTGCGTGTACCTACCAACCTAGGTTGCCCGCTTCATTGTTGTCCGCCCCCAGCCGGACGGCTTGCTAGACGGCTGGATGGCCTTTTCTCTTTTGTCCGCTTACGGACTATTGTTCCTCCTATTGTTCCTTGCTTGCCTTTTGTTGACCAAGTTTGCCGATATTGATTATTTGTTCCTTTCTTCATTCATTAATATCGCGCTTGATCCGCCACTCCTTCCGGGCCGGTCTCATTTAGTTGCTTGTGTTTATAACGCGTGTAGGTTACACCGGATGTACCTCAGTTCGTATATCGACTTGGATTCCCCCTCTAAACTCTTATCCTCATCGTAAGGCTTCTGTCTGAAATTGGGACACCAACATAAGAACGAAGCGCAGCGCTCCACCCGAGTCGCTGAAGCTAAAGTCCCGCCCCTCCAACCTTACGAGCCCGGACGACCTCGCGCGCCTCGCGGGTCACCCGGATACGCTTCTGACACGTTCCTGACAGGCTGGTGCCCTTTGGCTGATTCCTTTTTTCATCACATGCTTGATTCATACATCTATGTCCCCATCACATGAATGTTCCATGCACTTGACGTGCTCGCATTCGTGCCTAAGTTACCAGTTCTGTCATCAATGATCTCCTAGGGCATCCACTTGCGGGGGGTTTGGTCTTTTTGGAAAGCGAGAGAAAGATTTCAAACGCCCCTACTGTTAGAACGGGCGGAAACGGACGACTCCGGAGTGGAATCGGAGACTTAGCGTGGAGGGACCTTGGCCTCAGCGACTCAAGCGGAGCGCTGTGCCATTGCTGTTTGTCCATTTGGTCCTTAATTTCACAGTAGGTGAGCAGGAAGTCTCTAGGGGGCATTTCAGGTCGATTTCGGACTAAACCAAAATGAGTATGTACAAGCGCCGATATATATAATGGAAGGGGCAAAAGCACAAAGAGAACAAAGGGTGACCGAATCGGAACGAAGACGTCCGAACGGGAACAAAGGGTAGAGGGAGCGGAGCGGTACCGAAGGTCATAGGGCAAGACCTGTGATACGTCTGAAAGGAGGTAGAGAGGGCGAGGCCCAGAGGGGCAGGAGGATGATGTCATATCCCGGAATCCCGACCCCGCACACTCCCACCACATCACACCTTCCTAACAACTTCACCATCCCCTACACCATGCCTCCCCACTCTCCAAATCACCTTCCCTCCTGGCTGTCTCAGCTCCGGTCGGGTTGCGACACACCGAACCTTGGCTACTCCCATCCCGGAACCTCGGTCCCGAGTCGGAACATTCGGAGACCCCGGATTTGCTCCGATATCCTGACGGACCTCCGACATCCCGTGACATGCCCTTAAACCATTCCCTCGCCCACTTCATTTATTGTAGTCACCCAACATCCTTCGGACACGCAACTCCGCTTTCGGAACTAACCGTATCCTTCGGTGATCTCCTTCACGCTATCACTTATTAGTCATCTTCCATTCTTAGCACGACTACCATTCAGTCGGCTAACCCCCCTTCCCCATTTGTCTTCCTCATTCATTTTCCGGCCTCCAACTCTGCCCTCCTTGGCCCGACACCTCGGTTCCCCGTTTTAGATATCGTTCGGAACCATTCGGTACCTCTCGGTATCATTCGGTACCTTTCAGTGTTTTCCCCGTTTTGTCATTTCGGGCTTTGACTAAAGTCCTCCCCATCCACTTTTATAAATACACGTAGATTAGAACCTGTAGTTCCTCAGTTCTAATCTCGACTAAAATGCCACCCAAAGTCCCTCTGAGTGATTCCTGTCTCTGTTCTACAAGACACCTCAGACATAAGAAATACAAGGACTAACAGAGACGTAACGGAGGCACAGCGCTCCCTCCGAGTCGCTGAGGCCGCATCCTTCTTAGAGCCTCTTGTACCATCCAGCAGAACCGGGCTCCCTGAGGGGCTTCGGTTCATCACCGGAGCCCTCGGACCCCCCTCTAGTTGAGCCCCCGCCTGCATTCGGACTCACGCATTCACCCCTTCTTCCATAACCGACGGGTTTTTGACAGATGAGGGGAAGTGGGGATGATGACTAACTGGCTAGAATAGAAAGAAGCAGTAGTCCAAATAGGGATGAAGGGAAAACGCGAGAAATACATTACAGGCGGCAAGAGTGCCGAAGGCGGTCCGCGAAGCTCGGGGGTTGCGGAGCTTACGGAGGTTACGGAGGCGGGGTTGGAAGTCCGAGGAATATTGGCAATGGTGTTTACGTAGTATGAGGTCACCAATGCAATGGACTAAGACCGAGGTGGAGTCAAAGTCCGAGGTGGGGACTATGATGGAGGCTCGGAGTAAGGTACAAGCGGTGTCCAAGTGCGAAGTACGGAACAGCGGTGGAAGGTCGTAACTTGGTGGAAGGGTGGCGGAGGAGTAACGGAGGGAGGAGAGAGGGGACAGGTAAGGGGAGAAGGAGTGGCGGAAAGGAGAGTAGTCAGGTCCGAAGGTGAGTATCGGAGCGGACGGGGGAAGCGTAGGAGGATAACGGGAGGGTGGAGGTGTTGTGAAGGGGGAGCGGAGTAGTAGGAGGGTGGCGAGAGGGGCGGTGTTCGGTCCGAGATGAGTATCGGAGCGGACAGAGATAGGGTCGGGGAGGTAAGGAGGAGGTGTGTTGCCAGGACCGAAGGTGAGTATCGGAACGGCAGCGGTAGGTTATGACTCCGGAGGTGAAGAGGGTGGAGGTCCGGAAGTCGGGTCGGGGTCGTGGTATGCACGGATATGACACCTACACACTGTAACCGTTCTTGGTGTTTCTGGACAGCAGAGGGTTCTACGGACTCGCTGCTATGACAGAGACACCATTTGGTCCCTCCCACTCTATTCACTCATTCATCGCTTTCTTTCTTCAATGGACAGAGATTATGTCTTATATCCGAGTCGCTCACTTATCTCACAATTGATCTAATCGGGCTTTGGAATTGGTCTTTGAGCCTCGGAAACTTCAAGCCTGTAACCATAATCGCTTTGTAACATCCTCCTTTCTCAATCTTTTCTGATGGTGATGGCCATTGAGAACCCAGCCCTTCATTCTGAAGTTCGACGTCAAACGGCCAGAAATCATACTGCTCTTTCCACCAGATCAACATACATACTTTTGTCCCCTATGTGTGACCACTTTCGATGGCGATCCACCCTGTGTGGACGGTGTGGGGCTCTACTTTTGTAATCCAAAAGTGTGGGTTGGTGTTGCCGTCGTGGCACCAAATGTCTTCCATGCCTTCCACCATTACCGCACCTCGCCCACCAACACGGGAAGGCGTCCCGAGCATTGAATACATAGTGCACAAGCTGTATCTGGAGAATTTCATTCCTTTCAAGGTACGACACTCCTCTTTCACACTCTGACCTCATTCGGGGTAGGTCCTTACTTGTTGTGTATCACCAGATGCACATACCATTGAATTTTCCCAAGTCAAAGATCGGGTCATCCCATCAATTGGTTTGTATTGCTATTTCACTGAGAAAAGTGATTCCACGATAAAATCGTGTCTGCCATACAACAAAGGTTTTACCATAAAACGCGATTTTTTCCTGGTCCCGTACATGTGATGAGTCCCGCTTTTTTCGTGGATTTGACCAGAATCCTGTCATAAAATCTTGTTTTGCAAGAGGATTTAATCAGTTTCTCCTGTGAAAACTCACGATAATATTCTCAATATGGCTGGGACTAATCCTGCTTCATTCTGGGACTTAATCAGGTATCTGCAGGGACACTATCTGATTGAAGTATGACATTACAGTTGAAGGAGAATTTGAGATGTGAAAGAAGGCATGAAAGCCCAGCAAGCATGACGTTATATTACACACAAAGGAGAACTTGTGATGTGAAAGAAAGCAACAGGGAAATGAATGAAGCGAGGGCCAGGAAACTGATGAATTGGCACAGTGGTGGCGACGGACAAGAGAAGCTGGGGTGCCAGTGGAGGCTGCAACGTAAAGCATGGTGTTCATTAGCCTAACAAGATCCGGAGTAAGTAGAGGTCGGGGGTGATGGGGGTCAATGAACAATTCTCATTAGCTCTATTCTGAATGGAACTCCTTAGGCTCGCGCGCCTACTTCTGGTCAGCTTGTTAGCTCCTTTCTGGCCTGAGATTATCAGACTCGCACGTCTAATTTGTCCTTCTGAATCACAGGGGTAAGGAGTGCCTAGAAATTATTTATGAACAATGGATCAAGAGTGAGACGCTAAGTACCTTTTCCCGGTTTAGTACAAGTGCGGTTCCCATCTGATCCACCATGCAGCTCTCGCGAGCGTTTGCTACTGGATCCCAGTTCACACTCCTCATCCAGTGGGGCTGTCTTCCTGGGAAGGGCACGGGCTATTCCAAATGAGTGAGATGAATGAGCGGGAGAGAAAGTGACGTATGTTTTGGTCGTGACACTTTCGTGAATATCAGTGCACTATACCAGGATGCTCACAAAGACAAATTTAAAGACACACCTTTGCCCCACAATGCTTCGTTTGTGGCAGACATGAAACCACCCTCGATCTCAGCTCCACTTGTGGGATTGTCGCTATCGTTGTCGTTGTCATAATAACTTGCATGAGGATGACCTATCCGCCCCAGTGAAGCCGAAATTAATTATATCAACAAATCATACGCTTAGGAGAATGGTCCATGCCTGTATGATCTTAGAAATTGCGACTAAATAACAAATAAATGAGCTCCACTTACCTTCATTGTTGACAATATCATGGGCGTTCTTACTGTTCAGGTGCAGACACAAGTGAAGCCCTGTTGGCTCTAAATAGAAGGTTCAGCACAGGACTCTTGAGGACACTGTTGGTTTATCAGCCACTTACCTTTGATTGGATGATCAACTTTAGCGCTGTGTTTCATCATATGGGCAGAGGATTGCTTCGTACTTTCCGTCCCTAGATAATGTAGAAAGGTAAGAGCCAAGTACCAATGGGAAATACTGATGATTAATATCCTTACCTTTCCTACGTGTCTGAGGAGTTCCCCCCCAGCGGCCACTGTCATCTGATTCGTTACAATCCTCGTCTGTCCCAGTAGGTTCTTCGTTCAATCCGCTGCGATCTTCGTCCGATTCACGGTCTGCATCTGATCCACCACAATCCTTGTCCAATTCAGTGTGGTCTTCATCTGCTTCATTGGTCGACCTTGAGATCCGCTTGACACTTCCACCCACATGGACTGAAATAGAGCATCAACGGTTGTGTGGCAGGTGGGGAGATTGTATCACCTTTTCTTTGCTTGCTTCGTTGAATGCCTGTCTTGCAGTTTCCTATCACTGTCCTGATGAGTTCCTGAATAGGCCATGCCCCTTCATAGTCTGACTTAATCCATGGATGTTCTGCGATGACCTGCATGGTGCGAAAAATCAGAGTGTAAGTGATATGTAATACAATTTTAATATGCTCACATCGTTTTGAATCTGCCAAAGCACCTTGTAGTCAAGTTTTTGGAGTTGAACCATGCCATTATGGAATGCCTTCCCCAGATGCGTCTGCAGAGCAGATCGAACAGATTCCTGGTATCATTCCCAAGCTGCAGCATCTCGTAAGAATAAAGGCTTCTTTACTCACTCATACTAGAGTCATTTCATGCTTCTCAATGCCCATTGCCTCAGCTAGGTGGAACCCACCCTTGACACGATCCGGGCAACCCCTTGGCTGCGCTATTTTCTTGTGGACACATTTCCGAGATGCTAAGGGGACGACAACACATCAGATCAGCCCATATGACAAGGATGCTTCATCCTACACGTGGTGCTACCCTTCTGAAGACCTGGATGACGTGATAACAACAAAAGTGATTAGCGCGTTTGGGGGTGAAAACTCACCTTCCATCTCCCTATCAAGTCAATCTCTTTCGCACTGAAGAGAGGAGAGCATGCATTTTGAAGTTTGGACATGAGGCATGGGAGTGGGGTGAGTGATTGAAAAGGGATCACGGTACGAAACTAAGTTGAATCGACTCTCGCCCCAAATAGAATCAAACAATCCAACACAACGCATCCAAAGCGCCCTCTGCCCACTGGGGTACACTGCTGCAACAGATCTCATTACTGGGCCAATTCATTCCTTGTGAGAATATAAATACCCTCATCATCTTAGTTAAACATTCTGGTGCTCTCTGGCACCCTCTTGGGCATGGCTTTCTACAGTCGCCACACTGGCAGAACTGCAGCGATCTGGGCTCGGGATCCTGGGAATTCAGTTAGCACGGCTCGCAGGCATCGTGAAGTAGAAAGGTCACTCCTATTAGGCCGTCCGATTCCCCAGAGCTACTATAAGAGACGGAAACTTATTTCTGATCCTGTCCTGGAAGCAACACCAGACACCGTGGGAAATTTGCTGCAAGAAAGTGCAGTTGAATGTGAGCGTGGGGCCTCAGAGACCGACCAGATACCCTGTGATGATGATTACAACTTTGTGTGAGTTTTCGCTCTGGGATTAAACAATGGCTTTACATTGTTGTTTGCTACCAGTAATCAACAAAGCGACAATCAGAATGATGCCAAACCATACAGTGATGATGGGTCGGAAGACTTTGCAGGTTCCAGCTGAACATCTCTAGACGAATGGATGGAAGCTGTTGAGAGATATATGTAAGGCAGATGCAACTTTGCGGCGATATAACCAATTTTGTGTGCCCTATTCCCTTGAATTTTTATTGCCCGTCAAACCTGCCAATGTCCAGATAACCAACCCCTCTCAGACTTGGACTACAAGAACCTCAAGATGTTCGATGTTCTGATCCGCAGCAACATGTCCAGCTCAACATACAACATCATTCGGTCACACTTCAAAGAACTTCAACTGAAATCACTGTATCAACTTCACTCAAACATGTCAAGGCTCTCTCACGTCATAGAGTACTCATATGACTGTTGCATCAACAGTTGTTGCTGTTTTTCATCTGAACTTTCCAACCTTGATGCTTGTCCACACTGCAGTCAACCATGCTTCAGACCAAATACCCGTGTTCCCCTCAACACTTTCCATTATCTCCCAATAGGGCCTCGCCTCAAGGCCCTTTATCTGAACCGACACTTTGCTAAACTACTAAAGTATTGCGGGACTCTGGACCTGGGCATGGCAACTATTGACAATGTCTTTCACGGGGCTCACTATCTTGGTCTACTGCGACAACAGGTCAAAATAGATGGGCAGCAACACCAGCACCGCTTCTTCAGTGACCATCACGATGTTGCCCTGGGCATCATGACGGATGGATTTCAGGTATTCAAGCGCCAGCATGATGGCAGCACAACTTGCTGGCCTATCATTGCAATCAACTTCAATTTGCCACCTGAGGAACAAACCAAGCTTTCAAATATCCTTCCACTGGCAATAATTCCAGGACCAAAGGCACCGAAAGACTTTAATTCCTTCCTACAGCCACTTGTTGATGACTGCAAGCAACTGGCACAAGGAGAGTGGGCATTGGACATAGCTTCAAATGAAACTTTCAAACTGCGTGCCTACCCAATTTCTTGCCATGGTGATATGATTGCTATGAAGCACTTAATGAACTTTAAGGGCCCTAATGGCATCTTTCCTTGTCCGGTTTGCCGCATCAAGGGTACTAGGAACCTTGACGGTGCAACAACTCACTATGTTCCTGTCAGGGGACGGACCCTGGGTCCCCATGACCCCTCTCTCTATGGCCCACAGCCCAACCTGTAACAGCCTAGTCTCAAGGCCAAGAGCTACTGTGGGTAAGAAAGTGAGAAGAAGGTTAACTTCTCACTTTCCCACAGTGGCCCAATATGGCGAAAACTTCCGGGGATACCCGGAAGTCACATGAAGAGTGGGAACCAGGCCCAGAGCATGTGGCACATGGAGCATGCGGGGCAGAGCGCACAAGCGGGTGCAGGTCCAGGTCCGGGCTAGTCAGGGTGTGTGCCCTGACAGTTCCTCATGCGCCTCCTCATGACCAGCCCCGAGTCTGCAATACATACTGGGATACTTCGGGTGGCTTGCTTTGTTCTGAGTCTGACTACTGGCACACCCTCTCAGAAATCGCTTCCCTTCAAGGTGGTTCCTGTCAGGGCACACCTGCCTGACCCGGTTCCACCCGGGCCCACCTGGGCCCACCTCACCCGCTCACCCGCTCACCCGCTCACCCGCTCCCCGCTACCCATCCTTCCTCCCTCTTCCCCTTTCCTCCCTCTTCCCCTTTCCTCCCTCTTCCCCTTTCCTCCCTCTTCCCCTTTCCTCCCTCTTCCCCTTTCCTCCCTCTTCCCCTTTCCTCCCTCTTCCCCTTTCCTCCCTCTTCCCCTTTCCTCCCTCTTCCCCTTTCCTCCCTCTTCCCCTTTCCTCCCTCTTCCCCTTTCCTCCCTCTTCCCCTTTCCTCCCTCTTCCCCTTTCCTCCCTCTTCCCCTTTCTTCCCTCTTTCCTCTCTCTCCTTTATTTCACTCTCCCTTTCTGTTTATTCTTTCTATTTACACGGACCACCTTCCCTTGTATCATTGTACTGTTGACCCGTCCGGCTTGGACACCCCGGGCAACTTCCCACTACGCCCAGCATGCGCGGACGCCCTCGGGATCCCCCACGGGGATACCCAGATGGCTGCGGCCCTCTCCGTAGATGACGTGGCACCCATCATGTGACCCAAGCCGCATGTACATAAATGTACCTGAAGTGGGAACTGAAGAAGTAACCTTCTTCTCACGTTTTCCACTTCAGGTAAGTAGTGTAGTTCTTCCTTTTAATAACAATTCACGTTTTCCACTTCAGTCTAAGTGGCCAGGGACTACAGTCCCAGATCGGGCCCGTCAGTACGCGCGCCCGCTTCGTCCCCCGAGAGGGTCCCCCTGCCGGGCGCTACAGCCGGGCCCCCTCCACCCCGGACGCGTCCCTGACAGTTCCAGAGGCTCGAAATCGAAGCTTTCCCATATTCAACAACAGTCCGGTATCAATGGGAACTGCGTACTAACTGAGCTCCCATCTATTTCGATATCTTCCTCTTTCCCCCGTGACTGGATGCACCTGTGCTTAGAAAATCACTCAAAAAACTTAGTCACACTATGGCAAGGAAAATATAAAGGGTTGGACGAAGGAAGTGAAAGCTATTGTATCCCGGACAATGTCTGGGAAATAATTGGAAAAGAAACAGCTCTGGCTGGCAATACAATACCTTCGTCTTTTGGATGCCATACCCCCAACATCTGGAGTGAAAAACACCTTTTTACAGCTGAAGATTGGGCTTTCTGGATGGTCCACATCGCGCCGTATGTCCTCAGAAACCACTTCAACTGTCCCAAGTACTACAAACATTTCATGAAATTTAACTCAATCCTTAAACGTGTCAGGGTTCAGCACCCTGCCTTAGGGTGCCCCGGACTCCCCACCTACTTTACCCCCTTTTATTCTTTGACTGTTGCCTTGTTGTTGCCTTTGTGTGTTGTGTACATGCGTGCACGGGATAGCGTGGGAACTTTCTGAGCGAGCAGCTCGCCCAGAATGTTCCCACGGGTCACAGCCACAGTTCTGGGTGAGCAACTCGCCCAGAACGTTCCCACGCTTACTGGGCACTGCCACCTGGATGTTCCCTCCGGGTCACACTACACAACTCTAGGAGCTGTATAGTTGTGGGCATGTGACCCATTCCTTTATATAGCAACCATGCGGGGAGATGAGACCTTTACCCTTCTTCTCATCTCATGCCCCGCATAGGCAAGTGTATATTATCTTTCCTTTTAACCGCATAGTGTGAGGACAGGCCAGATGGGGGTTGAGGTCAGGGAGCCTCCGAGTCCGAGGCCAGGCCCTGACAAAACACACGATCCAATATTCTTTCACGGAGCAAGATCTGGATGAGCTTGAGCAGGACATTGTTGAGTATGTGAAAGAATATGAAATGTCAGTTCTCTCATTGTTTAAGTTGCATGCGTGACATATTTGCTTTTCCAGTATTTACTACCAGTTCTCCGCACAACGACTGTCTACCTGCCCCCTCATGCTGCATGTGCTTCTTCATATCCCATATGACATCCGAAACAATGGGCCACCATGTAACAATTGGACCTTTATCATGGAGCGGTGGTGTGGCTCACTTTTACCTGCCATCAAGTCTCGAAAGGAGCCGTTCACATGCCTTGCACTAAGACAGTACCAGAAAGTGCAGTTATTCGAGGTTGTCAATCGGTACAACTTAGTTGAGCTGATGCCACAAAGGCGGGATATGGATGTCCCTTCACGGTACGAGCAACTGTTTAAAAAGTCCGCTTGTGAGTCCTTCCCTTGTTCCAGTTATTTCAGCTAACTCCATTTATGCAGATCTAATATCTTTTTTACGCAAACCTGTCGTCCAGCAATATATCCCTGACCTATCTATTCGAAAAAAGATCGCCAAGCATTTGACAACATCTTTCGGTGGCTCGATCGGGTCCTGGCTGGATATCCTGCTACCAACAATGCCATGTTGGGCGAAAGTTCACATCGGAAATGGAGGCGATCTTATTCGAGGGGCCGTTGGGCAGATGACTGGCCAGCGGGCCTTCTGTGATGCTTCCTTTGTTCGTGTATGTGATCATATCTTTGTCTGCACATCCAAACTGCTATTGAACTTCTCTGTTTATGATAGTATGAATTGCATGCTGATGCAAATGCGCACCGTCCACGAGCTAAAGAGAAGTTTGTTCGTACTGTCTACTATGGGTGTCTCAAATATATCCTACAGTGCACCATCCCACCAAATCCCATATCCAAAAATACCGAACCTGAAATTGTTCTTCTTGCTGTTGTGACCACTTGTGGTACACAGGGACGCGATGCCACCCTAGAGCTGACGTATTTCAAGGCCGTCACATCGTACATTGAAATCGTCGACCTGGCCTCCATTTGCGCAGTGGTTGGTCGCATCCGAATCAGTGTGGTAGATCCTGTTAGAGCGGGCGGAAACAGACAACTCCGGAGTGGAATCGGAGACTTAGCGTGGAGGGACCTTGGCCTCAGCGACTCAAGCGGAGCGCTGTGCCATTGCTGTTTGTCCATTTGGTCCTTAATTTCACAGTAGGTGAGCAGGAAGTCTCTTGGGGGCATTTCAGGTCGATTTCGGACTAAACCAAAACGAGTATGTACAAGCGCCGATATATATAATGGAAGGGGCAAAAGCACAAGGAGAACAAAGGGTAACCGAATCGGAACGAAGACGTCCGAACGGGAACAAAGGGTAGAAGAAGCGGAGCGGTACCGAAGGTCATAAGGCAGGACCTGTGATACATCCGAAAGGAGGTAGGGAGGGCGAGGCCCAGAGGGGCAGGAGGATGAGGGGAAGTGGGGATGATGACTAACTGGCTAGAATAGAAAGAAGCAGTAGTCCAAATAGGGATGAGGGGAAAACGCGAGAAATACATTACAAGCGGCGAGAGTGCCGAAGGCGATCCGTGAAGCTCGGGGGTTGCGGAGCTTATGGAGGTTACGGAGGCGGGGTTGAAAGTCCGAGGGATATTGGCAATGGTGTTTACATAGTATGAGGTCACCAATGCAATGGACTAAGACCGAGGTGGAGTCAAAGTCCGAGGTAGGGACTATGACGGAGGCTCGGAGCAAGGTACGAGCGGTGTCCGAGTGCGAAGTACGGGACAGCGGTGGAAGGTCGTAACTTGGCGGAAGGGTGGCGGAGGAGTAGGAGAGGGAGGAAAGGTAAGGGAGAAGGAGTGGCGGAAAGGAGGGTAGTCAGGTCCGAAGGTGAGTATCGGAGCGGACAGGGGAAGCGTAGGAGGATGACGGGAGGGTGGAGGTGTTGTGAAGGGGGAGCGGAGTAGTAGGAGGGTGGCGAGAGGGGCGGTGTTCGGTCCGAGATGAGTATCGGAGCGGACGGAGATAGGGTCGGAGAGGTAAGGAGGAGGTGTGTTGCCAGGACCGAGGGTGAGTATCGGAACGGCAGCGGTAGGTTATGACTCCGGAGGTGAAGAGGGTGGAGGTCCGGAAGTCGGGTCGGGGTCGGGTATGCACGGATATGACAGATCCTCAATGGGCGATTGTTGACTGCAGCGGTTCCTGGGCTCGCACCGTATTCACAGACGACTCGCTAGCTGCAGGTGTAGATGTATCCCAGCGAAGTGAACTCTGATGGAAAATGAACTCGGATCAGCGCTGCTGCAACCCCACATGCGCGCTATGTGCAAGCCAGCAAAGACTCTTTTTTCTGTATTATTCCCCTTATAATTGCGTTTGTCCTGGCCCTCGCAACCTTGGGACCAATGTGCTTAGATACTGAATGAAGTCTTATTTCGCTCCTAGTAACTTGAGTCTACACAAGATAAAATCGTGCTCTATTCAGCCTCCAGCGAAGCCGTGGCGACGGTCTGTGGAATGACATGATTAAAATCGTGCTCGGTGCAACCTCTGCTAAACCGAAGGTGAGAGTCCCTGGAACGACACAATGGTTGAAAAAATCCTGCCTCCAATAATCCTACAGTGGTGCGGGATTTTCCACGAAATCCTGTTGCGTTACACGGTTTTATCGTGGAATCACTTTTCTCAGTGATTTACTGTCCACTGAACAACTCATTCACCCCGCGTTCTCAGCCCCTTCCCTACCTCGCCTGCTTACGCCTCCCGAGATGACCAAGGAAAATGAGAATGTCTGAAACCATCAGTCGCTGTAAATGATTCCCTCCAACTGATGCCAAGGGGTTGTCCTTGACTGAGAATCGCTGTAGTGTACTGTCTGTAATACCATTTAAAATGAGAATCGAAATTGATTGTGTCTTGAATGCCTGGCCTACAAGCATCTCATGCAGCACCCTTCCTGAAATTAAAAATGCAAATGTCATCCGGGCCCTTTGGCTGACTCTTCGCTTTTCACTGATACCGCCCAATTTGTCACTTCCGTTGGTCAAAATTCCCAACCTTCAATTGATGTATAGTACGGTATTGTAATGCTCGCATTTTTAGTTTGCTTATCAGGTTCGCAACCAGCCGAAGGCAGTTCAACTAGTAATAGTAATAATCAGGCATAGTGCAGTCGCCGACCCGTGAGAATCTGCAAGCCAACTTTGCTGATGTTCCTTGTTGAAAATACATAGCGCATATAGCGCAATCTAATCAGGGCTAACAACTGCTGGTAGTGGGCAACGGCCACAAAGGGCCCATGTGAAATTTGCCGCATGCGCGCGACGCGTGACCCGCGTTCTCGTACATACAAAGGAAGAGCAGGAAAATTACTAGAACTGATGACAGCCACAACTGAAAGCGCTAACAACTAAAACAAAAACAGCAAACAGAAGCTAATGTACAGAGGTGAAATACAATGAAGAGAAAGTGAACTACAATGAAGAGAAAGAGTAACAGACGATGTGAAAAAATTCGAAAAGAAGAGATGGAGGAGTATCGGGGAGGAGGAGGGAGACAAGAAAATATAAGCTAGGGGCTGGAGCAGATGGGAATGTAGTCGAGAATCGCGGTATTGGCAGCAGCAAATCCGGGATAGAGTAATATGCAGGTGGCAGCAGCGGCAGCGGGTCAAAAGCGTGAGCCCGGAAAGGCAAGCGGCAAATTGGATCTCACTCACCAGGGGAGCGCGAGATACCAGGCGATAGGGAGAGGGGAAAAGGGATCCGTCAGGGCCCCTTTATAGGCACGACCTAGGTAGTATGAAACCTAAGGTAGTATGAAACCTCTCCTCAACAGCGAAAATTCAGTACGTACCTCCACTGAATGGTCCGCTTCGCGCATCTGCGCCGAAAACATTCAGCGTACGACTGAGGCAGCGTGATTTGACCCGTTCAGGCTAAGTTGCGCGATAAATCATGGGAAAACCACGATCAGTGAGAGAAGGCATGTGAATGCCAAAGCGGTCGCGACTGGGCGCAGTCAGGTTTCCCAGCCAGTGGCAAACAAGGGCGGAAACCTGAGGTCAGCTGGGGGCAGACTGCTAACCCGTGATTAGTCTCGTGAAATGAAGACATTGAACAACAATAAGTAAATAACTTACAGGTGGGTTCTGCCGCATCAGGCAGCATCCACCAGTTATTACAGGAGGGCAGAGAGTTGACAAGGTAACATTGTGATGATGGGAATTCCCGGTGCATTTTCGAGTTCACAGCACAAATCCATTCTGCAGCTACAACAACTTGACAGATATTCCACTAGTAGATATATGCCATACATACAGTACTCTCACTCAGCAAAATGATAATTCCTTTTGAGGGGCGTAGCAGGAGGTATGATCGACTTTTGCTTAGGTGTCCCACTTCTGGGTTAGCAACAGTATGGACTTAAGATGGACAGTAGGTGTCAATCTTGTAAAGTATCACACCGGCTTCAAATTCTGGGTCAATAACTGTTCGGTTCGCAAAATTAGCGTTCAGTCATCTCACGGAAAAGAAAAGGGCAAGAGAATAGAGAAAAACTCGCCTCCGGGTTCCAGTGTTACAGTGATGGTGACTGCGTCGGCAGGTAAAACAAAATCTCCTTTGCTCATTTGACTGTCCAGGCAGGTTTGGTAGTCATTGGGAGCGATACCACACCAAAGGTTGCGATCGACGGCATATGCGTCTGTGTCGCCAACGACGTATCCATTTATCGAGATTTTATACTGCACAAGTGACGGTAGAAGATGAAGACGGTGAGCTTCCCTTCTTAAGGAAGCGTAGAATTCACCTACCTTCGCGATACGCAAACCCGCATTCATTATCGTCCACTTGGTAGGGAAGTTGTACTTGTTGGGGAAAATGTGAGGTTTAGAGTTGAAAACCGGGATAGCCTCCACATCCTGAACAGGCCTTTGCGAGCATGGAGGTGGAGGAGGGATAGTAGAAGTACATTGACGCTCAAGCTGGTAGAAGTAGGCATCAGGGTTCTTGGCAACTCCGATGATGTTGACGATTTCGACAACGTGCGATCCGGGGGGGATGGTGAACTGTCCTTTACTGAGGCCTTTGACTTCACAAGTGTCTCTGGCGAAGGGAGTGAGAGCGCACCAAACGCCCGAGTCAGGGTTAATGGGGGAAGTAGTTCCAATTTGCTGTCCGTCGACGATGACAGAGTATCTTTCCGTCTTGTGACCCGCACCTTGGATACTGAGGATCTGTGGGAATGAATCATTGGTTACGAAGCGGAAGGGGCTGTTATCGACATTGGTCCAGGGTTTGAGGATAGCAGGCGTGCATGTTGGTGGCGGAGGCGGCGGAGGTGGCGGCGTGACTGTCACGGTAGTTGTAGTAATAGAAGTGAACGTCGTCGTAGTAGTCGACGTAACCGTCCTCGTCGAAGGAGCGGGACACGCAGGAACGGTCCTCAACGCATGACTCGTGATGGTCAACGTGTTTCCAGGGCCATTGGGAATGGTCACGGCCTCCTCAATAACCGTCCATTTACCAGGTGGGTTAGTAGGCACAGCGATATAAGCAGGTTTCGTCGCTTCGAAAACAACGGTCGTAACACCATCCGCCCCTCCAAAACCAACGACAGTTGCGCCATCAGGTGTAGGCCACGGTTGCGGTCCCGTCATGACTTGTTGATAATTTGTCGTAACAGGATAATTTTCCAGTTGGTAGCCCCCACACCCCAGTTGATCACAGACATCAGGAGCACAAGCCCCCTGGATAGGCTGCTGAGCCGGGTCCGCGGCTGATACGAGAACGGATGGGAGGGCAAGAAGGAAAGCAAACGAGTGCCTGATAAACATTATGGGCGTAGAAGCGTTCCCCCACTAGTGTCAAAAACGACGAGTGTTACACTTGAGGAGACAGGACTCCAGCCTCTAACACTTGAGGGGTTGCACAGAATAGGTCACTCGAGCAGCTTGAAAAGTTGAAGGGTCACCTATACCCTGACTGTCCCGGGCGTTGTTCGGCACGCCCGTTCCGCTGTCAAATAGTTTGTCATCAGACTCGCTGCGAAGAGTGTTGGTTGTGCTGCCAGCAATATTTGGCCGCGCTAAAGCGTGACCAAAAAAAAGGCAGCAATTAAGACATCAGATTTAGGCTGAAGACTGGGGACCACCTTGACTTGTCAGCCAGTCAAGCCTGAGCCCATATCGTAGGGAGCCCTGCTCCGCCACTCAGTACTGTGATCCTGTTTAAGTAACTGAATTGCGTGATGGCAAGGTGGCCCCAATTAAACCTTTTCTGGGACGTTACATAAAAAATGCTAAATAGTGACCAGGTCTTCAATTCGCACGAAGCATCTTCTCATCATGTGTATCGGATTCTGGTCCTTAGATGACCCTAATTACTCCTTGTGAGTTAAAATATCGATCCTGCTGTTACCACGTGGTTCGGTTCGGTTCTGGGGCGATTTTTTGAGAACCAGAACCGAACCAGTATACGAACCAAACCGAACCACAGCTCGGTTCTGGAACGGTTCAAGCAAGCCTTGTATTACTGTCCAAGTTAATTATTGTAATCATACTACGAAGTGCACTAATAATACTTGGAACACGAAATTTCAACCAACATTAATAATCTAGGTTGATTCCCACTCTCGATCTCTTGCGTGAGATCGAGACTTGCTCCATATTCACACCACTCTCGAGTGCATCTCCTCAGCTGGGTACGTTACCGGTAGTGAGCGACCTTCCTTGATGACACCTTCATTTATGTTTTGAAATATATATCGCATGAGGCCATAATTCACTCTCACCTCGTGCATGGCAAGGACGAAGAATTCCGTTTGGCCACGATATAGCCCCGTTCGACTTCCCCATGTTCGAAACTCAAGGACTCGCAAGGACATCAAATTGGCTTACCTTTGGTTCTATCAGTATAGGAACGCTGTGTAAGCCGGTTAAATTGACAATTTATGTCTCTTGGAGTTGTCAACAAAGTCATCCCGGAGCACCGTGGAGAACAGGATGGTATTTGTGTCTTTAGATCCAGGGCAGGAAGCGGGGTTGTGTCCGATTTGTAATACAACTTCCTTTTGTTCCAGCCGAAGGTCTCTCTTTGCCTAACAGTCCTTGTCAATGTGGAGAAGTCTAGGCAGCCCTAACGAGGAGAGAACCTGTACAGTCGCTGTGTCTCCCATTTTCCTAGCCCAAAAACCTCAGCCACATCATCCAGGCCTCCATCTCCCTTCAGCACGCTTCTATCTCTTTCCACAAAGCAGACTCCTCCATCTCTCCGAACTAAAATGATCGTAGTTAAACGGGTGCCGTTAAGTTTGCTTCTCTCCGTCGGAGGTGGTTGCGCGGATGAAGTGGCATCAGAGTCGACTGGGGTTGAGAGACGAGGTACAGTATTGAATGGTGGGATAAAAATCGAGTCGCGGAGGTGATCTAGGGAAGAATCGGAAGACGGCAGCGACCATCCCATGAGTTCCATGAGAGCCTCTATCAGAGCCGCTTCCTGCTCGTCACCGGTCAGTTCTGGACTTGAGGATCTTCCAGCCTCGAAGATTCCCTCGAACTGTACACGACCAATATCTATCTTTAGCCATGGTCCTGTTCGACCAAGACCATCTATGGGGCTCCCGTCTATGGCGTTGGATATTCCTCCATTATGACATTCGTCGGCAGAGATGGAACGATATTCCAAAGGGCCACAAGCTCCATGATTGGTCAGCAGAGCAGCTTCGTACTCCAAACCCGATGATTTCGATGATTTCGGTGCGAAGAGGATGAAGTTGAAACCGCCAGTCTCAGGGCGCGCTGTATCTCTGTCATAGTGCTCGCTAAGGTAGCTGAACAGATATAATGGTGTACTGCCATTATGCGAAAGATACTGCTGAACAAACAATCCACGGGAGACAGCGTACTTCTTCTCGTCCAAAGGTTCGGTGATATTGGTTCTGTGTATAATCGTGTTTATTCTATGCAAGTAGTCTACGTAGTCAGTAGTTGATGCGCACAAGAAACCGATCTGACCAGCCCTATTGATGCCTAGCCATGTGCCTCCTGCCTCTAAATCGATACCGGATAGAATCCAACCTCCAGAGACTGAGGGTGCCCGTCTAGCATCATCGGATGGTCGTCCCGGTCTTGCACTGAAGTTGTGGAAATGGGCTGGTAGTGTTGGACGGGCCAAGAACTTTTCCCTGCTAGCGCACAGTATCCTAGCTCGTGGAAGGGGGGTTGGGGCCGTGCGCAATTAATATCAGGTGTAAGGCACGAGGTAACAGCAGGGTCGATATTTTGACTCACAAGGAGTAATTAGGGTAGAATCCGATACACATGATGAGAAGATGCTTCGTGCATTGAATTGAAGACCTGGTCACTATTTAGCATTTTTATGTAACGTCCCAGAAAAGGTTTAATTGGGGCCACCTTGCATCACGCAATTCAGTTACTTAAACAGGATCACAGTACTGAGTGGCGGAGCGGGGCTCCCTACGATATGGGCTCAGGCTTGACTGGCTGACAAGTCAAGGTGGTCCCCAGTCTTCAGCATAAATCTGATGTCTTAATTACTGCCTTTTTTTTGGTCACGCTTTAGCGCGGCCAAATATTGCTGGCAGCACAACCAACACTCTTCGCAGCGAGTCTGATGACAAACTATCTGACAGCGGAGCGGGCTTGCCGAACACGCCCGGGGACTGTCAAGGTACAGGTGACCCTTCAACTTTGCAAATCTATAAAAGTTCCTCGAGTGGCCTATTCTGTGCAACCCCTCAAGTGTTAGAAGCTGGAGTCCTGCCTACTCAAGTGTAACACTCGTCGTTTTTGACACTAGTGGGGAAAACACTTCTACGCCCATAATGTTTACGTTTGCTTTCCTTCTTGCCCTCCCATCTGTTCTCGTATCAGCCGCGGAACCGGCTCAGCAACCTATCCAGGGGGCTTGTGCTCCTGATGTCTGCGATCAACTGGGGTGTGGGGGCTACCAACTGGAAAATTATCCTGTTACGACAAATTATCAACAAGTCATGACGGGACCGCAACCGTGGCCTACACCTGATGGCGCAACTGTCGTTGGTTTTGGAGGGGCGGATGGTGTTACGACCGTTGTTTTCGAAGCGACGAAACCTGCTTATATCGCTGTGCCTACTAACCCACCTGGTAAATGGACAGTTGTTGAGGAGGCCGTGACCATTCCCAATGGCCCTGGAAACACGTTGACCATCACGAGTCATGCGTTGAGGACCGTTCCTGCGTGTCCCGCTCCTTCGACGAGGACGGTTACGTCGACTACTACGACGACTGTCGATCGAGTGGATTATCAGACATCGGTGAGTTACTAGTGTTCTTGCCAGAGTCACACGCAACACCTCAACATGCTCTGCACTGCGACCAGTACATCACCACTACGTCCACTCACACTGCAACTTTGACGACGACGGACACTCAGTACATAACTCTTCCGCCCATCACCACTACGTCCACTCACACTGCTACTTTGACGGTGACGGACACTCAGCACATAACTCTTCCGCCCATCACCACTACGTCCACTCACACTGCTACTTTGACGACGACGGACACTCGGTACATAACTCTTCGGCCCATCACCACTACGTCCACTCACACTGCTACTTTGACGACGACGGACACTCAGTACATAACTCTTCCACCCATCACCACATTTTCAACAATCACGAACTTCGTCACTTCTATCACTACAACTACCGCGACAGTCACAGCGTCACCTCCCACACCAACATGGACGTCTGTTGTCTTCAAACCCTGGACCAGTATCGATATTTACACAAACCGCCCCTTCCGCTTCGAAACCAATGATCTATCCCCACAGATACTCAGTATCCAAGACGCGGTTCTCAAGATGGAAAGATACTCCGTCGTCGTCGACGGACAGCAAATTGGAACTACTTCCCCCATTGACCCTAGCAGGGGCGTTCGTTGCGGTTCCACTCTCGCCGCCAAAGACACTTGTGAAGTCAAAGGCCTCAGTAAAGGACAGTTCACCATCCCCCCTGGATCGCACGTTGTCGAAATCGTCAACGTCATCGGAGTTGCCGATACCCCTGATAGCTACTCGACGGTGCTCTACCAGCTTGAGCGTCAATGTGCTTCCACTATCCCTCCACCTCCATGCTCGCAAAGGCCTGTTCAGGATGTGGCGGTTGTCGATGTTTACAGGAATAAACCTTACAATTTCTCCCTCAACTTCAGCTTCCCCACCAAGTTAACGGTAATGGATGCGGGTCTCCGTGCCGAGAAGGTAGGTGAATTCCACGCTTCCTTAAGAAGGGAAACTCATCGTTTTCATCTTCTACCCTCACTTGTGCAGTATGAAATCTCGATAGATGGAGTCTTCGTAGGCAACACAGACGCGTTCACCATCTATCCCCAAGTTCGGTGTGGTATCACTCCCGACGACTACCAAGCCTGCCTGGACAGTGAAATGAGCAAAGGAGAATTTGTTGTACCTGCCGGCGCACACACCGTCACTGTGACAATGGGACCGACTCGTGAGTTTTTCTTTCTTTCTTTTTTCCGTGATATGGCTGAACGCTAATTTGCGAATTGAACAGTTATCGGACCAACTTGGCCGCACAGTCCGATATTCTATAAGCTTGACACCTACTGCCCATCTTAAGTCCATACTGTTGCCAACCCAGACAGAAGGGGCCATCAGCAAACATCGAAGGTCGATAGAAGTGATAGGTAGCAATTCAATCTTCTCAATTTGCTCTATCACTACTACATTATATGTATGTTTGCTTCCTATGAATGGTACATGAATCTATAGAAACTGGAAATCGGCAGACTGAGCAGCCTTGAAGAAAACTGATCACCCTGTGCCAACCATGATGGCCAACCCATCTTTCACGAGCTAGGATACTGTCCGCTAGCAGAGATGAGTTCTTGGCCCGCCCAGCCCATTTCCACAACTTCGGTGCAAGACCGGGACGACCATCCGATGATGATAGACGGGCACCCTCAGTCTCTGGAGGTTGGATTCTATCCGGTATCGATTTAGAGGCAGGAGGCACATGGCTAGGCATCAATAGGGCTGGTCAGATCGGTTTCTTGTGCGCATCAACGTAGACTACTTGCATAGAATAAACACGATTATACACAGAACCAATATCACCGAACCCTTGGACGAGAAGAAGTATGCTGTCTCCCGTGGATCGTTTGTTCAGCAGTATCTTTCGCATAATGGCAGTACACCATTATCTCTGTCCAGCTACCTTAGCGAGCACTATGACGGAGATGCAACGTGCCCTGAGACTGGTGGTTTCAACTTCGTCCTCTTCGCACCGAAATCATCGAAATCATCGGGTTCGGAGTACGAAGCCGCTCTACTGACCAATCATGGAGCTTGTGGCCCTTTGGAATATCGTTCCATCTCCTCTGCCGATGAATGTCATAATGGAGGAATATCCAACGCCATAGACGGAAGCCCAATAGATGGTCTTGGTCGAACGGGACCATGGCTGAAGATAGATATCGGTCGTGTGCGGTTCGAGGGAATCCTCGAGGCTAGAAGGTCTTCAAGTCCAGACCTGACCAATGACGAGCAGGAAGTGGCTCTGATAGAAGCTCTCATGGAACTCATGGGATGGTCGCCGCCGTCTTTCGATCCTTCCCTAGATCACCTCCGCGACTCGATTTTTATTCCTCCATTCAATACTGTACCCCGTCTCTCAACCCCAGTCGACTCTGATACCACTTCATCCGCGCAAACACCTCCGACGCAGAGAAGCAAACTTAACGGCACCCGTTTAACTACAATCATTTTAGTTCGGAGAGATGGAAGAGTCTACTTTGTGGAGAGAGATAGAAGCGTGCTGAAGGGAGATGGAGGCCTGGATGATGTGGCTGAGGTCTTTGGGCTGAGAGGAAAATGGGAGACACAGCGACTGTACAGGTTCTCCCTTCAATAGGGCTGCCTAGACTTCTCCACGTTATCATTAATTGACAAGGACTGTTAAGCAAAGGAGCCTTCGGCTGGAAGTTGTATTATAAATCGGACACAACCCCCGCTTCCCGCCCTGGATCCGAAGTCACAGATACCATCCTGTTCTTCACGGTGCTCCGGGATGACTCCGTTGACAACTTCGAGAGACATAAATTGTCGATTTAACCGGCTTACACAGCGCTCCTATACTGATAGCACCAAAGGTAAGCCAATTTGATGTCCTTGCGTTTCGAACATGGGGAAGTTGAACGAGGATTGGGTCACTATACACGTGGCCAAACGAAATTCTTCAGGCGAAATCCAAGCTGAAGAGAAAAAAAGGACAGTGCAAGTCGCTCCTGTATGGTTCATCGGATGAAATACCACATCTTCGCGTCCTGCCGTTGGTGAGGGATGTCAGGAAAAGTAAAACACTATATCCACCGTAGCAAACCCGCGACTTGGTTATGCACGATAATAGGTGGGGTCGTACACAAGTTCGCCGTTAGGCCCGAAGTTGACCTTAGGAATGATCGAGGTAGTTAACAAAGTGTGTCTTCAACTTTATTGCGGTCGCGAATGCCGAAGCTAAAAACAGCCAGCCCGTGTACGCATAGAGAAAGTGCTTCAAAATTGTGCTTCCGTGCCTCGAAAATCTGGAATACCTGCACCTTCGTGTTTCCTGTTGCGATAGCCCTCTTCCTAAAAGCGTCGAACGAATGATCATCCAAGTGAGGGGGTTTAATAGCAAACACCACACCCTTCGCGCAATGCCCGGTCTGGAACCACATAGGCTGGCCGGTCTTGAGAATAATGGAGGCATGTCGGGAATGGCCATTAGTGACGGCTGGATTCCTGCATTAAATCCAGTGATGGTGTGGACCGTCCGGCGAGATCTGAGGTGAAAAAGGTCCCCCAAACGGAAACTGAGTGGCTGTATAATACATATGGTTCTTCGCGACAAAGGTGAAATGGATCCCACCCCGGTTTTCGCAAGGACAAAAGGGCGGGGTGCAGATAAGTTGGGGAATCCTTGCCGTGCACGACGTGATAGTGAATAATGATAATTATGGCCTCATACAATTTATATTCCAAAACCCAATAAATGAAGGTGTCATCAAGCACGCTTCTCGAAGGTCGCTCACTACCGGTAACGTACCCAGCTGAGGAGATGCAATCACCGGTCAGTGGGACGAATGTCATGTAGCGTAGCGCCGGTGAAAAATCGAATACGATACATAATATGATGTTCGTCTCACTGGCTGGTGGTCGCATCACACAACAACATAACTTGAACTTTCCATGAACATGAACGCACGAACCATGCACGTTCTTGTTTACATCCTAGAGCGTCGCAGAGAAGCTCCGGACTGTGGAGCACGTAAAGGAACAGAGTTCAGAAAAAAAGCTGCAAAGATGGGAGGGAGAGAGTATGCGTGAACCTGCGAGACCATGCATGAAGCGACTCGCAATCGACCAGTGCGGGCCGATCGGTGGGGCTCGCCCCGAGATAAGATCGACAGATGACAGCTTCCTTCCTACTATACGGGACTGTCCTATGTGCTGCCCCACTGTTGCAGCAACGCGCAGCACTACCCACGCCATATGTACGGACGACTCGCCAGCCAGCTTTGCGTGATGCTTTTGTTGGAGTTACAACGACGCGTGACTCACTAACCAAACTCACATGATCTTGTTTTTCGTTTCCGTTGTATTGATACCGTGACTGCATTGTATATAGGTAATTGTTTGGGTCTACTTTCCTTTTCTCCTCAGTTCTTCATTAACGGAGACTGAGGTTAGTATCATTGTTTTTAGTTAGTTGTTACATTACTTACTCTGTACTCTTCTGTACTATAGCTCCCGCTTTAGGTTAGTATTAACCGTAGTAATTCAGTTCTTCATTAACGGAGACTGAGCTCCCGCTTTAGCCCTCCTATTAGCTTTCTTGCAAAACGAATCCAAAAATTTCCCCCTGTCCCTTAAAAATATAATTTGGAGGGCTTCGATCACTAGCCTCCGAGAGGGAAACAGAAGCAGGAACAACCCAACTTACTTGATCTTCTTCCGGTCCGCCACCGGTTTCCATTATCATCAGCTGACTTTCCCGCCGGTCTTGGCGTCCATCAACCGGACGAACTACTCTTCAACTTAACAATCTGCATGCCAACCTAACTCCTCTCACTTACCCCCAGGCCGATAATGCCTTGCGCCATCCTCTAGCCACTAACATTACTGTAGGTATCTTATCGTCATTGATCGCAGTACTTGCGACTGTTGGACATGACATTTCGATATTTTTTGGAGCACGACAACGATGGCGTTTATTTTGTTATAGCTCTTGGCCTCCCTGGATAAAATTCTGGAATGAACCAGCCACAAAAAAAGTGACCTGCCAATCAACATTCAAAGCGCTCACCTCCGTCGATCGGCGCGCAGGCAATGGCATTGGGTTCCGTTGACACGACGATTCATGTTTGTCTGTAACACCACCACACTTGCTACGTACGAAATGCAACGGTATGTATGCAAGTACCAACTGCGGTGTATGCTGGAGGTCTTCGAATGCACTACCAATGCTAGAATAATGTGGACCATGAAAGATGGTGGCAGGCAGGCACTTGCTGCGACGAGCAGCATCCAGTCATCAATGACTCGCCCTCAAGAGATGCACAATACTGTGGGCGGACTCGGAGACAGGGTTTACAACTCATACGGATGATCATATTGGCTGCACTAGGATTAGGTACATAAGGAACATAAGTAATAGGATGAAGACAAATCAAACATGTACAAAGAATATAAAAAGAAACAGGAGGATCTATGCGGTACGCTCACCCCGCAGCCTGCGAGCGAGAGCGAGGTCCTTCGGTTGTCTGACGGCAGTGATAAGGCAATGCTGAAAGTAAAAAGGGAAAGTGGACTTACATGGTTACACGCTTCGCATGGATGGCGGCTAAATTGGTGTCTTCGAAAAGTGAGACGAGGTAAGCCTCGGCAGCCTCTTGCAGCGCCATCACGGCAGATGATTGAAAACGGAGATCGGTCTATAGTATATATATATATATATATATCAGGACGGATGGCTGACTAGGGAGGCATGTACACTAACCTTGAAGTCCTGAGCAATCTCACGAACAAGACGTTGGAAGGGTAGTTTACGAATGAGAAGCTCAGTGGACTTCTGATATTTTCGGATTTCACTAAAAACCATTGAGCTCAACCCTACTTTGGCATGGCTACATGCGTTGGATAGACTCACCGAAGAGCGACAGTTCCAGGGCGGAAGCGATGAGGCTTCTTGACACCACCAGATGCAGCCTAGGAGATGGCGAAGCATCGCGCACGAAAATGCAGCGGTGAAGAAAGCGCGAGTAAGGATACAGTCACGGGCCCCATATATGATCACGTACCGATGTGCTCTTTTTGGCCTGCTTCGTAGAAAGTTGCTTACGTGGGGCCTTGCCACCAGTGGACTTGCGAGCGGTTTGCTATGTGTGATCCACAGCGAGTGAGCACACAAGTTGGCGACTTGAAATAAGTGTCACGCGATTGCCTACCTTAGTGCGGGCCATTGAAGGATTGAAGTGGAGGTGTTGAGAGAAGAGTTAACGAGTTTGGAGATGATGGTGGTGAAGAAGATGGAAGGGAGGCATTGTTGGCGTCTGTCAAGGGGTTTATATCTCTCGAGCAGGTCGAGTGCGGATGCAAATAGAGGCTCCGGAAGAGGTCGGTTGGCTGGTGACTCAATGGCGAAAACAAACAAATAAAGTGCACGTGCCGAGTCTTTGGGTGACGACTTTGCGCACACGGTGACCATCTTCGCCTCCAAGGGTCTGTGGAAGATCTAGGGATTTGATTGCAGCGAAACGGGGGAACTTTGCTTTTTCTTCTGGTTTTTTTTTAGGGTGGGGGGAGATTCCAATCGGCCCACGAGTTTCGGCTGTGGGTTTGGAGACGACTTGTTTACGCTAAACAACTCACCGAGTCATCTGGTATAGGGGGTGGCTGACATGATGTCCGTTCTCCGTTCTAACCTCCCGCTTTGCGTTGGAGTCGTCTATAGCTCTGGCCGTGCAGCGAAATGGTTGGGTAACTCATCTACTGTTACGAGGACCGCAGCTTACGCTTAACGCGGGTGCAGAATTCCCCTAGACCCTTCTAACATGCCTAAGGCAAAACTGAGGGTACGTTCGTTTCGGTTATTGTTTACATCGGAACGTTTGTTTATTTTTCGGGTGTCGCACCTGTTTACCAACCGAAGGTGGCGGTTTGCATCCGGCACCTCCACAAAGAATATATATACCACGTCTATCGATCCTCAGCACTGTTCCCGTCCACATTCTACCAGCTCTCTTTCTGACTCGCAACCAAACGCTTCACAAAAGCCAACCTTTCTAAGACATCAACGCATCAGAAATGGCCGGTCCCGCTTCCAAGTCTATCACGGCTGACAAGCCTGCTTCCACCGCTGGGAAGGCTCCCGCCAAGTCCAGTACGCGTCTTCCCTACCAAAACCTGACTTGAAAGGCCTAGTGGGCTAACGTTCCGGTTGTGTCTTGGCTCGATTAGCCGCTTCCAAGTCAACTGCGGCCAAAAAGACCTCCACCTCTAAGAAGTCTGCAGCGCCTGCTGATGCCGAGAAAAAGACCAAGCGCAAGAAAGCTAGGAAAGAGACATACTCTTCATACATCTACAAGGGTGAGTTTTTGCGTCGGTTCCGATATGGAGTCATGGCTGACATTCATACTTGAGCCAGTTCTTAAGCAGGTGCACCCTGATACCGGTATCTCCAACAAGGCAATGGCAATCCTCAACTCCTTTGTTAATGATATCTTCGAACGTATTGCTGGTGAAGCTTCCAGTATGTTGACTTGGTCTTTAGTAGCAGTTGTTTTATCAGCACTCATACCCGTACCCGCCCCTTTTCAGAACTCGCTGCCTACAGCAAGAAGAGCACAATCTCGTCGCGTGAAATTCAAACAGCTGTGCGTCTGATTCTGCCAGGAGAGTTGGCCAAAGTAAGTCGCCATTGTCGTCTGATAGTCTTACTCTAATGCATTCCCCCCAATAGCATGCTATCTCCGAAGGTACTAAGTCGGTCACCAAGTTTTCTTCCTCTCAAGCCAAGTGAACGCATTGGTTGCTTGTGTCTCCCTTATGTATTGTTGTTCTCTTCTGGCTTTGTATTCTGTATCTGTCTACTTTATGAGTCGTATTTTGGTGTTCGAATATAATTCGCATCATACTGGGATTGTATTCAGGTGATTGCTTTAGTTATCTGAGCTTGCGCGGGGTTCATGTCAAATGCAATGCGCGTGCTTGTGCTTGGACGCGCCGCCCCGATCGTCGCGTGCTGAAGAACTCATTTCCTGCTCCATGACTCCCTTTCGTGCTCATAGGACTGCCTCGCACGCTGCACAACCATACTCAGATAGCACTTGCAGTATGTAGGTCTTTGGGTTGGGAAGCGCAGATGGAGGAAAGACTAAATTTGAGATGGGAGCAAGGAGGGTCGGCCAGTTGATATGACAATACGGAGACGCCAGTGAGGTTCTTGACAATGAAAGGGAAAGGGCATCCAGCTTGCACAAAACTTGCCCCGGATCGCGAGCGTCCGCAGGAACAAACTTTGCAAAGTCCCGTTCCATTGTCCTGACACTTCCCCGATGGGTAGTCTATTTCCGTTAAATAGAGGCTGGTAACCTGCCTAGATGAGTAAGGTCTTATTCAACGTCCTTTTCGCTCTATTGTCGTCTGGAGCCCCAAATGTCGGTCTGAAGCCTTATACGCAATAGATAAGAAATTCCAGTCTTATGACTTGTGCCGTAGTCCCAGGTGTGCCTTCGCTGGTCGAATTTTCCTACTCAACAGATTCTCAGCTGACATGTACTCAAGCTTCGACCTTTCATCGGACTCCCACTCTCATGACCAACTGTGTTTAGGAAGGGGAACGCAGGAACGAACACTGAGCACAACGTTGTTGTGAAGCCCGGTCCGACCAGAGTGGAATGCTTCCATGCATTACCCGTTTTCCGCTTTCCTACTGTTCTCTTTCCTTCCTCCGATTCGGGCAGTATGAAATCAGCGCCTCTAGTCGCTCTCTTGTTTCACATGATTTGTGGCTAGAAGACGAGGCTCCTAATGCCCAACTGTGGAATCTGTACTATCGTGTAATCCTCCCCCTCCATCTTCATGCACAACTACGAGGTATTGGTGGCCTCTACTCGGGACTTCCAAGCAGCCTTGTGAGTAGGCAGGAATGCTCGCAGGGATCGAAGGCTGAATATCATCATTGGCGATCCGTCCAACCCTCAAAGCAACAGCAGGCCAGGAACGTGCATTCGCCTTGGGTCTACAGCGTTGATGCCAATTGACCTCGCCCCGGATCATTACTTCTTCCCCTGAATTATCTCCCTCGATGGCGAAAGCGCCAGCACAGAAGGTTTGACTTCCAAGCAACTCCTTTGACAAAAACGAACTTACGGTAGGAAAATCGGATTAGTCTCATTCTATACTCCAGATATGTGCTAACGTACATATGATGGAGTGTACAAGATCGCCAGGTGCCCACCCAATTTATAACCTCTCACATTGCAAGCTCTCCAAACGTCATCTGCCGGTATACTCCTGTACCCTACCGCGATATCAACGGTAACGCATTCTTGCTAAGTCCTCGATTAGTACATGGTTGTAACGAAAGAGGGCGCGAGTGATACATTGACTTCCTGACAGCTGTCAGTCCGGACCGGTCAGACATCAAACAAATATCTTGTAGTTAATTTAAATGCGGTAAATACAGAGAAGATGACAGAGAGTTAAGTGAAAACTGATAGAATGTCTCACATAGCAAGTACCTGTCGGTTAGTTTGGACCAAGTTCCAGTTGTCCAGAATACTCTGAATTTCTTTTCATGGTGTTTATAACCTTTTGTCTGAGCATTCTCTCCTTCAGCTCGTTCTCCAATCGGTCCATCTCTGCACGAGACTGCAAGATGTTCAGTGAATATTTTTGGAGTGATTGCAGCAAATGGTAACGAATAGATGGAATACGTCCACAAAGAAGAGAACAGTTGTGCATCATCATTAGCACGCAAATACTGTTGGCGAGAAGTGGGTTTAGTACTGCTTCACCTTCTCTTTTTCATCTTCGTCATTAGGATTTCTGGCCCACTTGCTTCCCCCCAAACGATCGATAAGTGAACGACTCTGAATGGGGGAGCGTTCGGGTGTGCGCGAACGAGCACGGATGGGGGAAGTAGAAATCATTTTCGCATCCGCTTCTCGACGACGACTGGCTGCGCCTTTGATGCTCGTTCCTCCCGTGCCGCTTGGCTCTTTCGGTCTGGGCGCAGGAGGGCTGCGACTGCGACTCGGAGCAATGGATGGGCTAGATCGGCGGGGAGGAGAACGTCTCCTGGTTTCACGATAACGATCACGAGAAGGGCTCCGTCTACGACGCTTTGGAGGGGGTGAGATGGACATTTCATCTCGGCCCCGACGACGAGGTGGGGTGATTGAGCGAGAAGGTGATGTTGAACGAGATTCAAAATACGCACGACCTTTGCCACGAGGTGGCGGAGACAGCGATCGAGAGTAAGGACGGTACATCTCTGGAGAACGAGCTCTTTTCTTGCCATTGCGAATTGGCGTCATCGACATTTGGCTTGGACTCCCGCGGTATGGTGGTGTTCTTGAGTGGGAGCGGGCCTTTCGGCGGGGAGGGGTTCTGGACAAGGAACGTGAGTGAGCTGTTGAAGGAGATCTACGAGCAAGAGGAGCCTCTATTCGCTTCCGACGGTAGGGGGACATACGCCTTGGTGGAGAGCGCCTCTTTGGTGCCGGGGAGCGCCGTCCTGGTGAAAGGGATCGCCTCCTGAGTGGTGGTGAACGTCTTCTAGGAGATGGAGAACGTCTTCTTAGAACCGGAGAGCGTCTTCTTGGAGATGGGGTGCGCCCTCTTGGAGATGGCAGGCGTCTTCTTGGAGATGGAGAACGTCCCCTGGGGGGTGGCGAGTGCGAACGTCTTCTTGGAGAAGGTGAAAACCTTCTGGGAGATGGCGAAGGTCTCCTTGGGGGAGGCGAACGACGGGGAGGGACCTGTAACACTCTTAGACCAATCAAATAAATAGCAACATTGATATCTAACCCTGTCATTGTCTGGAGCCCGTCCTCCACGCCCTCGGTTAGGCCACCCAGAATCTCTATCGCGACCCCCATAATCCCCCCTTCCACGCCCACGCCCTCTCGCTGCTTCTCGCTCGCCTTTCTCCCTGGTACGAATTTCATCCATGCGCTGGGCGTTCACAGCTCGTTGTTGGGCGTTATTAATCGCGCGAGCGTCTCGTTCTTGCTGTTGGCGAAGTTCTGCCTTCTTCTCGTTGACAAATTGTGCGGGAACGCCACCAATTGATTCCTGTGCGGAGAGAAGTAGCTCCCAAAGTGCTTTCATGAACGCAGGGGTCTAACATGCGAGAATCAGTAATGACGAAGAGGGGCTAACAGGAGAGTGGGTGAAGGACCTTTTGTTCAAGGAAGCCAGTCAAATTAATCTGCATTACTTTGGGGTCGGGCGTCTGTAGACAGCAGTTAGCTGTAGGTACCCAGGGATATGGTTTGGGGGCCATACTGGATTCGATTTATCTTCCAAAAGCTCCATGGCATACTCGACGACTACTTCATCTTCGAATCCGACAAGGTCAACAACTTTTTTAGTGATCCAAGGCCGCATAACCCCTAGATTGACTTTGCGCATGTCAACCCTCTGCTCAAATACGGGATCAAATTTCATGGACTTGAGCAAACGAGACTCTTTGTCTGAAAAACGGCGATCTTGCTCCAAGGAGGTGCCTTTGAAGAAGCCCGCATCCATGTTGGCTCTACCTAGCTTTTTGACACGAGCTCTGATGAAGAGATGAAGCGGATGATAGTTAGAACAACGTAAAGATTTTGAGGAAATTTCAAGTTGAATGAACGCGGCAAACGCCTTTTCAATCCTGCTCTGTCGAAGTTCAGCGCTTAAATCCCGTTCGCAAGACAACTAAGGAAGTGCATATCCTCCCACGGGAGAAGATCAACTGGCTTAACGACTTCGAGAATGCCCACGTTAGCGATGACTCTTTTCGCCCTCCTAGCCATCATCTCTTGTATTCTTTCCGTACACGCCATCAAGTTTGAACTGCCCTCTTCAATAGAACCAGAGGAGAAGTGCATATGGAATGCAGCACATTCGGGGGCGCTTATCATTGTTACGGCCAACGTTGGACCAGGGAAGGACCAACGGGTTGACGTCGAAATTAGAGAACGTGAAGGAGGCAACGTGTATCTTAACAAAAAAAACATACGCGGCGAAACTCGCTTGGCTGTGACGGCCCATCGAGATGATGATGTGGGCGTGTGTTTCAGGAATACGTTGGAACCCAGTAAGTCTCTCGGTTTGTTTTAATAATCTCAACTCTGACATCTTCGTCAGCTGCCGCCAGGTCGAAAGTGCTGTACATTCGCATAATTGACCTAGACGTAGACATAGGTGCCGATGCAGTGGACTATAAGTGTGTCAACTATAATCGCACTATTGCACCATCGCTTGATCTTGTTGATTTCCTCGCTTGTTAGTGCCATTGCCAACCAAGATGGACTGTCTGCACTTGAAGTGGAAATGCGGAAGCTGGAAGGGATTGTGAAGGAGATAGTAGAAGAACTTGGATATCTGAAAGAGCGCGAATCCCGATTCTCAAGCACAAATGGTATGCTTTATCACCTTCCACTTTCAAGAAGGCGGAATGCTTATATCCTTTTTGGGAATAGATTCGACGAACCTGCGAGTTCAAAACTTTTATCTCTTTACAATCTTCGCGTTACTCTGTCTGGGGGTCTGGCAGATTCTTCATCTCCGGGCATTTTTCCGTCGAAAGTATCTTATCGACTGATTAATCAATCGATCGTTGGTTCCCTGACTTCGCTGTGTCCTCCGTGATCCCCCTTCTTCACTTGGTGCCCTTCTGTGAGCGAGATGGCATATTATCCGGAGGGAGCGGGCCTGAATTATGAACCTTCTGCGGGACAACCGGTCATGCAGAGATTCTTGGAGGCACGTTGGTCATTGTCACGCCCGTTCTAGATGAGCTTTCATTTTCACTCACGCGTCTAAGGGTAGCGCTGTTGGAGTACAGCTTGGGCGGCAAGATAACATGCAGTGCCGATGGATAGGACAAAACTAGTGCTGCCGAAGCAAAAAAGAGTAAATGAGATCGTTATTTACCTCGTGTTGACAGGGTAGAGGTTGATGTCTTTCTTAATCGTAATCTACATGAAATTGGTTAGCGCAAATGCGTCAAGACTGCGAATACCTTACCGAGGCCTCCACCGTCATCCCCGCCTCCCAAGTCATCCATATCCTCCCCTTCCCCGTTATCAAAATAGTTGTCCACGTAGTCATCGTCCTCTTCGTCCTCATAGGCACCCAATTCCTCATCCTCCTCATTTTCTTCGCCCTCTTTATCTTCTTCCGATCCCGCCTGTCGCGAAATGTCTCGCCGCCCTTACACAATGGATGGTACACTGCGAACCTACCTCGTGGTCATCCTCTGGAATGTCCCCTAGATTAAGCCCAGTTGTCTTCTTGGATCTTCCTGTGAACGATCTCTGAGGATGTACAATCAGATCGACAGGGGCAACCTACCTTTCTTCAGCCTTTTCTTTGCATTGAAGCAGATATCCCACAGCTCTGAGGGAAAGAATGATTTATCCAGATCACTTGGTTGAAGTTTTGGCTGGGTTTCAGCTGTGGCCCTGTACCGATCAGAATAACGAGGAAGGTCTGAGTATTATAGAGCATTAGTTCACGTATTTTCCATAATAAAAATACACAAACCATCCTTCTTAACATCTTCAACAATATAATACCTTGAGTGTCGAAGCCGCTGAATTACTTCTTGCTGGTATCTGGCGGACCTTAGATCGTTCTCGGTCACATCGGTCAGCATAGGGAAGGGATCGAGAGGCTAAGTTGGTTCCAAAATGGGCGCACGAATCGCAGTACAAAATGGGGGGCACGCACTGGGAACAATGTCGTTGGCACAATATCAAGTGCATTTAGCTCTTGCCAGGTGCCACCAATGGGTTGATCGATTCCACCTCCACGGCCACGCTATTCGGCGACCTCAGAGTCTTTCTATGATTGCATGCATGCTACCTACCCCCCGACCCGCGCCCCGACCCCTCGACATCTTAGGGACGTCAGTTAGACTTGACTGCTAGGTCAATTTCACTTCTAACCATCGGAAGCAAATTCGAGCGGAGTTTCAAAGTTTGAGTGATTCACCACAACAGCCTCAGCAGTGACCCCCAAACCCAGACCAAAAACTCGCCCTACTCGCCCTACTCGCAAGAAAAAACTTGCTGAAACTGTAATGGCCACTGCTCTTGACAAGTCTCTCGATGATGTGGGTTTTGTCACCTTCTACCCCCTTGACGCGTGATGCTCAGACAAGCGCCGTCACTGCTGTAGATCATTTCTTCACGACCAAAGAATGGACGCAGACGCCCGAACCGCAACCCGCGCACCGCTGGTACTGGTGGTGCCAAGACTGGCGGTGCGGCGGGCGCCACACGCGCGCGATACGCTGGCGCTGTCCCGACTGCCAATGGCAACCGCGTTGTCGCACCCGCCTCTCTTGTCAATATTCAGCCCGATGCAACCAAAATCATTGTATCAAATCTTCCCCGAGACGTGAATGAAAGTCAAATCAAGGTTAGTAGCTCTAAATGACTATCACATCCTGACTCAACTTCTTGTTTTTCATTTAGGAATTGTTCGCGTCGACTGTCGGGCCTCTACGTGAAGTCAACCTTCATTACGACGCTAAGGGAAACTCGAAAGGGACCGCATCCGTTACTTTTTCCCGCAAGGGGGACGGAAACAAGGCTTTCACCCAGTATAACAATCGGCTGATCGACGGGGGTTAGTACCCCTCTAGTTCTCCCCTCTTCCATCACCTTCCAGGGTCCGCAGTTGGATGCGTTGCCTTATGCTGTCCGGCTTCGGTTGCATTGAGACCTCTGATGACTCCTGCCATGCCTTGTTGGCCCCATTGAGTCTCTCAATTGAAGAACTACAACGTTATGTGGAGCTCAGGGCGTTGTGATAAAATATATCACCGCCCAAATGAGGATGCATTACTATCCTTTTGGTTTGTGCCTGTCTTCCGTGGTTCAGGCGCGGTCGATTACTTCTGGTTGTGGGCGCTCCATCAGTTTGTTCCCCGATCAGCGTACCGAATGCCTAAGGGACTCCTTGCTCGTGTTCGGCTGCCAAAGTGCAAGTGCAGAACTAGCGCACGACGTCGGAGACAAGTCCGATATTCGTTCGAGGTGGACGGGTGTCGTGCAGACAAATGCCTTTGGTTTGAACGAGAGCTTTATCCGAGTCGTAATTATTCACTTAACTTGGCATGGCAGTGAAGAAGAGGTTCCAGTAGCACCATGAAGTCCTCCTGATCGCAAGTCCTTGACCATCCTCATTTCAACCTCACTTCGCTTGCTTTCGGATTGATTGAATATCGAGAGTTATGGGCACTAATTACGCGTCCTTGTCCTCTATCCGCCTTCAATAGAGCGTCCTATGAAGATCGAAATTATCATGGATCCCGCCAAGCCCCCGACGTTGTCTCAACGAGTTGCCCCGGCACCTACTCCAACACCTATCGCTTCTGCGCCTACTGCAAATGGAAATACAACAAGGTTAGTCGGTTAATCCAAATCGATACTATACTTGGCACATCGGAACTTCAAACACTTACGAAATCCATCATTTTCTATACCGTATGGTGGGCTAATAGTGGAACAAAACCTCGCAGGAGAAATATCAGAGGAAGAGGTCGTAAAAAGGATGACAGACCTCAAAAGAGCGCTGCAGATCTGGATGCGGAAATGGAGGTGAGGCTTTTTTCGGGTTTTAGGCCCGCAACACGCTTGACCTCAGTGATTCGGTAGGATTATACTAATGTTTCGTCTGCTCCCACTGCTGCCCCTACTGCTTGAGTTTCCCCCTGAAATGTTGAATGTTGCAGCATTGTTCTCTTAGTGTCGCCAATTGTAATTTATTGGAACTGTCTTGCGAGCACTCGATGCGTTGGCATTCGCAGTCTCCGACCGGATTGGCCAGTGGCTTTGCCAGAACAAGTAGGTTGTTGTGGCTGTGTTTTCATCACTCGTCACTCACAGATGCCCACTGTGATTGAGAATTGGAGTCCGGTGCGAAGGCTGGGCATCATCGGTCAGTTCGAAGTTCTAAGAGGTGCAACCATCCTCATTCTGAGGTTCGTAGGCGGCGGCGGTGCAGCTGGCCTTGCTATTTTGCGAGTTTTCTTGAATAAACCTGAGTTCCAGGGGCAGAATGCTTGCTGGTCAATCCAGGCATTTGAGGCTCGGGACGACATTGGAGGCATTTGGATGCCCGAGAAAAACTCAGATGAACTTATTTGCTTCTCATCGCCAGATTCAGACTCAGGTTACGTTGAAGTCCCGCCAACACCACTGTACCACTCATTGACAACGAATATTCCTCACCCATTGATGACCTTTCATGATTTCCCATTCCCACCCTCTACGCCCCTCTATCCACATGCTTCAGTCGTGCTCAACTACCTGAGGTCGTATGCTGATCATTTCGATCTGCGGAAGTATATCCGATTCAACGCTCGTGTAATATCTCTTGAGCGGGATGAGGCCAATGATCGCTGGGAAATTAGATTGTCTAGCACGCCTGGTTCATCACTGTATTTCGATTCCGTTGTCTTGTGCCATGGACGATTCAGAGAGCCTCAGTTTCCTGAAATAGCTGGTCTGAGAGACTGGAATAACTCAGGCAGGACAAGTATGCACTCCATATACTATCGAGAACCATCTGGGTTCCGCAATCAGCGTGTGCTTGTGGTGGGAGCGGGTCCAAGTGGCGAAGATATCAGCTCCGATATCTCTCGGACGGCCGCACTCGTTTTGCAATCATGCACGCGCACCAGGCGGTTGAATAACCCTTTAGTGGAACAGCGTCCTCGTCTCATTGAACTACGACCCAAGGATGGGGCAGCGATTTACGAAGACGGCACCTCAGATTCTGATATCGACGCTGTGGTGTTTGCAACTGGCTACAAATACTCCTTTCCCTTCTTCCCACCACTCCATCCTTTGGCATTTTACGACACGACAAATCCCATTCCTCCACATCTCTTCAATTCATCCTGCCACGTACATCCCTTGGCCCGCCATATATTCCCTTTACATGACGTCCCGCCGAACAAGCTTGCGTTCATGAGCCTTCTATACAAAGTTGCACCATTTCCCATCTTTGAAGACCAAGCTCATGCAATTGCTTCCGTTTTCCTGGGGAAGCACAAACTCGATGAGGAGCGGGAGCGGCTTCTTATTGAACGACGCTTCAAAGTACTTGAAGTGCTATATAATGGAGACCCCAGACAAATAGCCAAAAACTGGCATGTAGTCCCCGAGAATGATCCCGAGTTGGAGGATCAGTACCAGTATAGAGTTGATTTACTCGAGATTTCCGGATCCGATAGCTTTCCACCCCCACCCCCATGGAATAGAGAGATTTATCTACAGAAGAACAAGCTCCGTCCATTATGGGTTGACATAGAACGTCGAGGGATTGCGGATCAGGTTCTGGAGGGATTGGGCAAAGGTGGTGAGCACGAATGGGTGGAGTTCATGTATAACCTTTTAGGCGGCACGCACGGAACCACCCTTTCGAGCATTCGAGAACGAAACTCTGATTAGACATTCTGCAACGAGAGATGGAATTGAAACTGGATTTCGAAGGTCATGCGGTATTTAGCAGAGATGTGATCATTACAAGCTTTTACCCAAATACCCTCCATCTCCCAGTATCACTCATCCGGAGATTGGCTCCCCTTTTCTCTCACTATTTTGGAGCGTAGCTTTGGTTCCAGGCAGTGGGATTGCAGGGGCGATGCGATTCCGCGATGAGTGTGTCAGCGAGATGAGATTTAGGCCAACGACTTCCATCATGGTCCATGTCCTTCCTACAACTGGAATGACAGGTCTTGACTAAAACTATCACTGGAATCATTTGCTACACACGCATCGACCAGTGAATGTTTCTAGACCAAGGAGTGGTGGTGATATATATGATCGTCAAAGGGGAAGCGACACTCCTTTGTGGCCGGTCGAATGGTGGTGGCAACTACGAGACCAAGGGTCCGAAGCAGTTAAGGGGGAGAAACCGAGCATCGGAGATTGACAGCAGCACAAGCAGCATAGGTTCCAGCCGGGCCGATGGACTGTGAATTAACATATTGCCTTCTTTCGCAATACAAGTACATTCGTTCAATGAACAGCAGAAGCCGATCATGGATAGGGATACTTAACCTACAGTCGGTTGCACCATGAAGAACAGAAATCGGCACGAGGGCGCGGTATGGATCAATGGTTAATGACTTTCGTTGACACTGGCCATGGATAGGTTAAGGCTTGTGGTTGTCAGAGCGTTTGCTCTTCGGCGCGGTAATCACGGCGGTGGATCGAGGGAAGTAAACACTTGTGCGGTAACGTTCAAACAAAGAAGGGGGCCTCGGCGGCTCGCGAGTGAGAACCTCACCTTGATGGTGTCCTCAAGCTGTATCCCGTCAGAATGCAGGAAAAAATACGTCTCCGCCATCTTGCTACGACGGTCCCCTACAAGTGCGGCATGCTACAGCACGGCCAGCCACGACTTGTACACAATCCCACCTGCGCTCCGCTGAAGTTAAATAACGGCTAGGTGCATACGGGCGTTGACCAGACAACGACCATCCTGACAAATACTGTGGACGGATTTATGCATCAACAATAGCAAATTAATAGGGCTCCATCGGATAGATAACACGCCACTAGCGCGTGTCTCCGCCTTTGTGCTCATGCCCGCAAGGCCGCAACTTTGACCTCCAGCGGCGGAGGGGAGGGTGGTTTACGCCCATGCGATCTGAAATGTCATGGGTCAAAGAGAGGTCCGAGTCTCCATCGGTGCGTGGTCGTGGCTGATCAACCTCATGCGAGCTGCAAGCTTCGATTTCGCCGCTTTCCGGCACTCCGGTGCCACATCCTATCTTGTACCCGAACGACGCTGGACGTGCCACGGCGACGGAGCTGGATCGAATCGTTTGAGTAGCTGCCCATCAATCTCGCTTCTTTGCGTGCCTATGCGAGAGCGCAACACCTGCGATCTGAAGAAACAAAGTTATTGAGAGCCTGGATCACTTGACTACCAAGACTCTTCGGGAATCGTGAGGTCCAGTTCATGCGTACTTGTCTTGCCTAAGCCTAATTGGGTCCACTTCATACGTCATGATCTTCACTAGTATCCTGGACTATTACAACCAGATTGATGAACCTACCGATTGGGCGTACTCAGCGCCAGGGTCTTTGAATAGAAGGTTCGGAAACTGGGGTGGTGTTGAGAGAAACTCGAGTAGTCTTGACCCCCCTTGATTTCCGTCGATGTAATGGAAGCTTTAACTGTCCGTCTGCAACCTTGCTGCGACTGTCTACTTTGGAGTTTTCCCAGTGCGCATATCGATGCACTGGGCCCCTACACCCGACACGGTAAACCCCCTCGCGACACACATTTCTCTTCGGGGCGCGCGAGAAGCCCGCTGATGGTGATCATGTCCATGGGTTTGTAAGTGGTGACACTGTACAGCACTACGGTGGTCGTGGATCGGCTTCCGGCTCTCCAATCGAGGGTACAGTGGATCGACGCTGATTCGTCATTTTGTGAGAGTATCCCAGGAAGGACTCCAGCTTCTATGACTTCGTAATATTGGATAGAAGAGGTGATTGCCCCTATCGGGGTTCGGGGGAAGAGATCGAGGACTCCGGAAGTTCAACGGTGTTATTAGGAGTTGGAGACCATGTGGTAGAGGGCTGTAGGAATGTGTGGGCAAGACACCCCGCATGTCGCCATTCCCTTAACCCTTATGCGCTCCTTTTAAGGCCCTCTCTGGCCATGGCGTATCGTATAAAGTGTTTGGAGGCTAAGAGTCTTTCGTTGACCCCGTTCTGAAGAATCATGCGTGAAGCTCAGATCTCGTGAATTCGAGAAGGAGAGCCAGAAGAAATTTCCACAGGACCCCTGCACAATACTGTTATCAACGATACGATCGGCATATCGGCGAGGAACCACGAGCAAGGGAGTGCGGACCGGATTTCAACTACATAGTACCTCCCAGAAGAGGATTAGTATCATCTGAGTAACTTGGGTGCGCGACATAAGACACACTAAGGTCGGTTAACGTAAGACAAATAAGACAAATAAGATTGGCCCAATACATACGACTCAGGCATGAGGTAATTCATATGAAGGTCGCGTGTCAGATGACGGATCATCCCTGCCGCTACCAATGGCGACAGCTTCAAGCATGGCATTGATATTGATGTCAATGGTGTAGTGACATCACCAGTCGAAATCACCGTTAACGCGGCATGAATGCGAGCCATCACACATCTCGGCCACATTTCGGGAATTGAGCGTACCGTTAGATGGGGACTTGCTGAACAGGGATCGATCACACCCTCTGGATGACCCTAACATATCGGGTGCCCCCCCCCCCCCCTTTCTCCTCAAGATCACTTTGCAAACCTTGCATGTCCTTTGCATGTCGATTTGCATGTCGATCAAATGCTTCTGGCCCAGGATGCGCTGCGGTGCTCTCCCAATGTATCGTCTTGTATACGGCTATTGGTGCAAGAACGGTACGAAGCGCAGAAAGTGATCGAAGCGAGGCGGCCACCACTGGAGCTAGCTACCCGTAGAGTTTGCTTCTCTACATGCCTATGCAAGGGCATACGTATATGATCTGCAGAAATGTGGGCACGGTTGCCAGAGACCTCAGACGGGTAGGGAATGTGTAGGCAAGTCTCCTTCAATGCCATTCCTCTGTCTGTTTCGTCAACACTTTACAAGGCTTGATATATTTATACAGTCTTTCATTGACATTATTCTGCGAAGTCTAGACTCTAATCAGCTGCCATAAACGTTGAAATGGACAGAGCCACCAGCAGCACTACCAGCCATCTGAGCTATATCAATATTGCGGCGAAGGGGATTCTCAGGCACGGGTAAGCGCCGAGAGTGCGGATCGGATAGACACCAAGAAGTTGACCAGATTTTGACGAGTCTGTTCTGACAAAGCGAGCATTGTGTACCACAAATCGGAATGAGGATCAATATAGTTACCCTGAGAAATTTCTCGTGCTTCAATCTCCTCCATCTCTTTGACCAATTGTTCCCCATGAGTGTCACGTTCATGAGTCGGTCGACATTCAGCCCAGACACGGAATTCGAGCATCAAGTCAAGCATACGTTTGTTAAATTCTTTTTGGCACAAGTTATCGAGCCTTTTATGTGTCAGCACGCGTTGGTTGACTTACCAGCTTCGAACTCTTCTTGCAACTTGGCGTCATCTTCAAATTCAGTCATCAGTTGGAGTTGATCAAATCGTCCAGGATTCTGTGTGAGAATAGAGTCAAAAGAGTTCGAGTTTCCTGTGGTGTTGCTCTTTGGCGATGGGTTTCCTTTGGTGGTAGCATTGGTCTGAACAGAAGAAGCGAAGTTGTCCGGCGCGAGGGCCGAGATTTCCTTGGACGCGTTTCTTTCGGCCTCTGGGTTAGAAACCATATTTACAAGCTCGTTTTGGTCGAAACGGAAATTTTGAGTGTTTGGAGGCTCGGGGCTAGAGTACTCTGAGTTTGGCGGAGGCGGACGCTGGTAGGGCGTGGTTCCTGTGCGGCGGAGACGTATATATCATCATCTGAAAGAATAAGGTCGCGTGGATCGGAGCCTCCGACATTAGGAGAGGCTCGAAGATCGCTAAATTCAGACTGCGATGGGGATTGCACGTCGGCTTCCATGAGAGTAAAAGTGCAAACACAGGAGATTCGGCCAACTCCGCCGGTCAAATTCATCTTCACGGTCACATGGATGCGAATATCTTTTCCCGCGCGTGTGGCACATTGCTGCTGCCAGTGTTCACTTGTCGTTTCTCTTCTTCACCTTTGCTTTCTCGGGCCCATAAAACCCTTCCGATTCTTTCGACGGCCGAAGTCTTTGGATCATGTTATCGCGTCCTGGACCTGCTCTGAGGCTCGCGGCGGCACTCGCAAAGGGTACTGGGATATCACGTCATGGTGTAGCGTTATGCCGTGGATCTATAATAACCGCGGGTCGGGGGCACTTCCGTGCTGCATTATTCCATTCGTCGAGATATGCTCTAGGTGCGTCGTTCGAAGCGTCACGCCTCTGTACTAAATCCCTCAATCGCTTATTGCATCGTCATGCTGTGCCCGAAAAGGCATCGAAACCGTGAAAGTTCCTAACGTCGCGGAGTCCATCACGGAAGGTACCCTCAAGGCATGGACGAAGAAGGTAGGCGAGTACGTCGAGGCCGATGAGGAAGTGGCAACGATCGAGACGGACAAAGTGGACGTCTCTGTCAACGCCCCTTTCGCTGGAAAAATTGTCGAACTGTTCGCAAACGAAGAAGATACCGTTGCTGTAGGGGCTGATCTTTTCCGAATTGAAGAAGGTGCTGAGGGTGAACGTGAGCATAAGTTTTCAATTATCCATTCCAATTTCGGCTCTTGATGATTCATCCACTATTGCCATTACAGCCTCGTCTGCACCGAAAGAAACGGAGGAGAAGGAGGAGCAGCCCAAGGAGGGGTCAGCGGCCCCACCACCCTCCAAGGAGGACAGCAAACCTGAAAAGAAGGAATCTGCACCTCCCCCGCCTCCTCAACCAAAGGCAGAATCGAAGCCTGCACCAGCCCCCAAACAGGAAATTAAGCCCCTTGATGTCCGCCCGGCAACTGGAGCGCCTACTACTGGCCCCGGCAGTCGCAATGAGACTCGTGTCAAAATGAACCGCATGCGTTTGCGCATTGCTGAGCGCTTGAAGGAATCACAAAATGCTGCCGCGTTCTTGACAACGTTCAATGAGATCGACATGACGTCGCTCAAGGAGTTCCGCTCGCTATATAAGGATGAGGTACTCAAAAATTCGGGCGTTAAGCTTGGTTATATGTCGGCGTTTGCCAAAGCCAGTTCGTTGGCGCTCAAAGAGATCCCCTCCGCCAATGCGTATATTGAAGCCGACCAAATTGTATACCATGATTACGTGGACTTAAGCGTTGCAGTTGCGACTCCTAAGGGGCTGGTGACACCGGTGGTCAGGAATTTGGAATCGATGAACTTCGTAGAGATCGAGCAAGCGATTTCAAATTTGGGAAAGAAGGTGAGATTGAAAGAGGGGACCTCATTTGGCCAGAGCTCATTCTTTCATTCGTATTGAACTCTCACATTTCATTGCACTGCCCAAATTCTTCGCATCGGTTGGATTTCATTCCCGAATGAATTCCAATAGGCCCGTGATGGGCTACTTTCGTTAGAAGACATGGCTGGTGGAACGTTTACCATGTAGGTGGGCCATTACCAAGTTTGGCTGATCCGCGCTATTGCGTGAGGCATTTTGTCTCTAACGGCCCCCTGCTTCTTGAATTTGATTCTAGCTCTAATGGGGGTGTGTTTGGGAGTTTGTACGGTACCCCAATTATCAACTTGCCTCAGTCGGCTGTTCTTGGTGCGTCCCGTGGCATTCGAGGTCGTATTTCTCTAACCGCGCGGCTTGCTCTTTCCTTCCGTTTCCCCTTGTCAGGCATGCATGCTATTGTGGATCGACCCGTCGCTGTGAATGGGAAGGTGGAAATTCGACCTATCATGGTGGTGGCGCTGACGTATGACCATCGACTGTTGGATGGGAGAGAGGCTGTGACGTTCCTTGGTGAGCCGCCTGGTTCCCCCCTTATGCCCCACATTCTTCCTACTCCGCATACTAATCTCACACGCTTGCCTTGCGTTACCAGTGCGTGTGAAGCAGTACATCGAAGACCCGCGGAAGATGTTACTGGTTTCATAGAATAGGGTTTGTTTCGAGCCAGTGGGCAGCTTTTTTCGTTGAACCCCGAATAATTATTATTTGCACGAAACAAATTATATGTATACAGTATAGTAATCATCTCTTGCAGTTCTGCCCTGAGTGGATGTCTGGTTTCAATCTCACCCACGCCTCAATCAGGCGGTGTTAATACTGACTGAATTGTAATTGAGGGGTGATCGGAGATAATAACGGAGTTAATAGTTCCACTTAACCGGAGCTTACCTAATACCACATTGTATATTATCGAAGCAACCTCCTCTTTCTCTCCCTCTGTAACTCGCAACAAACACCTTGTGTCCTCCCTTCATCTTCCCCTCCTCTTGTCGCTCTCCTCGTCCCTTATCTTACCCTTCTTACTACTACTTCTAGTCATACACCATGTCAGTCGCCGTATCAAGACAGCCTCAACTTTCCTCTTTCTCCCGTTCACCAACAAGGGTCCACAACCCAGCACGTTCCTCCCCTGTTCTGGCTCGTGGCATCATTCGTCTCCCAAAGGACATCTCGCCTATTCAGCAAGGCCCCCGCCAAGCAAAGCCTCGTCACCGCCGTTCGCCCAAGTCATCCGCTACTGCTCCGAGCCCACGGCAAATGCCGGTGACAAGGAAGACGAGTTGATTCAACCCTTGCAGCATCACAATGCTACTCCCAAACGCCCAATCAAAGACGCTGCCGGTAGCAGGAAACCTATAACACCCTCCGCGCCTAGAAGGAATGTACACCATACTCCGAAAACTCCCGCCAACCCGTCTTCGCAGGCAGAGACGACTACCCTTGATACGTCTGACTCTGATGTGTCTCAACCGCATACCCGTCCTGAACTTCCATCCACTCCGTCCCCTAATATTTCCAAGAAACGCCCCGCTACATCACCCTCCTCTTTTGAGACGAATGGCAACAAGGAAAAATACGAGGGAAATGGTAACAAAAATTCCCGATCCCGTCGCGGTGGTCACAAGTCCGCTCAGATGCCCGCTCTTGTGTCTGCGGCCATGCCCATCCCAGTTGGCGGTCGAGGCCAAAGCGCAGCTAGAGCGCCTATCCCTGCACAGTTCATGTCTCGCTCTGTCCCCTTGAGCAGCAGCGCAGGGAAAGCGCTCCCTGATTGGGATATGCCACCTTCCTTCAGCACCATAACGGACCCTTTCATTGTCGACCCCGAAGAGCAGGCTGGTAAGCCCACTCGAGCTTCTCGTTCCATGTCACCCGAAGTTGGCCGCCCACTTCCATGGCTTGAGGTCCAAGACGACGATGATTTCCCTCTCATGTCGCCCCCTTCCACTCCTCCGGCTTCCAATGCCAAGAGTCATTCCACGTCTAATCTTCTCCTCCCCTCTCGGCACTCCAACACTACTCCCCGTCGCAGCGGCCGACCAGTCAATCGTCATGCCCGCACGGTTTCCGTCCCAAGCCTCAGCACGCAACCCCTTGTGCAGAGGGAGCAACAGCCCCCATCTCCAGTGTCACCTAAGTTTGCAGACGGTCATCAGGTAAAATATGCAGGGGGTCGCTTCCAAAGTGCCCCTGCACCGACCTTTTTACCTATGCCAACCTTTGCGATCTAGGCGGGGCTGTTGTTTGAGCGGGTAAGCTTTCCACGTGTTTGGACAGGCAGGCAAAAATCTGATCATCGTACTACATACTAGACACCCATGACACAGTGACGTGCGGACAATCTCGCAAACCTCCTTGCTCCCTTCGCTCGTTGACCGCAACCTGAGTCAGGCCATCTCGTTCGCCCCTTGTTCAATGCAAACATTCCCACGTCAAACGGCTAACATACTTTCGGATACCATCGACTACTATTAACGGCCCCCTTCAACGATTCCTCAGTCCACATGGCTATTTTATTTTCCAAACTCGCTTTCTGCTTTCTCGCTATAACTTAGATCAACAACGTTTATCGTTCCCTACCGATGCGCTCGATGTCGAACACTGAACAGCAAATATCGAAACCCTCTGGTTTTCCAGGGCTGAATTTCCGGAACCGTGCGTCGGTTGTACAATTTCCAGATCCTACGGCGAGGTTTCTACAATCTGTGGATCCATGTGCATAATCATTCCTATCCTTATTGGTGTACCCCTCCCCACTCTTTCGCTCACAGTCACCTCGCTTTGACGTTCTCGCGGACATGTGCCTCTGTCGCGATCAAGCTTGGTCCCTGGGATGGTTATCGCTATGCTCCGTATGTTTGTTAATTTTGCTCACTATTCTACAGCTTCGCTTATTTGACCATGATAGACAGTCCCTCTCCTCTCCTCTCACGCCGTCCACATCTTTCTGTTTACAACGCATTCTTCTGTATCTCTGCACATTGATTCTTCCCTTAACAGAATCCAAGTACGAGTTATTCATTTTCTCACCCCTATTCTCTCTTACTTTCAATCCTTCCGTGATTCCCAGTGCTTTCTACCTTTTTAACGTAGTCTATTCTTTTTTTCTCATTCTTATTGAGGGACACTCTTGGGTATTTGCATGCGCCAAAAGTTAAGATTGAATGCTGTGTTATATCCCCCTCTGTACTACCTTCTGCGCATACTCGGCTTTTACGCGCCTCAACTTTACTTCCCCCCTCCTCTGCCTTATGTTTCCTCCCTCCAACTTTCTATAATCCGTTCCCACTAACTGCTCCAACGGACGCCGTCCTCCGTCCGTCCATCCACCTTATTCGCCCATCTTGGCCCATCTGTCCATCATCACCCTTGCAACACCTCTGCAATCGTCCAGTCACTCGTTCATTTCAACAGTCCAACCAACAACCCGCAAGTTTTACTCGAATGTCATTTGCGATCGTTCAACCGTTTTCTCCTGCCCAATCCTCAACATTCCTGCCGTGTCTGCTTGCACTGAAGGACTTCGCACCGTTCGTTCGATTTCGCTCATTGTATGCGCGGAGCCGGTAATCCGAACCAATTTGTGAAGATCGGGATGTGCTCCCACAGTGTTCTTGTTCCCATCTCCTTCCAAACGCCAGGTTTGACGACGGCGACAACATAGAACGGGAGAAAGACTAGAGAGCCTAGAATCGATAGGTAGAATGGTTTTTTCATATCTTTCTGAAAGGGTGTTGTTGGGTCCCTTTGTCGATTCGTGCCTCTTCGTCTGGAGTTTCCTTCTCCCGCTGACTTGGTTTTTGTCTCTTACATGCACATTACGCGTTCTCTTTTTGTCTTCTTGTCTATCTTGTCCCATCGCACCTTGGCAACCTGGTTTCCAACTTGCTTTGTGTGATTCTTTGTCGTCGTCTTAACTTTTTTTACTGTCCTCTATTGCTTCTTCTGTTTAGAAGAAAAACGAATGCGAGCAAACGTGGTCATACTTTTTTTTTACTGAAACTTGTTGTGCAGCGAAGCTACGAAGTGCTACCTTGTTCCGGGCATGGTAACCACATTTGGTGCGCGCATCTTGAAAAGTGTACAAAGAAGAACACTGCTACTCTCTGACAAATTGCCCCTAACATGCTGCTGTTTTTCACGTCGTGACACAATGCTGGTGAAATTTGTTCAGGGACAGTAAGCCCGTGCGACAAACATTCGGATGCTGATGATGGATAGGCTCGAGATGTGAGTTGAGGCTCGAGTGAGACATTCCCTCTCTACCACTTCTGAAACATATGTGGCACCCAGAACTGCAGTTTGCCGTGTTGCATAGATGCTGAAGAGAACATGAGATCGGGCATTAACGGAATGAAGAAATGGATTGGATGCAGGTGTTGATTCTCGTATGTGAGAACTCGAACGCCAGGTTAGGCACAGGGTGGGGACTACCCAACGAAATTCCCGCTACCCCTTCAGCAGGTATCGGCTACGATCCACGTCATCCACAGGCCGGGTCGTACCAACAACTGCATGACAGTGCCCAGTCCCATGGCATTCAAGGGCTAGATTGCGAGGACCTACCTGTCTTCGCCTGCCCAACCACTCTAGGCAGGATCCCAGCCTCTACTAAAGTAGACAACCACTCGTCCCTGGGCCTTTGTCTGATGGCGGTTGCACACCTTTCCATGTATGACGACAGCAACATTTTCCACCGGCACAGGATGTTGACAAACGTGATATCCACGCCGTGCTAGTGAAAGATCGATGTCGTTGTAACGTCTCGTAACCGAGGGAACTATCATACCCCCTGGTGTATATGACAGTGCCATATGATGCTCATAACCAGACTCCTACCCAGGTAATTCGGACAAGACCGACTTGGTAGGGGTGAGTTACTCAATGTTTGGCTGTCGCCTTCCCCACCATCGTACTGGGGCTGTTCAGTTCAGTGGTTTCTGGAAAGCGAAGAATTTTAGCAACTCGCTGCTATTACAGAGATATCAAACGTTCCTAGGCTTAGGTACTCGAACCGCTCATACTGTGCGGGGTGTTTACACGCTGCTGTACCAGGGTGTGAAAGATCTTTCCAATTATCGATTGCTCTGTTGCTGGTACAATCTCGGTTTACGTTGCTCATCACTGCTGGTTACAGAACCGTCGCCCAATCTCTCTTGAAACCTGCCGTTATTAAATGTTACATTGGCCGGTTACATTGCATTTGCAGAATTTCTTGTCATACCGACGTACGTACGCTGTGACCTGACTCCCGGAGTTGACTCTGCAGCGTCGTGTTGCCCTGTATATATCGCATTATCTTTCTAACATCTGTGCTGCCCTCCCTTTGGGTGCGCACGTATTACAGTCATTGCTTTGTTCCTGCACAGCCTAATCTCAATGTATGTTTGCAGTACCTCTCGTTGATAAGTGACCATCGCCTTCTAGGCTCCTGCAGCTTCCGCCTTTTACATAATCGGTCTCTTTCGTCCAACGATCGCATGTTTTGTTCCCGGAATCCAAAGCTCATCATTTATCAACAACGATGTACATGGCCCACAGACGTTGGTTGGATGCATGTTACGCCTGGGTTTTTTGCTACATTATTGACTATCAAAACTCTGCTGCCGCTTCACACGCTCTGTGCTTTTAACCCCCTCTTCAAACGCCTTTCCCCTCGCGCGTTGGAGTCATGTCTGTCCATCCCAAAGCTATTTACTCGCGCTTTCGACGTGCGAGAGAATCTGCTGCCAATGCGCAGTCCCATCGTGAAGCTGTGGCTGCTTTCACCCGAAGACGCCGACAAAGAATTTCTGCTGGAGAAAATCCTCCTATTGTTAATCAGCTTACCGTTCACTGACGACACTTCTCAGCTCTTTCCCTGGCGCCCCGGAGCTTTGTCTGATCATGTGGGTTGGTGTCGCCATAATGGTTCCGAGCTATTGCAACCCCTCCCTCCACTCCCTCCATCCCTCCGTTCTTTTGTTGCAAATCCTCCTTTGGATCTGGAAATTTCCCTGTGCGCTATGCTCGCTCTTGAGGAGCAATGCACCACACCAGTGACATGGGACGGGACGCCAGGAAAAGGTAGCTGGCAGAGGTCGAAGAGTTCGAAAGTCTCGCCAAGCTAGAAGGATATGACTGTGCGCCTCGGCCGCAGATTCTCTCACATGTCGCAATCAAGAGCGGACAGCTTGTGGATGACCACACATGGACCCAAACCACAAAAGAGTAACGCACTTGCCAGTGGTGAGGCTGCTTTAAAAACAGGTCTGGAGAACCTCAGAAGGCATGGACCAAAGTAGGAACAGTTAGATGGAAGAAGATGTGAAATTCGAACGGAAGGAAGCGACGATCCCTTCAGCGATTGTTGACCCAATTCGCCTCGAACTGCTATCAGTTTGCCCCTTATCTCGACACTTAGGGATTCGAACTGTATATTGAAGTGTGTGTTTATCCACCGCACACTTTGTTGGTCAAGTTTCGACATCGACTGATGGTGTTGGTCGTGAAAACAGCAATAAATGTCCGGCTTACAGTGTTAAGGTGAGTACTTCCATTTACTTCCAACTTTCACGACTAGGTCAATGCAGGACAAAACTCAACTTCAAAATCCCTCGCGCGGGTCCAAATGTTTATGTCAATGCTAAGGGAATGCGAGATTTCCTTCTACCAATGCAGATTGCTACACTCGAAAGCAACTCTGCACCTCCTCACGAGGACGACTGTTCGGAGGTGATTCTGGTTCTAATAAGAAACCTGCTTCCACTTCAAATAGTAGCAGCGACCACGACCCATGTCAGGGTGTCCCTCCAGTCGCAGATCCTTCTGAAGCAGAAGCGGTAGCGGTTAAAACAACAGGTGGTGAGACTGTGGTCAATGAAGGTCTTCTACGAATTGTCACCATAACCGATGCATTAATTCTATTCTGAATGAACCGCAGACGAACGCCACAAGTGGGATAGTTGATGCTCGTACTAGTCGCTCGCCTCCCCACGAGTCTGGGCCGTCATCGTCCGAGGCGTTGAGGAAACGTCCATGCAATGACTTGCGTGAATCATTTCAAAGAGACTGGAAGTTGGCATGAGTACAGAAGTAAAGAACTCCACGAAGAGGCTGGAATGCACTATGGCGCGTCTGTCGTGAGCACTACAGGACACAGAAATACCCGCAGCCATCCATACGCAGTAAAGTACTCGGTGACGCAAGCAATTTCCGCGGTCGTGACGTTTGGCTTGCATCACCAGCTGTGTCCAAGTTCCTATGTTACTACAAGGGGGGTTCGTGATGCACTCCTTAACGAGGATAAAGGTTAGGTCACAATCGTTGGATTAGGGCTGCTAAGCAGAGGAACTGGGAGATCATTCCGAGGAATACGAACTTATTGAAGAATCAAAAGAATATTGGCTCTCGGGAATTTTCACGGAAGCTCCTTATCGTTAAGTTTCGGAGTACTATGACGGAAGACGATCTACGAGGGTGGGCACGCATAAGGGATGCTGGCGTATTCCCAACATTTGAGAAGATCTTCCCGGCCACTTAACTGTGTTCTCCTCATGCAATCACGCGGATGGTGAGCCCCCTTAGCCTGGATAGAAACATAACGGGGGTTTGTTTAGTGGATCTCCTAAGCCGCGTTCCATCGATCATTACTTTGAACCATTGGCTCGCCGTTAATCCCCTCTCTACCTCATTTCCTTCGAGTGTCATCCGGAAACTTTATCAGAGATTGCTGGAAAATCAAAATGCCAAGGCAATTATGGGTTGGTGTCGGTCGATATCCCCTCGTGTTGTCTATGTCTTTTTCTCGTGTCCCTGAGTAGTACGAAGCCACTCATATGCGAGCACTGACTTGAAATTGAACGTATGAGGGGCGCGTTCCGATTCGCAAGTTGTTTCAACTCTATGGGACGCCGCAAAATCCCTCAGGAATATATCACTAGTCCTCCCACGGACCCTTGCAGTACCGTTTCTGGGATGGACTTGGGTGGAAGCTAAGCGCTTCACCCCTTAGCGCGCCACTCATCATAATAATTGCACGCGCGAGACCAGCAGCATTGATTCTACCCAGCTGACATTTTCCTCGCGGGAGGGAGAGGCGCGTGCAATTGGAACATCGCGTCCTGCCAGAGCGGCACGGAAATGGTTGAAATGTACCTCTTCGGGCATCGTCCGAGTCCGCCGGTTGGACTTACAGGAGTTTGATTATAAACGCATATAATCTGTATGACAGTACCTCACGCATGCGCTGACGTAGAGGAATGTCCAAACTGTGAGCGCGCGTGCGATATGTTTGAGTTGCACGCGCTCGGACTCCATCACATCCCACCCATAAACTTTAGAAAGTCCTGTGAACCTATTGTCTGAAAGCGTCTCAAGCATGCATCGTAAGGTCGGTTAGTGAATGCGCGGTTGAAGTGAGCGGGCCCCCATACAGTAACAGCCGCCGAAACAGGGCGACAGCGCATTAGTACATAGAACGAAATGTCCAGATTGAATTGGCGGTTGGTCGGCGCAGAACCACCACTTAAAGACTCAGACACGCGCGCGCTAGTAGTGCGAATCATAATTCGAGGGATGGGGGCCAGCACACCAGAAGCGACATGTTATCCAATAGGATTTCTATCCTGAGGCAAGAGAAGGCATCCGAGGGAAATGACAAAACCCATCGGCTGGCTCCAGAACAATTCACTGCTCATTACGTAGGCGGAAAGTGAACCTGTCAGAATATATGGCGTTCGGTTATCTCCGCAATAGCTGGACCTGTTGTTTGCTTTAGGGCTAGGATGCTAGTCAAATCATTCCCTCAAATACATAGCTCGCAAAATCCACACGGCTGTATGCTAGCACTGGCTGGCGCTGAGCGCTGTGGAAGGACCGCGGGGCTGTGTTGAATGAGAGTCGTTCGGCGGGTGGCCTTGCCACAAGTCACAGCCTGTGAGCTGACAGTCATTTGTCCGCTCGGTCAGAGTGTATTCCCCGCTACCTGGCGCATGAACACGAGGTGTCTTCAATCGAGATATAACTGCACTTGTATTTCCTGGAAGTTCTTGCTTGGTCCTACCCTTCGAAGTGTTACTGCTTGCCAGAGAAACCACCCTACTCCTCATCCCCTATCTCCAATCACATAGGTCCTCCTTGGTGTTTCGGGCCACATGCTCATGCCCATAAGGATCCCCTGAATCAAATCGGATTTCTGCCAGAAGCCATTGAGTCTCTCTTCCTGATACTCCAGATCATTCACCAGATTTCCGTGGGATCCGGCTTACTAGGCCATCATTGATGTCGGATAGCGTAGCACGCGTGAACACTCCGTGCTTCAGTTTGCCTAGGCCCGTCGGTTGAGCGGAATGCGTATTTCAGCAGAGGGGCCTCAGCGCGTGTCTCGTGCGCGCATTGTCATGCTACGCACACCGTCGTCATCTGCATGCCGCGTACCATTAGTTTTAGTCCTCGACTACTTGTTTTAGTACCTTGAATGGTGTGCTCAACGTACAAATACAGCTGCTTGTCCCACTGCAAGTCTCGTTTCTCTTGAGTTTCCCATTATGCCCACCAGCTCGAAATTACCTGGTTGCTACCCTTGCAGGGTGAACCGACGATGTGAGATATACTACCAACTGGTCACCCCAACACCCGAATCTAATCGTAGTCCTACGCAGTATGTCCAATGACTAAGCAAGACGGGGAGAGATGCAGTAGTTGCAGTGTCAGGGGCTGGCGATGCGAGGGATATGGCGTGGATGTTCCCGGGTGGACAAAGGCATGCTCCTGTGTTCGTATCTGGCCCAACCGCAGCTGCTCATTCGTTTTGTTTGGCACTAGAATGATGCGTTTATCTCGTGGGTCAAGGTGGAGCTGATGAATAAATCCGCCACGATGCCTGGGGCAAACGAGATGATTCCCGAGCCTGGGCGTAAGTTTTCCATTTGAGTGTCAACTTTCGCAATATTCTCAGCCGAATCGCAGCGGTGGCCGCAGCTACTCCTGTTGTGCCAGTGGGCCCTTCAGATCCTGGATCACAGGTATATGACTACCCTAATGGATCAGGGGAAAACCTTGGGGCACCAAGTGCTGACCCAATCCTGGCCTTTCCGAATCTGCAAGCTTATTCCCCACGGGCGGGAGATACAGTAGACGGCCAGACTTCATATGGCGTCCACTCGCGCTTCAACGGGATGTCGCTCCGCCAACAAGCCGTAGACCCTTCGAATCCCCACTACCAACAACGACCAACCCTGCCTATCACCTCACGCTTCACGATCTGATTCGTCAGGTCTTTGCCATCCTTTACCCTTCGCACCAGCTCACAACGGATCAAATCATATTGGCAATCCATGATCTTCAGCAAATGGGCCAAGACCACTGATTAAATCGATGTCAACCCTGACATTGGCTGTCCAGAACACTAATCGTTCTCTTGGGTGCTTCATTGCAAACTGGTTTTCATCTATTTATTTCGTTGAAGGGATGCGTCTGCTCGTCCATGGAGTTAGCATTAGAGTGGACAGCTCACATGATTGTCTTTAATTATTGTGCCGAAGCTTTTAGCTCTTACGCAAAATCCTTCATTAAATAAGCGACAACATTCATAGTTGTTGTGACAATTTCCGTGTCATTGCTGTGTTGTGGTCGTACGAATTTCCGAGCGATGAAGGCTGTAGAACTTTAGGACGAAGGACGCGAAAGTCATGTCCGTCACCCTGAAAGTATTCTAGGCCTCTCTGAGGTGCCGGAGAGATGCTTAATGTGCAATAGATGGCTTAATTATGCTTCAGTGGGAAGATTGTCACTCACTTTTTAGGAGCAAAGACGGAGACAACTACTAATATGGCTATGACGAGAAGACGAGCGCTGCATCCGTCGTATGGGAGACGGAAATTTTTGATCATGGCAGGCCGTTGGGCCTGGCGGTGTACACACACAAGGCACGCAAGCTGGCAGAGCATGGTTGGTTCTAACTGTAACCGTTGGGAGTCAACGATGACTACGAGAGGTCGCTTTCGCAATTTCATTTTTATTCTTCGCTAGCTGCCGACGTATTGGAGGGAAAAGATTCCTTTCCCGCATACTTTTGACACAGGGTACCAGTGTCAGGCTGGGGAATATAACGATTCTCTGAGGCGTTAACCAAGCATCCAAACACGAAGGGAATGGAAGACGATGTGCGCTCGTCATATATGCAAGGGGCCCTTGGGTCGCATCATCCTATAGCACAGTCCTGGAACATTGTGCCAGCGTACCCGTTCATCCACGTCACTTCCGCCTTTTTCCCAAAGAAACATTTTATTCATACCCGCTTTGTGCGCATGGTGAAATTGGGAGATGCTATCGACATGAACAGGGATGCTCCCGTATGTTATTTAACATCTCTGTCGGCGTGTGGAAGGAAACTCGGAGGGTTTAATCACTGAAAACCCGCTGTGGGACTTGTCTCAACCTGTGGATGGTCTCTGCGATCTCTTCCATTGTAGGTGGGCGCGAAGGACGAGTGAACCTAAAGCATTCACGGACCAGGCCACGAAGGATGAGACCCTCGACTTCATCTGGGTGAACAACCAATAGAGTTCCCTGGTCGTTGGCAACGACCGCCTGCTGACCATGGGAGGTTTGATTGGCGTATCACTCCGGGTCTAGGATGAACGTCTGATAAAGTCTGGTTGTATACGAGGCGATCCGTTCCTTCGTGGTGAGAGGCAGGCGTGCTATAATTGGCTGACAACCCATGATGCTGATGCCCGCCATTGTGCCCTCCATGGAGCTGAGAATCCTGTTTGGAGACGTCGATACCTGGGTACGAATGGATGTGAGTTGAGGAGCCAATACTTGGCCTCGGGAAACTGTCCATAGAAGGGGAAGTGGTCTGGGGTTCGGCCACAGCTGATATGTTTGGCAGCCCAGAGAGTTGAGCCCGAGCCGTGGATGGGTGATCGTCTCTTGAACCCCCCGAGGAATTTGGTGTTTCAAGGGCCCAGCCTCGCGGGGGCGCGATAGCCTGAGGATAATATAAATGGTGCCCCGGTGGACCAGCAGCGCCAAACCCTGCAAGTCCATGAACACCGGCTACTAGGGATAAACACTCAGGAAGAACCTTACCCTCAGTTACTGTCCTCTCATTAATCCCGACAGGTGCGGACATAAGGACAGGGGAATCAACAATTAAACCCTGGAAATTGTCCGTATAAGAAGTGACACTGTTGGCGTGGCGGATCTGCCTGACTGTCTTCGATATTCAAGTGCAACCATGTGGGTCGTATGATCATTTGGCACGGACCGGCAGGAGCCCTCAGGCGTATGGGAAATATAACGAAGTGAGAGGAGGTGTATTCTAACGGTGAAATAGGAGTATGTTGAGGCGAGCACGGAGGGCCGGAAGAAACAGCAACAGCGCTGGTGGCTGCAATTTGACGACATGAGATGCGAAAGTCGACATTAAAGGGAAGATTTATGCTCACCCCAACCCTCGTATCGATCCCAGGCGTTGATCTATGAGGGTAAGCACCAGTTACTGAGATGCTACCTGGATAAGGCATGACAGAACTACTACTTGACACTCCAGTATTGGGCCATGGGCCACCGTAGCATGACTGATGTCCCATGATTGGTTAGGGTGCCCAGGTGTGCTCAGAGCCCAAGCAGGTTGGGGGATGGTGAGGGAGGAAAAATGTGGCGAGGGAATAGGATGTATGATTCCGTGCGCATCTCGGGAAGAAAATTCACGCTCGGACGTTTCCATCCCACCAAACTTCGCAGGTATAAGTGGAGGGGCATTAGGAGCAGCGCTTATAACCTGAACGTTGTCCGCATTTGAAGCAGCGGGATTGGTTAAAGTTGGCTGGTTGAGAAACGTGGGATGACCCGTAAGTGGGTCTGCCGACAGTCAGGTGTGTCCATGGTCCAGCGATGTGAGAAAGGACTGTGTATGAAATACGAGTGTGGACCGGTTGAGGGCGACCTAACAGTGAAGCAGCTGGTGCTAAGATATCACGAATATTTATGTCCGAGGGGTAGAGACCTACGTTCGGTCGTCCTCTCACCGATTCGAGTTTGGGAGGGCACCGGGATATGCAGATCCATCGGCGTGTCCTCAGACCGGTTCACCGACCCTTGGTCTCTTACACGTGGACTGCTGGGATTGGTCATTAGAAACCAACGCAGTAGGTTCGGTTTATAGGGGCTGCGGTATTTGTAGCTGGCAGAGCAGAAAGCTCGTCCTGTGAAAGAGCAAGTAACACTCCACAAATGTTCAAGCGATGTCTTCATTTTCTTTTGCAGAGACACGCAAGTGGTGCGCGCAGCGCATTAAACGCGGGGGGCGTTGCGCGTAAGGCAATTAATGCAGGCGAGCATGCGCGGGGTTGATTTATTTCCCTTTTGGGGGCCAGGCTCGCGCTGTAAGCCCAGGCGCAATCGGAAGTTGCAGCCATGATCCGTTTCAATAATTCACGCCCACCAAGTAACCCCGGTATGTTGTTTCCAACAATAATAACTGGAAGAGCCAAACGACTGAATGCTTCCTGCTATTGAATTGGCACAATGATTAGGAATCGACAGTGAGTTTGATGACTGTCACTGTAGGGTCAAGGTGCGTACATCTGGGCTACCACCAGTTGGTTGAGGAAGGTAGGCGTATGCTGGGATACAAGGAAGGTTATATATGCGATAACTGCCATTCATGCGCCAGATTGGCGGGGAATTCACTGGCCTGCAGTAGACAGAGGGGGCCCGCCGAATAGTTCCAATGACCACAGCGCGGCGGGAAGGCTGTTTCCCAGCGCTGAGTGCACCAAGCGCAAGACCTGTGCTCAGGCGTCTATCGTATTGAAATTCCCGGGCCACTCTGGAGGCGAATTTGATTTTGCTCTATTGGGGCAGAGTCAGCTGTTTCGTTGTCCTGCTTTCATTCCAATTATGGTCTCAGGATCTCAGCTGTCACAGGCAGGAGAGCAGCATAAATTGAAATGCTCTAAGGGCTGACAGCCGATGCTCAACTCACCTTACACCGGAGAGCCAATCTCGTTAGTCCGTAGACTGTTTACCATTGGTAACTTGGGTCAAAACGCCGTGCTAATTGCATAGGCTTCACATTATTGACTGAGATTCTGGCTATTGGTTGCCCGCGCGTCGCGCCACCCCAGCTCCCTTTTGGTCACCCCAGGCCCCAAGCGATTAAGAATTCGCTAGCTTGTACTTACGCCGTCTCATCGATGATATTCCATAGGTCCAGATAACGTTCCATCGGCTATGTGCGCGGCTTTCCTCCGGCGGCGCCTACTCCACGCCGCCGCAACCGCCGGTCATGCCTATTTGGGCTTCCCTTTGATACGCGCTCAAAACGGAGCGATTTTCATTGTTCACATTCCCCTCAGACGAAGGAAGGAAGACGCGTTGCATGACACGCGCACGCACTGGAAATTGGACCGCGCACACTCGCAGGGCAGGCACGTTTGAGCCAGCGCACGCGGGGGTTGGACCACAACGTGCATTCATCCTTTACTGTGCGCTCAGCCGGTAAGGCAATCAGCTACTAAGACAATGCGATGAATTTCGAACAATAGAGTGCGACAGAAGAGGATCAAATTCCGTCGAAAGACTCTTCTGAAGGATCATACGATCCTCTGTTCAACGGGCTGCTTATCAAGTTTCAAGGGCCATAGCACAAACTCGTCGGCACGTTCAAATTCTTCAACGGCACGACAAGCCAGGACGAACTTTCTGAGATTACATCGTTGCATTAGCAGTAGGGCTCCTGATAAGTCGGATTCGGATCGGATTGACGTTGGATTTTCTTAGATCTTGAGAGGGTGTGGGCTTGACTGGGGGCATTGGCATGGTCACAGCCGAGTCCGCATTCTCTCAAAACCTGCCAATCTTGGAGCAAATCCAATGCCAATGCAATCCGAATCCGACTCATCAGGAGCCCTAATTAGCAGAATCCGTCGTTTGATGCGTTATGGATAACGAGTCTATGTCCCCGTTTCTGCGCATAGCGGATGAACAGATTTGATTTGTACCGAAACGACTGACCGCTTGCTCCGCATCAAACTACATGTCCAAATGCATGAAATTCCATCATGAAAGCAGCCTGAGATGCGGCTTCTCAGCGTAGGGTACCTTAGGTTGCATTTCCAAAGAATCCGCACACGCAATGCATTGCGTTTGCTCGCCGGATTGAATTCTGGAAGCCACAGAGTTGCATAGCGGATATTGAACCATGCAAAGTTGGTATTATTTTTGGTGCAAGCACACATGAATAGAGCTTGTAGTGGTGACATGGGGCGTCGTTTTTGGTCGTTTAGAACTTCTCCGGGACTTTCCGCGCGACAAGTTTGGCCCGTGGACTGGGGTAGGATTCACAACTGGCGGGCTTGAGCTTGCCATGAGCCTTATGTCGTTTCTCGATTCGGTGGCTTTCCTCACTCGCAATGGGCGCACCAAATTTCCTTCCTCGGATAGCTCACAACGAATCTACTGGCCTCTGTGCATGCTTTCTGCTGGAAGCTCAACTTCGAATGTTTGTACGCTATGCTACGTCTTGCTACGTAGAACGCTATGTCCCGCATCTTTCCATGGTTCCTATTTGTCTTCATGGCCACAGAACTACCATAACCCGGGATTGGGAAGTATGTGTCGAACCGCACCTAGTTGAGACAACCTTTATACTGTGGTTGTCCATCCACATGCTCTGCCAGCCTGTCCACTAGTTTACATGAATGGCCAGGGCCCGGTAATCCCACTTCATCCCTTCGGATCGCCCCACCAGCTCACTGGCATCTAGTTCTCCCATCTGCAGAACGCGCCTCAGTCTCCATCACAGGCAGTCCTGTCACTAGCCTCGCTTCGCACACATATCCAGTGAAAATTATTATTTCAAGCGTCCATAGGTACATCGCATTTAAAACTAAGGACAATGAAATGACAAGGGGTAATCAAGAAAGACGGGCATGAGATCGGATTTCCAGCCGCCGAAGGGGAAGCATGCACTGGGCGGTAGGTTTGATGGCTCCCATTAGTCGTCTTGGCCTATTTGTGGAAGAAGGCGAATCGCGAATGCGACCTGCTCCTTTGTGGGCTGAAGCGAGGGATGAAGAATGGCAAGGGCTTGGCGTACCAGGCGGCGAAGGACGGGATTTTCGGTATCAGGCCGTGGTCCTTGTTGGTCTTTGGAGACCGTCTCGCTGGCTCTAGCCCGTCCGGGCATGGGCGCGGGCTGGTTCATAGGCTCTACCCTGACCTGTTGGAGGAATTTATTCTAGTCCCAAACCAAATAAATCGGCTGCATTGATTAATCAGATGTGAACATGGGTGCATACCTCGGACCCTTTGGCTCCATCTCCCTTACACTGGATGCATCCCACGCGACAACTGCCACACACAGCTCCGTTGGTCTCAGTCATTGGACGTGCTATATATATATAAGTACTATTAGGGGATCGGATTCGGCGCGATGCTGGCAGTCAATCTCACATCGTCGGCCCACCCTACACGGGGAGCACCACAGCACTTCGGAGATAGGTGGCATGAGAGCACTATTCGGGTTCAAATGCCAGATAAGTCTTGAGGATGGGAGGTAGTTCCGACTCGCAGAAACGGCGCTATTTGTACCTGCTGTACACATCAAGGCTCATCGTCGCACAAGACGCGAGGCACTAGGTGATTTGAAGGTCTATTCTCAAAAACCTCAATGGCATGCGGGCACAAGGGACGCGCGGGGGTGTGGTATGACACGCCAACTGGTGAAGCGTTCTCGTTGCTCCTGTATGGGCGCAGCGATATCAAAGCGATATAGCCCCGCGTTCACAGCGGCACCGCTATGCACATCCCAATGTGGTTCTTTGCCCATGTCTGCTCACATACTAAATTGGTTTCGATGACGAGGCTGTGGTTTCCCCATTAAGCGCTGACGGAATCTGGATATCCATCCATTATGCCTGACCTTCTTCCGGCGGCGGCTGTGCCAGTACCACGACTCCCCGCCCGCCCCGCGCGCTTACCGCCCATTCCCGACCCGCGCTCCAGAGGATTTCAGACGAGATTTACACATTCGGCTTCAGCTTGTGAGCAGCCTGCAGTAACGTGTGTCAATCATTTGAGCCTGTAGTGCAATTCGTCATGGGGATTCCCTTTCGGCAGTGGCGCGTAGGTATGCGATATGTGTCGCATTGTGCACTCCCATGGCGTTATTGCGAGCTCAGTTTACGGCTCGCTCAGAGAGTGGATTGGGATGGAATTGGCAAGTCCCCAGTCCGGGCGGCTACACCCTCAAGAGGCAAAGTGATGGTTTCAGTCTCAACATCCAAAAACTCTTAAAAGGGGTTTCTCATCTCGGTAGGCTGTTCTCTCTCCGGCAGGCGCTGCGAGAGTGCTCTCGCACACCGCGATCACGTTCTACCAGTCCGGATCTTTATAATGCCAACACCTGCCCTAACATTACGTGGCCTGTCCAAGCTGCGGAGTCTTCGCACTCCTGGGAGCTGTCGTGTTGCATGTTAGCAAGGACAACAACCTGTATCTGTTCTATCTAATATTACGAAGTCATCGAGGCTGGAGTCCTGCCTATGTATGTGATTCATTTTAAACTCCGTATCCGTGCCTATTGGCATATGACAGAGTGTACAACGAGTTACACTGCACGAAATAAATCTTGCGATTGTACCTCCCGTTTTGCCAGCTCTCCGGCCGCCATCCGCCGGTGTCCCATTTCTTGCAATGGGTCAGGGTTCCTAATTCACTTTCATCCGTGTCACGCCACATGGATATATCCGCCCCCTCGATTCTCTACACATCAGAGGCGGTATTTGAATGTCGATAGCACTCCGAAGTTACAGCGAAGTGCAAAAAAATCTGCCGGTTTCGATTTTGACGGAAGCGATCTGCGGTGGAGTCACCCGCTACCAAAATCAGGATTTGAATGGAAACCCCAATGGCACCGTAGAACTCCCCCTGAATGTGGTGCTTAAGCGCCCAAACTCATTGCCCTTGCATCAACAAACCGTTAACTCTGTCTAGCTAACACGGGAAAACATCTTGAGCGCAGCGCAAAAGACATCTTGACCCAACAAGAGATTGCTGAGGCCTCGGGAGTGTCCGAACGTACTGTTCGGAAGTTGCTCGCTGCTCCGTCGTCCAGTATAGGCGTGCGGCTGATTTGGTGCCTAGTCCCCCTCACCTGTTCTTCCGCACCATTTCCTTGTGTATTATTAGCTGATTTCTTACCTCGTAAGTGGTCCTTGGGCCTCGTATCCATCAATAATGCTGGCAATGCGATTATGAGGGTCAATACAACACCAAATGTTTCTGGGAATCGTAACTCTGTCCGAGTCCAAACTAGATCCAGAGGCCAGCAGCTGAGCGTGATGAACAGCTCCGAGCAGATTCCAGGAGGCATATGGGGGTGACTTACAATGCCAATCAACTCGTTTTTGTGGATGAGACAGGGTCAACCGTCATGCATCGTCGCGTACATATGGCTGGGCCCCTTATGGAGATAGGGCTCACCGACGTGATTTCTTTGTCCATGGCACTAAGTTTGTACTGAGCATCTAATTGGTAACCATGATATTCAATTTTTACTCTTCAAACTGTTGCTGCCCTTGCCGTGATTGCCGAGGGTGAAGACCCGGCGCTTGAGCTGTTGATCCAAATAAGGAAATCCCTGCCGTGAGCCACGATCTTGCCAACTTTTTTGGGTAGAGGATTCACCTGCCCCACTTACCCGTTCGAATCGAAACCGGCAGATTTTTTTGCACTTCGCTGTAGTGTACCTGAAGCTGATGATGAGAATGGCAAAGTGCGAAAAGGACAAAGGACACGTACACGCGCCCTGTGCCCTAAAGAAGAAACAATATGAACAGGGTGGGAAAGTTGAATGTGAGGGTAATTCAGGGCGTAGCCATTCGCACTCTCCGCCCAGTCCCAAGGGCGTATTGAAAGCTTTGCTCAGCTTGTCAGCGTCTGCACAGCATGAGTGGCCACGATGAGCTCTCGAGCCACTGGAGAACGTTCGGTGCAAGATATGGACGATCCACTATCCAGAAGGTCATCCTATTCGCAGTTGTTGCATATTGCCTCCTACTTTTTACAGGAGTGCGTCATGCTTCGAGCTCGTATAAACGTACAGCAACCACTGATGTCATCAACTCATTGACTAGTATTTTTCCCATGTTCTGCCAGGTGTCAGCGATGACGCTCAGTCTCCGCTATCCGACACAGGACAAACTTCGCGAGAAATTAGCAGGATGAAACCCAAGGTCACGTCTGGACGCGTTCTAGTCACTGGAGGCGGAGGGACCATTGGTGCGTCTCGTTAGTACAACATGGGTGACCGAGTGTTAATATTTCAATTTGACGTAAACCAGGAAAACATGTTGTACGACGGCTCCTAGCTGCCAGGACGCCTGTTACGATTCTCGATAGGATCTTCTATGAGGACGAGTTAGAACTCTCTACATTATCCCCTTCAGCCCCTTCTTTGCTTCAAGTCAACATCGGTGATATACGTAATACCTCAGCGCTCTCGTCGGCCTTCACAAATGATATCTCAGGTGTTATTCACCTGGCAGCAGTCTCCCGGGCGGATTGGTGCACTGAGAGCCAGAAGGATTGTTCTGACATTAATGAGCGCGGCACGCAAATGGTTCTTGACGCGCTGATTCAGCTTAATACTCGCGATCAGGGGAGGCGATGGTTTATCTTCGCAAGCTCATTCGATGTGTACCATTACCTGAGTGATCAGCCGATGGATGAGCGCACAATGACTGCACCCGTTAATGCTTATGGCCAAACGAAGCTCGCAGCTGAGAAACTTATGATCCAGCGTCTCATGGGAGGGACAACCCTGGCTGGACGTATCCATGCGGCTGCTTTGAGACTTTCAACAGTCTATGGTGGCGCGTATGATCACCTCGACAGATTAATTCCTTCTATTGTGACTCAGGCCATCTCCAATCAAGTCGTTCAGATGTTTAGCGGAAACCAACAGGTCAGTGGCGCGTCATCCTTAGGCCTACGCATACTGATTTCGCCTCCACTTCAGCTTGATCTGCTCCACATTGATGACTGTGTGGACGCCCTCCTCCTCACAATTGAATATCTTTCCAGGTCACTCAATAAAAAATCCTGGTTTCCGACCCGCACCTCTTTCGAGATTTTCAATATCGCCTCGGGTCGTTTGGTCTCCGTCGACAGGCTCGTTGACTCCCTCGTTGCTCTTACCCATTCCAAATCCCCGATCCGTCGCATTCCCCGGAACGAAACTGCTCTTGTCCCCTATAAGGGAGCAATCGAGAAGGCCCGGAGAATCCTTGGATTCCACCCCTTAGTTAACATCGACACAGGATTGTTACGACTCGTAAAGGCTTACCTGACCCGTATAGAATACTTTTTGCGTAAACGCATGGAAGGCACGTGTGGCGAAGCATCGCCTTCAATCGCTATCAATGCCGATCTTGAGAAATTGCACGATTGTCATATTCATATCGAGGTTAACATCCAGGGGGAATTTCAATCCTTGATGCCTCCGCCTCGGGACGACGAGCGGGGGTGGTCCACTGACACAATATTACCTCCCCCGTCAGCGCGGATCTATAAAGCTGGAGGATGGACAAAGGAGAGACAAATTTACAGCATTCAATCGCCATACGATGGGTGGTGGTTCGGTGTGACGCGTCCTGATCCAGGACCGGTTCAGCTTCCTAGGATAACGAAAGAACAGATTGATAGCATTCTTCCTCAGCCGGTTGTGGATTGGAGAATAGAGGTCAACCCGGATGACGACGTCACCCTTCGATTTGTCGTCCCAGATACGGATCTATATCTGATGAGTCCAACGGTTGTTGGAGGGAACTTTTCCATCGTATCTAAGAAGACTCGGGATGAGTGGCCATTTAGGATTTCGCCCATATGTTGTGAGGGTCCTGCACCATGGCCTTTCCTTCGTGATGACCGTGAGCCTTCTTCTCTTCGGCTTAATGCCGCCACCTCGGGCTTGTTCTGATATCGGGTGTTTCGAAATTAGCGTTGGATTATTCCGTTGAGTTTCAGAGATCATCTTTAGAGCGACCATTCTCTGCTTCTCCATCGAGGGCTATTTGCAATCGCTTGGAACGAGCCTCAGACAAGGTGAAACGTGAATTGGAGACTTTGTCAACTGAGAAGTTGAAGGAATCCAAAGGTACTGGAATGAGCAGGTTGCCTGTTGAGTGGGTGGACGCAGATTTACCTGCCTGTTTAAATGTCTGTGATCACCCGACCATTTGTGTGGATACTGGAGATTGTCAGTGTGTCCTGTCGAGTTGTCTTGCCAGGGAACGACGTCTTGTGCCAGCTGTCTCTGACCCAGCTTCCATCTCGTTCCCTCTCTCTGGGCCGGGAGAAACCACTCTGGGTGATATGGTCAAACGCTCACGGTGGCAGAACGTCCTTCGACCTCTGGCTGCCAGTTTTGTTGCCGCCAACATCCCCTTCCCTCGTGTCCACGCCGCGTCTCTCCCCGAAGTGGACCGTATATTCAACGAAGAACACCAGATTCATAAAATTCAGAATGCTCACTGTTTCTCTGCGGATTCACAACTCGAACGGGCTGTCAGGCTGATTGGAATTGGAGCAGGAGATGATGCCGAGATGACTTATGTTCCTAATTATCAGACACGGAACGATGAAATTTTGAGGAGGTATGACCACGCACTGAACACTGTGGAAGGATTCGATGCGTCGAGGGTTATTGTTGTTTTGACGCATGATTGGGGAGTATGCATGCATTTCGAGTGGTACGTTGAAGCTCCTTCGTCTTTGGTCTGTGCCCCCACCTGATATTCATGTCTTCGTGTCTTAACGGGATTGCTTGTTTGGGGGAAACAACAGGGCAGTCTGGAAAATGCGAGAAAATATCCCGAATATCAAACCGATTTTCAGGCCAGCGACCCTTTGGAGCGTTATGGCAGATTTAAACACTGCGTGTTATTGGCCGCAGCAGTATATCGTGTATGTTTTGCCTGAAAACGACTTGTATTCATGGGACCACTGATCAGGTACCCTACTTCCCTTAGCATACCACCCCGAAGTTGCAGCACTCCGAAACTTCTCAGGAACTTTTTAGACATTGCCAATGTCCGTCCCGCTCGTGATCGTCGGGTTCTTGTGACGTTCTCCGGCAGTCTTTGGGGAACAGGTTTCGTAAATCGTGTAAGGTTGGAGTGCAGGCGCGAGGGATGGAGGTCGGGAGAGACGGAGAAAAGGCTGCACCCTAATGGTCCAAAATTGAGAAGTATTTTTGGGAACACGGGGTCTTATGATTATATGGGCATTCTTAACGATACGATCTTCTGTCCACAGCCTGCGGGGACTACTGGTGAGCCTCCTTGCGATCACGACCCCCCTTACTTTTGTTTCTGAAAGATTGATACACTAACCTAATATTGGTCAGGCTGGGCTACACGCTTGGTAGACAGCATATACGCAGGGTGTATACCGATTCTTGTGGGCCACAAGTCGCACTATCCTTTCTTCGACATGATTGATTGGGGGAAGATCTCTGTACGGATCGACGCCTCTGAACTAGATCGACTTGAGGATATCCTTCTATCTCGATACACTTTGGAAGACATCGAACGCCTTCAGGTGAACGTCATGCTCGTCCGTGATGCGTTCGTTTATCCGCTGGATGACGTGAGTGATGACGTGGTGAAGGAGATGATGATTAAAAACCGAGGGCCGCTTTGGTTCGCCCTTCATTCGACGCGGATGAGAATGCTGACGCTGTTTCCGACCGAGACATAGAAATTGGCCACGGGAGCTATGTGGAGCTCTGGTCGAAGTCCGTTTTTTTCACTGACATCGACATTTGTTCTCTGGATCTGAGGGGATATTCCTTAGGAAATGACACGGTAGTAACGTCCCTGTATTAAGCCTTGGTTGTTACCCTGGATGATTAGGTCATTGATTGGAGATAATATGGTGCCTGTATATCCTATGGAAAGATGTACACTATGTCATATATAATAAAGCCCAGAGTCCATTTATCTGGAGGGAAGTTGTCTCCCAAAGCATCCTAAGGTGTCACCCGAGGCCTTGTCTACTGTGAATGACTGGGTGCGAAGGGCAGAAGATGCCCACGCTGAGGACGATGCGGCGAATCCCTTATGCAGGCAGGGGTTCGAGCCTTCATGACTATACTCATCTCTGCCTCCTCTTCATTCGGTTCAATTCATCAACACAGCATCAAGCTGCAGTGCGCGCGGCGACATGCGTTGTTCCTGTGACTGATATTTGAATTGAAGTTTAGGGCGCGCCCAGAGGTTACTGATATACGGATAATTCAGGGAGCATGCATGCCCAATTACGGGTACATGGAGAGCAGCCAGTCCACGCTTTAAGGGACTGGCGAACTCAGCAATGCAGCGGGTTAAGATACGCGGAGGACCCACCACAGAAAGCGGGCTACCGATCGGTCGCGAAGCTCGTGGGGGCGCCGGCCATATCCGGTGGAGTCGCCCGCGAGGCACTTGCACCGCAGACTGTGATTACTGTAACACCTCAAATGCTCTTCGTTCATAGCGGATCCCCTGTTAGCATAGCCAAGGCATAGAAGGGAATGTATCCTGCATTGGTAGAGCCCGGATCGCAAGTGCTTGTTACATTATGGAAGCGATGCCCTACCAATAGAGCAGGCTACTGCGAGGGCGCGAGGCGTCAAATATTACTGCCGCTGGGTGATTCAAAAACGCGCATGCTGGAGTGCTGCACTCACGCGCGTTGACATGACACCCACGATCTCATTGTACATTCCGCCACAGAAATTCCGCACTCAGTGACTTTGGCTATGGATAAGAGCTAGCTTCATGCCAACATCTATCAAATCAGCAATGAAACCTGGATGCCTCCCTTGCCGGATAAGGAAAAAAAGTCAGGATTTGGTTGAGCAACCTCGAGCTCCTTGCTAACTAAGTTCGCCTAGAGTGTCCAATGACGGAAAAAGACTCTGGTAGCTGCAGCACTTGCTTGCGTCTGGGATTTCGCTGCGAAGGTTACGGCACCAGACTTCCTGGCTGGGCTAAGGTGCTCTATTATGCACTTAAACACCACGTGTTTTGACTGTTGAAATCACAGAATGAGCAATGCGTTGGGCTTTACAAGAGCCGCCTACTGAACGAAAGGCTTTCTCGGTGTTCCGCTGGCGAACGTAATAAGAAATGGTTGACGGATTGTGAGTCTGCCCTTCGGTCAATGATCCACATTTAGTTTTTAACGCCCATCGCATGGCCCACCAGTGCCATCAGCTATTCAGGAGCCAGAAGCCGCTCCATCTTTCCGAGACCCAATATCCCTTCAGAGATTCGTACCTCAGGATTTGGGTGTTGAGGGCTGCTCGAGTTCTTTAGAGGCGCGTCAGTCTACTTAACGCTCACGCCCTCTCTTACGCTTCAATTCTTCATCAGGGTGTTCTGTTTGAAAGCACCTCGCTTACACCACCCTTTCGGAACATAGCTCCTTGTTCTATTGAACCCCCTAAAGAATCAGCCACCTCTGATTCCTTACCCGACCCCCATGACCTCCTACCCAGCAATAACCTCGATTACCAAAGGTCCTGGGATTCTGTGAACCCATGCCAATATACCTGCAATGAGGACACCATGCCCATACTTCCTCTCGATACTGATGTGCCATGTTCTCTTTCATCGGCTTTGGGAGGCAATAGCACAGATGGCACCTTAAATATACCCCAGCTCTCGGAGGATGCCTCCCGTCCGCCACACGCTTCCACAACCAGTGAAGAATTCACCGCTATTTCTCATACCTTTGACTATCTTAAGCTTCTTTTTCCTTGGAATGTGCCCACCATGCGACAAGTCTGTTTTGTCTTTCTGCAAGCTGAAAAGGCCATACGGAACGAATTCTAGCCCATCTTAAAGCATGGTAGTAATTGCAGCCCCGATTCCATCTCCGAACATTGTATTGACGGGACTGACCACGAGTATATCTTGTCATGCAGCATGACATAGGCGACATAATGTAAAGTGCATGTACTCTTGAAGAAAGCAATCTGCAGAACAATGATCATATACACATGGGTTTTAATGTGGAGACCCAATTGGGTTTGGAACAGAATTCCAAGGTAGGAGTCTATTGTTGAAGCGCAAGTGATTTATCCACAAAGCATGTACTAGAAGCACTACTCGGGGCCGATCGCGTGTGGGATGACCGCGGCCAGTGCCTCTTTAACTTTCTGTGGGCATGTCGGACCGAGAAAATAGGTTGGACAATGTGCCCCTCATTATTACGGAGCTAGGCCTCATCACTTGCATGCTCTGCGTGTGCCCTAGGCGAGGGCGCGCCAAGATCGTCCCTATTCTTCGATCGAGCTAAGCATCCATGGTTTCAGGAGTAGATTAAATGTACAGTCCTCACAATGATCCTAACCGTCCACCAACGTAGTACGCACTGGGCAGAAGCCCCTTCGTACTCGATCATGGACCGTACGTGAGCGCTCTTCAGGTGCAACCAGCTCTACACAGATTGATGGCTACATAATATACTCCAGCTACATTAGCGATGCGGGTAACCCGATTCCAATCTGGGATATTATTCTTCGTGTGCTAAATGAGACCTCGGATCTTAAAGTTGATTACAAATGTTGGTACAAAAGATGTGGCAATATGGGTACGGGTGAGCAGAAAAGTGAAAGGATTAAGGTAGGATGGAAATGGGACTTTTATCCAACAGCGCAGAATAATGTGACAAATTCGATTTAATATACAATGACTCCTGGATGGAAGCGTCTGGGCGCCGTTCTGGGCGTTGAGGTGATCTTCAATCTCGTAAAAAGGAAGCGGACGTTGGGAAAGCAGGAGTTATGGGACAAACAGATCATACTATATCTTCGGGAAGTCGTATGAATTGCGATGGACCATCGGTGGTGGGTGTGGGACTTTCGAGACGGATCGTTGTGGCAGGACGCAACGCATTAGGCAAAGGTCGTTCAGTATCTGTTGGCGAAAGAACCGGGCGAGTGTGTGTGAACTGCTGGAGTGGTGGGGCCTGTTGCGGTTGGGATGAAAATGTAGGAGGCTCCTGGTGACGGGGTGGCTTCATCTCAACGCCTCCCCACGGTGCTGTCCAAATGCGAACAGTTCCATCGTGAGTGGCGCTTGCAAACATAAGCTGATTAGGACTTGAATTATTCCATGCGATCCCAGTAAGATCTGAGCCTTGATCTTGTGCACGGAGCAAATGTAACAGTTTAGCCGTTTCGCGATCCCAAATGTGGACCTCTCCACCTAGGAGGAAATTGATTTGTTAGAAGCAGGCAACTCCTTGCTACGTTCGGTCACTCACTCTTCCCTGCGCACAAAACAATCTGATCTTCCGTACCACCAGTCCCAGAGACATGGCCGAGGTAGGAAGCTCCAGCAAAGTCAACTTTCTTTGGTGGAACGTATGTGTGCAGGAGAACAAGCCGGGCCCCCCTGTCTCTGACATGATCGATCCGGAACAGTTGTGGAGCCGCCTGAGATAGGGTGGATGGGCGTCATTCGTGACCACAAAAACTTAATTACTACACGTACCCTGTGTTCGTAGCTAACTAGCGCGCTGGTACCAGAGACGGAGAGTGTTATATCGCGGACTTCGTTGAGAACGGGAGTTTGACTGCCAGAGATGTCAACTTAAAGTTCACATGAAAATCCAATCCGCTGCCAAAACTCACTTTTCGATTTCCTTAGATTGTAAGTTGTAAACTAGGTGGATTAAAAAATGAGTATCCCGCGTTACGGAGGCGCTAACATACGAGCCGTACTTAGAATGCGTTTCTCATGTGGAGACGTGGATGGTTTCAGGCCGTCTGGTGATTGTTCCAAAGTAGCGACCGCAAGGAGCCTACACCGGCCAATCAGTGGTGCCTTTCAGAGCGTAATAGGGAACCCACCGAGTTTCATCTGGTGTCACCACAACGTCATGCATCCACAAGTGATTCAATTGGGCAGTCCATTCGACTTTGCCGGTCAAAGACTGGGGAAATTGTGAACACAATTGGTCGAAAGGTGGCAGCGTTACATGTATGCTCACCAACATAGTGATGCTTGTTCCTTCAACGGAAATGAAGTTCTGACAATTCGGCATCCAGGTCACTGACTGTATATTGTGAACCCGCTCAATTGTCCGTTGACACACACCCGTCTGACTCAATTGGATTAGATATAGAATAAATCAGATCAAATAAATTTTCACCCACCTCCGAACTCCAGACTTTGACACCGCGGGTCATCTTTGTCAGTAAGATCTTCCCATTTGGAGACCATGCCACTTGACCGACGAAACCCTTAGCGTGAGCCAGTTTCCGGTGGATCGTAAACGGCTGGCCGACTTTCCAAATAATTGCTGTCTGATCCCAGGAACAAGTGGCAACTGGGGAAAAATACACGTGTCACAAGGTCATCGTCACTAAAAGCGGGGGGACGCTTACAGTACTCTCCACTGGGGCTGAACTGCAAATGCCTAACTAATGCCGAATGCTCCGACAGATACTGCGTGGTTGTTAGCGCCTTTAAAGCAGGTACGATCGCAGCCAACCTCGACGGAGGCCTCTTTGACTGACTATGACGCTGTGCTTCCACTGAATCCTGCCTTCGATAACTCATACTCGGATGATGATTAGAAGATGAATGTTTCCTCCCAGAAGTCAAGGTCGCTGCAGGCGTCTCGCTCGTGATTGGACGGCTAGGCTGTAAGGTAAACGGTCCAAAACCCACACCCCGATTCATAAGTACAACTTTGTTCACGAGAGCTTTGAACCTCCCCCTCCCCGCCGAAGGCTGAGATGGAGCACGTGAGGCCTCGAGGTTATTTTGAGCCTGGGAAGGGCTGGCAGGTGATGGTGTGCCTGCAGATGTCTCCGAGGAGAATACGATGCTAGTAGGTGGGGGAGAAGCAGGAGGCTTCTCCTTAATTTCCAGGGGCTTAATCTCACTGATCGATTCAGTGCGGGGACTGACTGCTACTGGAGTGCGAATAGAAGCCGAAGATAACGATTGAGGGGTCGCATAGCGTGTCAAGCCATTACCCGGCTCGGAATTGTTCGAGTAGTATTGAGGCAAATCATCCCTGGATGCACCGTACCCGAGATCGCTATTGGTCCTCCCATTCTCCAGGCTCGCCGTCGACGAACCCTGACGTGCGGATATCATGATTCCGAGCCTTGATGCTTGATTCCGTGCTTTGTTAAAATGAAATGTGACCGCCGCGATACCTCTTTTGATGTAACGCCCTGGGAAGTGTGTCGTAAAGTAATGGTATCCACTGTACATTTTTGTGGCAGCAATGAAATCACGTAGAATCTCTGCCAACCACTAAACGGATTGGGAAGATCTGTAAGGGATCAAGCGATATATTGGTGAAAAATTGAACGTGCATACCTTTCTCCCTTTTGTTTTTCCAAACGCATATCGTTCTCCTGCAAACCAAAACCCGACTGCAAATAGGGCGAAACTCGAAATTGAGGTACACACAGTGGTGACAATAGGGATAAAGGATGCCCCACCAAAGTTCGAGTATGTGAAGCATACCAACCCCGCGGAGAACGCGATCACAGAGGAGACAAGAAACATAAGGGGAGTACGTGTGATCCAGATCGATACCCACCACGGAACGCAGGCTCGTGGGGAGCGATATATCGCAGAACTATGAGATAATCCGAAATGAGTTCATTGTTGGCAACTAAAACTGGGACTCACCGCCAGTGATACGCCAATTGACTATTGATGGCGCTTGCGAGTGAAAACACAAGTGAGGTCACCCATAACAGGTTGACAGCCTCCTCAGTCTTCGTGGAGTGTGTCTGGTAGCTGTACTGGAGGGTGGAAGCCGTGACCGCGGAGAAAAATGTGGCTACGGTTGAAAGATTTTGGAGACCGTTTGCGGTGTGCTGCTGGGTGAACCGAATGGTCGGTACGCCCACTTCAATGAACGTTGTGAGTGCTTCTGAGATATGATCCAAGTGTTCTCCCATTTCCCCCGTCAAGTCATTGACGTAACGCTCGACTGAAGGCCACCTGAATTGACCTGAAACGTAAGAATTGTCAGGGCGTAGTCAGTGGCTAATCAAGACTGAGATCTAGTACCTTCATAATCTTTCAAACACGATGACCAGTACATCAAATCCTGGTAAAAGCTCATGGCAGACGAATTCACCGCTTCATCTGTAAATTCCGGAATCTGATTCAAGCACTGCAAAAACGTGTGCAAATCTTTTGCGAGCAGGCCGAGTTGCTCGGGCAATGCTTCTGGGTCGCTCGTCACTTTTGCAGCGGGTTTCATTTTCTGCGTTGGACGTTTCCACCGTTTTCTGGAAGTAAATCGTTTGATCTGTACAGTTTGAACGGGTTCTCGGTGAATATCACGGAAGAGTTCCGCGGCATTTTCACGAAAAAGGTGGAGAAGTTGGGTGAGACGCGCGCGGAGGTGGTAGGCGGAGGAGAGCAATCCGACTGAGGAGCCTAGTTGACGGACGGCGTTGATGAAGGATTGGAGTTCTTTGTCAAGACGATGGAAACGGCTACATCGGAAGTCCGGTAAAGCGCAGATAAAAAACCAAAGTGAAATGAGCGTTTACTTATTGAATTTCATGAACGCAGCAACGCCTTCCTTTTGGACGCGATCATCATTATCTATGGATTGAATTGGAATTTGTCCACAATATGAAAATCCAAACGTTCGTCAGTTCTGCACGTTCTCGGATGAGGAACAAGACGTACAGCCAGTATTCTTCTCATCGTTCAAAGCTTGCAGGAAACGCTCCCTTTCCATATCTTCGTCGCGGAGTTGTGCAAGCTCATCAATAAGGGAAAGAAGCGTTGTCCTGCGCTTCTGTGCCGCATTCTGTGGGCGGGTATCTGTTGGTGTACGTGCCCCAGAACTCCCTGGACCCGAGTGGAAGTGGTGTGGAGCGTCGATTAGAGATATAGCGGGCGAAGGCTGCCTTGCAGGTGGTATGATGGTGAGGTTTGTGGGTTGGGCGGGCCTAACAAAGCCAGTACCTGTCATTGCGGTTGAGCCATATCCTAATGTGAGTGCGACCCGGCATATTGTGACGGTGGAAAGGCCTCGACTTACGACTGGAATGCTGGTCCATTGTGCGAAAGTGTTGGTGCTGTGATAACTGAAGGGGAACGAAAGCGATAAAGAAGAGAAATTTTTGTCGTGAGGATTTCGTGGGCAAGCAAGCAAGAAATATGGTTTCTGAGAGATAACGGTACGTCTAAGTAGAAGGAAAGAAAGGGATTGACCGAAGCAGACACGTGTGGGCGGAGAGGGGAGTTGGGCGCTTCCCTGCATTCAGTAGGTTTCCTTTTCTGGTTTCTTTCCCAGACCCCACAAATCCGGGAAAGGAATCCCGTTGAATATGTATTATATAAAGATTTGATAATCTTCCCAATCAATTCAATTATTCATTCCACGTTTGCTCGAAAGCGCCATTTGCCTCGTTCACTGGCCGCCCATTGTCACCCATTACAGCTACGAGCAGTACACTTGAGGCGAAGTGAGGATTGGCAGGAATTCCGGATTCCGACCCTTCCGTCCCGCTTTCCGCGGGGATCGTCGAACTGATGGTCTAGACAGCAAAACAATCTCAGATCCCTTGTTTCTCGTTACAAAAGGGTCATCAATCATCCATCACTCTGAACCGGGAGGCATTCCGCTAATTACTCTGACGTTATTCAGATGCAAAGCAAAAAAAGTTGGCAAAAATCTCGCCATTGCCAGGGCTTTCCGTTAGATCCAAGCCATGGCGTCAAGTCCAAATCTGTGAGACACGGGCGCCATGTTGATGTGACACTCCAAAAAGGGTTCATCTCATTCAACTGCCTGCAAGATTGCACGCCTTCAGTGATCCTCATTCCCTGTGAGATTCTAGACGCGGCTCCGCAAGCCCAGGGGGACAGGGTTCGTTTTATCTGATTAATGACACGCGTGTGTTTTCGGGTGGAACGAAGGTGGAGGTCCCGATAAGTTAATTCAGCTATGACATCACGTGCGCGATCGATTTCGCTTCCAAAACAACTTTTTGGTGTCAAATCGACCCTGTTATCGCAATGCCATCACCACTAACCCTCGCGATCATAGGGACTGGTTTGGTTGGCAGCAAACTTATATCACAGATTGCATCATTGTCCTCATGGAACTCGAAATTCAAAGTTGTATACATTGCCTCCTCGAGCCGATCGATCTTTGCGCCTCAAGGGATTGACCTTTCCTCCTGGAAAGAGAGACTCCTGGCGTCCACTGAGAAGCCTGATCTAGGCATGCCCTAATAATTTCATGGCCTTGAGGCTCTGAAACTGATTGTCATTGCGTAGTTCAACTCCCCGTCCTTGCCGGGCCACAAACTCTCAGTGGTCCGGTCGTAGTTGTGGACAACACATCTTCAGACGACGTTGCATCACTATATCCTCACTTCCTCTCGCGGAATTTCTCTGTCGTAACTCCCAATAAGAAGGCGTACTCCTCATCACTTGAGTTGTACAACCAGATCCTTGCTGCCAGCGCAAAGACTGGTGCAAAAATATTCAATGAATCGACTGTGGGAGCCGGTCTCCCAATTATCTCAACTCTCAAGGACCTAGTTCAAACTGGTGATAAAGCACGTATTGCATTCCCCTCACACCCTTAAGAGCCCTTCTAAACTCGTGCGCCATAACAGGTTACCAAAATTGAAGGCGTCCTCTCCGGTACCCTTTCCTACCTCTTCAATGAATACTCCCCGGCCACCTCTTTGTCTCCACCTAAATCGTTCTCCTCTGTTGTCAGAATTGCCAAAGAGCAAGGATATACCGAGCCTCACCCTGCAGACGACCTCTCTGGCTTCGACGTCGCTCGCAAACTCACCATTCTCTCCCGTCTCATCCCTGAGCTCACGAACGCTCTGCCAAAAGGCTATGAGAGCGTTTCAATCACGAGTCTCATACCTGATGCCCTGAAGAGTACAGTGTGGAGCATCAGCGGAGATGAATTTATTAAAAAGCTTCGGGATTTCGATGGTGAGTTCGAAGAGCTGAGGACAAAAGCAGCCGAGAAGGGAGAGGTATTACGGTACGTGGGCGTTATTGACGTCAGGGAAAAGACCATCAAGGCTGCTCTCGAGCCGTAAGTGCATCATTCCTATTTCTCTCCATACTGGTCCCTTTGAAATTAATTTGCTCTCAATTAGGTATCCGGCAACCCATCCATTTGCAACCTCATTGTCAGGGTCCGATAACATCATTGCTTTCCACACTGAGCGGTATGGACCTCGTCCCCTCATCGTTCAGGGCGCTGGTGCTGGTGCGGATGTAACAGCGATGGGAGTGTTGGCTGATTTATTCAAGATATAGCGATAGAATTCCTCTGTGCTCCTCGGCATGATGTGATGGCGAAGCACTGAACAAAAAGGCAATTGTACAATATTAAGTAGCTTCTGTCTATCGATGAAATCATGGAACCCAGTAACAACCCTAAGGAGCAGGTCGTGTACTGAAAAGTTGAACGAGACCGAAGCCGTCCAATATCGAATCAGAAGCGTACGCCACACGAAGCGGAGTATAATCTCAAATAGACTTTATGAACGATGTAATCCTTACGTCAGCAGATAACCGGCCTTTAGGTCCGGGCCCGGAACCCAAAGGATTGGTTTCCGCAGTCAATGCCGGAATTGATGATTGTCGGACAAAGCGGAGGGGTGCCTCTCAGCTGCCTGGTGTCTTCAGGTACGGCCTAGACCTGAACGGCCCGGTTGACTGAACGTGCGAGGATTCCATGCGATAATGAACACTAGATCCAGGACTTTCATATACCCTTCCAGGCACGTACAATCATGAAACGACATTTGTCTCCCCTACATATGCGAGCGAGTTGATCATGGACTGGCGGTGGAAATTTCATCGGTGTCTCTTCCCGGTGCGATAAGCAATGAACAAGCATTAAACGCACTTGAATGTCACAGATGATTTTAATTCTGAAAGTCTGAGGCATGGCCCGCATCGCGGCCCGTATGCTGGGTAAGAGCAGCGTGGAATATTGCAAGCGCATCAATTTCGTGACCGTCATAATCCCTTTGTTCTCAGGGGCGCGCCAATGGGCAGATGCAAGGCATCAGAGTGGCGATGGAGTGACTAAGGAAGGGAGGACGCAGCCTAAGTTTCACCCTTGTATAGTCTGGTTCATAACATATATACAGCCAATGACCAATGCTCTGATCCCTCCGCCTCAGGCTGAAGTGGCTCTGATTGCAACGCGGGGTCAACAGCCAATAGCTGAAACTCGTTGAAGGTCCTAGAGGCAAAGTTTGGGACCCAAAATGCACCGACTCATACGAAAGGACGAGTCCGAATAAAAGTGTACACTAACGAATCTCTTGGACAAAGTATCGCAGTTGATTATTCATAGCGTTCGCTATCGACCCACAGAGCACCTGAGATTAACTGCTTTTCCTAGTTTTGTAATGATGCAGGGATGACGGAACTAGACTGTTGTTGTTGTGGCAGCGGAGCAGACCATGAAGCCCGCTGGCCCCTTACGGATGGAAGTACTTGAAGATACAAGTTAATATTAATCAATTTACGCACACAACAAATAAGTCCAGAGAACAACCGTTGGAACCGCGACGTCACCGGAATCAATCGCTGAGACCCCAAATTCGAACTTCCCGTCCCGAAGCTGCCCATATTTCTCGGGCGTTAGCGCCCCACGCGAAATCTGCAACATCTGCTCCCCCATCAAATTGGACAAGTTGAGCCCACGTTTTGTTAGCAATGACACGGACGTCAGACCCCGCCACACCCAAGTACTGCGCACCAAGGTCATACTGAACCTTGTTGATCTTGTACGGTACACCTGCATCCTCTTTCTCGAAGTTGGTGCTAGTGACAACTTTCGTCTTCCGCAGGTCCCACACAGAGACGCTGGATGGCGTCTCGGGGAAAGCAAGGTGGTACCCGTTCTCTGAGAATGCCATCGTGTTCACAGAGTGAGCACTGGCGGACAGCTCCCCGGAGTGCATATCAAGGACAACGCTCCCAGTGCGAACATCATAAATGTGAACTGTTGATCTGGCAGTACCAAGTCCGAGTAGAACACCATCCGGATGTGTTGAGAAAGCGGTATATGGATCAGGTTGGGGAGCAGATTGGAAGATTGGCTTAAAGATGGAGAGTGATTGGAGAGAAAATGTCTTGTCCAGGGACGAAATACCCAATATAGTGGATGTAGGGTGAACCCAAAGCCCAGAAATCTCTCCCTTGTGGACTTTCACAGTATGTGCGGGTGCGTAATCCCCGGATGCAGCATCATGGCTCCAAATGCGTACAGTCTTGTCCGCACTGCCACTGATGACAAGACTGGGAGAGCCCTCTTTCTCGCGCCATGCAACATGATTCACTTTCTTGGTGTGTCCCTTCAAGGTCGCAAGCACTTTATTGCTCTCCTTATCGTAAACTTGAACAATTTTGTCGTTCCCACCAGAGATAAACTGAGAAGGGTTTTGTTTTGACAAAGCCAGCGCGGTAACTCCAGCTGGTGATGGGGAGTGAAGCGATGTGATGGTGTGTTTGGAGGTAAAAGAAGAAATTTGGCGTATAGTTGAATACGAAGGGCCAGGCTTCGTCTTTTTCTTCCTAATTGAGCTCAACCTAGATAAAGGAGTCGGTTGAGCGTTAGTAATCGATTGAGTAAAAGTGATCCTACGTCTGTCGTGTTTCTTCAACTTCAGCTTTCACATCGTCAGGAAGCACGCCAGCAGGCTCCGATGGTTCGGGCTCTTGCATCTCGGCATCAGCCCCCTGCGAGGATGGTGCAACGCCCATTGTCGCTTGCACACTCGCAAGCGCTCTGTCAGAGAAGTTGGTGAGTTGCAATCCTGCTGTCACAATGCGCAGGCTCACTCTCTAGCCGCATCCCTTTCTTTCATCAAACGTGCAGTCACACGCGTAGCCGCATCGAACTGATACAAAGCGTGGGCAAGTTCTTGGCGGATGCTGTTGTATTGTTGCCTTAGCGAGAATTGCTCGAGAACCAAGGCGTCCCATTCGTTTTGAAGAGCATGCAAGAGGGAGGGTATGGAATTATGCGATGGAGGTCTTGGAGGCGCGGTATTTGGACCTATAGAGGATGATCAACAGGCTAACGGCTTCAGAACAGATGACACCTACTGGCTCTAACAGGAATGAGCTCATCCTCTGTCAGTTTGTCTCCACTGATAGGGTCCGTCCCATTCTCATTAATATACTTGATAACCAACCTCTTCTCGTACACATGCCCAGACTTGGCAGAGACAACAGGTTCCTGCGGAGGCTCACCAGATAGGGCACAGAAGAACATTGGTTCCAAGGAAAACGAGCACGCGAGTTGCCGAGACCGCGACTGAATTGAAAACTTTGGAGATAGACCCAGTGCGAGATGGCCACACGCATTCCTCCTCCAAAACGGCAAAAGATATATTTTAAACATGACAAGAATAGGCCGCCCACCCCACCCCCTGCTGAACCTGCTCCTAACGTTATAGTCCAGTTCTTGTCTGAACAAAGCGGAGAGACACCAATAGGCGATGTCATTAACGTCCCCTCAGACTTTTCCAGAGATGCGCTAGAGCTGCTCGCAAATAAGCAAGCCAATGAAGTGAGGTTTCCGTTCTTGAGCTTAATTTTCCTCGCTTACTTTGCTTTAGGAAGACGACCCGATCCCATACCAATTCCATGTTCGCCTTCCCGATTCCGCTATGGATCCCAACAATGCAGGCGCTCCAACACAGCTAGTCATAACACACTCAATATTCGAAGATATTCTTTCGCATCCTAAAAAATATTTTAGCTCAGAAGATATTATCAAAGTGTATTGCACCCCTCAAGCCGTCTTTCGTGTTCGTCCGGCCACACGGTGCTCTTCAACGCTTTCAGGTCATGGTGCCGCCATTCTGTGCGCATCCTTCTCTCCCACAGGAAAGCTACTAGCTACTGGCTCCGGTGATAATAATGTGCGACTCTGGGATTTGGACACTGAATTGCCCAGCCACACTTTGTCTGGACACCGAGGATGGGTATTATGTGTTGAGTGGGAGGCTCGAGGGAGGAAGTTGGCTTCAGGAGGGTACGATTCGGAGGTATATATGCTCATGGATGGAATGAGCACTTGGATTAATACGGATGTCGTTAGGTACGACTATGGAATCCCAATACCGGGAAGCCTCTAGGGAATGCACTCAAGGGCCATACCAAATGGGTCACATCCTTGGCCTGGGAGCCTATTCATATGTACGGTCATGTTTTTCTGGGGTAGTTTATATCCCATCGCTTACCTGATCCGGTCCTCCTGTCAAGCAACCCGACGAACCCCCGACTCGCCTCATCTTCAAAAGATGCCACCGTCAGGGTATGGAACACTGCAAACAGAACGCTTCATTATACCTTGGGTGGCCACACAGCGAGCGTGAATGTTGTGCGATGGGGTGGCGCAGGTCAGGGCAAGAGTGGAGTTCTATATACGGCCAGCAGTGATAGAACCGTAAGGATTTGGGACGCCGATGTGGTATGCAAATTAACTTTTCAACACGTCGTCCAGGGATTTTTTCATTTCTTTACTTAGGGGAAGTTACTTTTCGTCTTGAAAGACCATGCACATTGGGTGACAACACTTACATTAAATACCGATTTCGTTCTCCGGACCGGTCCTTACGATCATCTTGCTAAAGAACCATCCTCTGATGCCGAAGGTCCTCTTTCAGTTACTAATCACTCATTCATTCACTCATTTCATTTTTATTTGTGTAGCCCAAGAGCTTGCCTTGAAGCGATACAACGCCCTTGCCTCGACTACTTCGGAACTGCTCATCTCTGGCTCTGATGATCACACACTCTTCTTCTGGTCTCCCTTCGGTCGCAACCAAACTGGAGATAGTGTCAAGCCCATAACGAGATTAACAGGACATCAAAGACAAGTAAATCATGTGGCATTCAGTCCTGACGGCTGTTGGGCAGCCAGTGCAAGTTGGGATTCATCAATTAGAATGTGGGACGGCCGAACGGGGAAGTGGGTGCAGCTCTCCTACCATATGTAACACATCTAAATCTGCGTGTGTGGCATAGGTATGTCGCGGCCCTGCGAGGACACGTCGCACCTGTTTACCGACTTGCGTGGTCAGCTGATTCGCGGTTGCTTGTCAGCGCAAGCAAAGATAGCACTGTCAAGGCAAGCGACGGTATCCGTCATTTGTCTTGATTTCTTACGTTTTTTTTTGCAGATTTGGAATCTGAGAACATACAAACTGCATACTGACCTGCCTGGTCACACCGATGAGGTGTATTGCGTCGATTTTGTCGCCGACAAAATTGTTAGTGGAGGGCGTGATAAGAAAGTGAAAATGTAAGTTGTCAAAACCGTTTCCTCATCCTGTACCTAGTGATTAATAATATCCCTTAGATGGAAGAACTGAGCGAGCAGAACGGTTGTTTCCTTCTGTGCGAGCGATTCATCAAGCATTTTCCCTGGTTGCGTTACCATTGTTATATGCGCGTGAACTTTAATACATGGAGGTGTTCTCTTCCCGCTCGCCGTTGAAGCACAACCTGTCACCAAAAGAAGCATATAAATCAAAAAATGGCTTCGCAACAGACGATCCCTGATGCACGAACCTCACAGCCCAGACTATACTGCTTGCTCATTTGTGATATTATCTCGGAGACCTTGTTAGGCGCTACACCGACCAGGTAAAACCGACCTCCCGATGACAATAAATCCTAAACAGAGGAATCCCCGATCAGCAAATGCCATGAACATTCTAGTTGAGCAATACAGACCGCAACCATCGGCAGAAATTTATTTGTAACCTCCATCCCATCAATTCCACCCGCCCATGCGCTCGATATATTCCTCTCTTGTTGGGCTTGAAGTACCTCGAGTGACTCAGTAGGCACGTAGGGAGGATTAAAGATGAGGATGTCGATAGACTCAGAGAGGCGCCGGAGAAGAGGGTCGGCGAAAGAGGCGTTAAGCGGATCTAGAAGGATCTGTAAGGTATGAAGGGCGAAGGGATTGAGTGACAGCACGATGTGTGGTGAGGGTGAGGAGCAGGTACATTATTTTGAAGGCCAGTTCTGTAAGCGCAGGATGCTGCTCGTGGATTGATGTCCGTGCAAAGATATACTTAGAATGGCCTAATAAGCCTAGGATGAACTCTGATGCGGATGGGCCGACATACGACAGTTAGAACGCCCGAGTATGCTAGCCAAAAACGTGGAAACGCATCCCGAGCCACTACTAGCTAGTCAACACAAGGGCCATGAATACGATAGTCATCACGGCAGATTCACGAAATTAACAACCCTATCTCTAAGCAGATAAGTGGAGGTCCCTCCTTTAGGATCTCCATGTCCTTCTCCAATGCGTCAAGCAGAATGAATGTGTCTTCTAGTCATAGATGCATGATTAACGCCAGGATGCGAATGCGTGAGAGCTGAAGCGACCTGCAGGTTCATACACAGTCTCATAGTCTTCTGGAGTTAAGTGAGATAAATCGGGTGTCGAGAGCATCGATCGCAGGTCACTTCCTGCCTGAAATTCGTGGGAAAGTGCAGTTGGCATATGTATCCCATCTTATCTCCTTCTGCTAAACTTACATTAGTGACAGACACTATTATTTTTTAACATACTCGCTCCACAACCTAATTGTTCGATCGCGCGGATTGCATGATTGTGATCAGTTATCTGACCTAGAGAGGAGTGATTGGAAAAGAGATGTGAATGCAAATCGACGCCGGCCAAACCAGTGAATCGAAGCAGGCATTTGATATCGCTATTGCAGCATGCAATGCCAACGCGTAATTAATAATCTACATAAGCTGACCGATGCAACGCTCCCGTAAGGTTGTTCCCACTCCGATCACCCGTCCTTGCGCGTGTTCCCCGGTCTTCTCGCACAAATGTAGGAATGTAAATTAACCGCTGGATCGAACCGAAAGCGTGGGGTCAACATCACATCCGAAATGATCTTGGACAATGAATTAATTCACTGGTGGCCTACTTAACACCCACCACGGCCTCGCCCAGATCAGCATTTGAAAACATGTTGCAGGCTAGTACTCTTGCCGCTCGTCGCACTGGTCGAGCCGCGCTGAATCAGCCACGTCTATATGCTACACACGCTACGACGCGGAGCAAGGCAGTCGAAGCATTGCTCGTGGGGCGACCTGACGATGTGGTCATTACGCTTGCTCTACGAACAGCAATGACTAAAGGGAAAAAGGGAAGCTTCAAGGATACCTCGGCGGATTCACTGCTGTATGCTATGTTGAAAGCCGCGAACCAACGATCAGGAGTAAATCCGGCACTGGTTCAGGATATTGTAACCGGTATGCGTATCCTGGCATCGGCAGGCTGAGCCCGGTCGGGTGGTATCTTATATGTTTTGTCCCAAGGTGTATGTCATTCTCCATCACCTACGTATGAAGCGAGAGCTGCTGCCATCGCTGCTGGGTTCCCTGATCATGTTCCCGTCCAAGCCATCAACCGTTTATGCTCATCTGGCCTCATGGCGGTTCGATCTGTGTCAGACTCAATAGCGAGAGGCGATATCGATATCGGTCTCGCCGTGGGCTATGAGAGCATGTCTACAAAGTACGTTTTGACCTTCGTGACCAGCTTGGGTTTATGCTACCTTTCACCTCAACTTGATTCCATATTAGCCCCCGTCCAACTCCCCAATTTTCGCATCCCGCCATACTTACCAACCAAACATCTAAGGACTGTGCTGAGCCAATGGGCTGGACGTCTGAAAATGTCGCTACAGACTTCAATATCTCTCGGCAAGCTATGGATGAGTATGCTCTACTATCCCACACTCGCGCGGCACAAGCATCCGCATCAGGGAGATTCAAGGATGAGATTGTTCCCGTTGAGACGACGGTACTTGTCCCTAAGGATCCAGGGAATCCAAAGGACCTGACGGATGCGATATCGAAAACCGTCAATGTAACTGTGGATGAAGGCCTCAGACCGTCAACTATGGAAGGCTTATCCAAGTTGAAGAGTGCATTTCCGCAATGGGGAGAGGGAAAATCAACGGCTGGTAATTCGAGTCCAATCACGGATGGTGCAGCTGCCGTTCTGCTCATGAGACGAAGCAAGGCGGAGGAACTAGGACTTGAGGTTTTGGCAAGGCACGTCACCACTGCTGTCACTGGTGTGGCACCAAGACATATGGGTATTTCACCTTCTTATGCAATCCCGTAAGTAGAAATTTTATTTTTATTTTGTTGAAACAATCAGTGTATCCCGCTCAACGTTTTGTTGCAAATTCAGAGATGTTCTCAAAAAAGCCGGGATCAAAATGTCGGATGTCGACCTGTTCGAAGTAAATGAGGCATTCGCCAGTATGATGGTCTACTGCATTAACAAGCTCGGTCTTCCACTGGACAAGCTGAACGTGAACGGCGGCGCCATGTAAGTTTTACTGTGCCTACTACCTTCAGATAGTGCACATATGCGTCATTTCCCGCAGAGCGTTGGGACATCCACTGGGTTGCACTGGGGCCCGCCAAATCGCCACTGGCCTCTCGGAGTTAAAGAAGAGAGATCAGAATGTGCTGTTGACTAGCATGTGCATAGGTAGCGGAATGGGTGCTGCAGCTGTTTTTGTCAGGGAGAGCACCGGAAAAGTTACAAACGCTAGCTTGTAAATGTACGAGCAGGATTTGCAACAAGATACCATGATACCATATCTCAAGGTGGCCAGCTTGCTGCATTGGACACTCTGTGCGCACAATACATGTTTTTCACGTCCGTTCTGTTTCGTGCGTCTTGCTGGAAGTAATTGGGTGTGTGCATCCGTTGTTGTATGGACAATAGGCGTAGAGATAAACTTTCGGGCCACTTGTCGGGATACCAAAAGCGAGGACGGAAAGGGCTCTGCCAGTGAGGAATAACGAATGGCTCTATTAGGATAATTTACAACACATGAATGTGAAGGTAACTGTTGAGACCCAAAGTAGGTATTGAGAGAAAAATCAGGCTGCCGTATGAGTTACTCACAGTAGGATCGTTTTCCCTTTTTTTTCATGCGGGGGCGAAGGCCTCCCCAAACGTCCGCACTGCCGCTATGGAAGCTGCAAACAAGCCGATACTGATCACGATGTTCAGGTTTCCTTGAGAGAACTCTGGGGCATAAACTTGTGTTCGAAGGAAGTGGCTCCAGGCAGATTCATCTTCTGGAGGAGGCGCAAACAATCCTTGCCCAGCTTGGGTGAGATAGGAGGGTGGTACTGGCGTACGGCGAGCCATCTATCGCAATTACGATGAAGCCTCTACAATGTTGAGAGAGTGGACCTGTTTGTACAGTAACTTACAAGAGAACAGACGGAGGCCCGACGAAGAAAAAATTACCAAAAAAACAAAACAAAAGCCTCACGTGATCGACTTCGACGCCGACCATGCCAAAGTTATCTTTGCGCGGATGGATGACTGCCAGGAGTTCACTCACGATAACTTCAGACCTCACGACTCCATCAGCGAAGCAGAACACCAGCTCAACCACCTACGGTTGCCGAGCAGGGCCAGGTCAAACGTTCGCATCAGAGTCTTAAGTCACGTGACCTAGACATTTTTTGAGCTCACTGCTACGCGTGTTTAACGGCTTCGGCGCTGTTAAAAACACAGTAGGCATCACATCAGACTCGTACCCAGTCGTTTTCACTCCGTGGACACGCGCACGACACTGCAATGTGGAAATGTGACTACGTGGCTTTGGGTTCAATGTAAAGTCACGTTCTGCTTTCAATACAAAGAGTCACATGCTACTCCGACAATTTGCGCGCGAACACTTCGACTGGTACACATTGGTAGTAGCAGTACACTTAGGCATTTGCCAAATTTGACGCGATCTCAGAACACAATTCTGATCCTCATGTGAAACGTGTCGCGCGCAAATTGTCGGAGTAGCATGTGACTCTTTGTATTGAAAGCAGAACATGACTTTACATTGAATACAAAAGCCACGTAGTCACATTTCCACATTGCAGTGTCGTGCGCGTGTCCACGGAGTGAAAACGACCGGGTACGAGTCTGATGTGATTCCTACTGTGTTTTTAACAGCGCCGAAGCCGTTAAACACGCGTAGCGGTGAGCTCAAAAATGTCTGGGTCACGTGACCTAAGACCTTGATGTGAACGTTTGACCTGGCCCTGCTCGGCAACCGTAACCACCTCAGTATGACAGTACACAATTATGTACGGAGAAGGAGCACTCCGACGCCATTTCTACAAAGGGCTGCCGGGCCGCATCAAAGACGAGATATCGCGGGCTGGTAAACCAACCACGCTCTCCGACCTCCTTCTCCTCTCCCAGGCTATCGACGCGCTATTGGGAGCGCAAGTCCGAGATTAGCCGCCAGGCGAAACCCTCCACCCCCACAAACTCCTTCGAACAACCTACTTTCGCCCAACCGACGTACTCCACCTCTCCCGCTTCCGGTAGGGGAGACCTGCTATAAAACCCGACCTGTCGTCGAGGCTCCGGAAAGACGGTAAGCTCACTCGTGTCGATAACAGCTTCTGTATGTTCTGCGGACAGTCCGGCCACATGGCCAAGGACGCGTCCAAGACAAGAGCAGCCAAGACCGCAACTCTGGATGTTTCTTAGGAGACAAAAATTAGTCCGCAACCCGGTTTGTTCGTTGTTATGTGTAGTGCGACGGTATCGTCGGGTTATGTCTGGGGTTTTTGTCATGATGTGAATGTGGAAAACTTTCTCTCTCCCTACTTCACTCTCAGTCGCCTACTCGCTACTCCTTCGCTCCTCATTGTGCTGAGCAATTACTGTTTGGGTTCCTCGTTCTCATTGATCTTTCATTTATCAACTACCTTGGACTTCTGATGAATGCCGCTAGTCTTTCTATCCCTTTGGGCTTTCTCATAAAGGGTATTGAACTTGGCTTGGTTGCCACGGCCATGGATGTGGATGTGTCTACCAGACAGGGGGCACTCCATTAGGATGTGGGTCCTGGTTTGGGGGCTCAGTAAATACTGAGGGCAATGGTGCTACCAGCGCTAAAATAGATTCTAGCTGGGGCGTAGTTGCCTCGTTTGTGCCGGTCATCTTGTTCCTGCCCATCAGCACTATTGCTGTCTGCGGCCTCGTGTGTTTATTCCTTACCTTTTATCGTGCGATGGCACAGTCTGTGAGTGTGGTCCTCCGATTTCTAGTCTCCTAGCAATAAAAAGCAGCAGCAGCAGTACTTAATGCCTGCTACACCACAATGTTGTCCCTGAGCGGTGTGAATGTACGTGCCCATAGTTGTTGTCATGTATCTCTTCAGTTCGGCGAACATCTGCGACCACCGACGGTTTGAATGTCTTCTTTATGTTAACTGCACGCAGTTAATACTTTACTTTCCTCGGTGCCTCTCAAAGGCTGTCCGCCTACCAAAAGTGGACAGAACTTGATCGGCAGCGAGGTGAACATGAATACAAGCTTAAGCGTCATCGTGCCCGCAACACCGGCCCATTCGCATAATGATTACCGACACGCCAGGCCGGGCAATTACAAGTCCACATGCTTATTTCACAAGCTCGGTCTTATCCTCGTCGAGGCGCTGTGTGATCCAGGCAATTGTCTCCTGCATTATGCTATGGAGATCAGCGAGGTCTTGCTCATTCGACAGATCATCGTCATGCTCTCTGCGCAGTCGCATTCCTCTTTGCGCTCCTCGATCTCGTGGCCAACGCGAGCAAATGGATTTGTTGATTCAGTTATGTGGTCATTTCTGCTATTGGCCTAGTGGCCCCATGGGGCGTTCGATCCAAGGCCCGGTCCTATGCATGTGAGTCTCCCTTGACGTTGTCTCGGCCACAACTTGAATAGCGTCTACACGATTGTCCATAACTTCTAACCATCCCCCAGTTGAAAGTGAGGATTAAGCTTTGCTGTGACACACTGGAGCTGGGTCCAGCGTCGAGTAAAGAGTAGGTGCTCATTTTACTTTATCTTAACCCTCGTGCTCCATCTGCAGGATGGACCCTCCTAGCAAGCACGATAAAGGATCAGATGCGCTTCAGCAGCTCGTCCTGTTCCCATCATTTGAAGCCGTGGGCGGCACGGATCATGACGACGCGTTCATCTGAGAATGCTCAGTGTATGCATACGAGGAAGCACTTGACAAACCGCTGCGTGGACCAAGTCCGCAAGATTCAGGATGGAGACGCTTTCTGTGTGGTTCAGCATCACTCCCTTGAACCTGAGCTCTAATTATTACCACCTAGTTTCATCTCCAATTTGATCATAACCATTCACATTATGTTCGGGGGTAGTAATTACACAGGTTTGAATGCCCGCGCGGGGGGGGGCTCTATGAATTATGCATTGTATTTGGCCCAAACCTCTTTTTCGACGACTCTTCTTGGGACTCTTCTTCCAGTCCAAATCTCGAACTGGTGGAAGCCCTGCTCTAGTAATATGGCCATTCCGGGAACCGTTGTCCACTGCGGGACGGGGGGTGCTGGCTCACCGGGGGGCGGTGGATCCCGAGGGTGCGCAGCTAACTCCAAGGAGACCACGCCTGCCAACTTCAGTAGAGGAGTATCCGCGGGTTTGTACGCCATATCAATTACGACGCCCCCCTCTGGATTCGAGAAAATCGACTTCGGTAAATAAAGAGTCCCAGGTACGCCAGGTGTAAGCGATGTTGCGGTGGCTGGCACCGTCGAAACTATGACCATTGGCGCTTCAGCGGGAAACTCGTCCAGAGCCTCAATCATAGTAAGGTTGTAGTTCGAAGGCAACGATTCAGAAAGAGCGTGGATAGCCGACTGAGTTCGGTTATAGATGTAAATCTGTTTGATATCCAAGTTGTTCAAAGCATAGATGGCAGCGCGAGATGTTCCACCAGCCCCAATGACCAGTGCCGTAGTCGAGACAGAGATCGGTTTGGGGAGGTTCGACACGACAAGATCTCGAATTGCTAGCCAATCGGTATTGTCTCCGTAAAGTTCCCGCTTCCCGTTGACGACTCGTGGGACAACTGTATTCACAGCACCAATCTCTTTTGCATGGGAGGTCAGCTCATTGAGAAGAGGAATGACTGTAATCTTGTGAGGAATGGTTATAGACGCGCCCCCAAAATCAGGCTGAGCGAAGAGCGCCTCAACCTTCCCATCAACCTCCGCGGTCTCAAATAAGCTGTACCTGTGAGGTAGGCCGAGAGCGGCGTAGGCAGTATTGTGCAATGTGGGTGACATGGAATGACTAATAGGATTGCCTATCAAGTAGAACTGCTGGGCCGGGAGTTGGCCGATCAAGTGTAAGGCATTCTGTATTTCCACGAAACTAAGTTGTCCAGGAGCCGCGCGGGTAGGTAGGAGGGGGTGGGATATGGGACTGAACGTTGGGTTCAGGATTCGAGATAATTGACCGTCTGGACCCATGTTGATTGCAATAAGAGGCCTGGAGTCAGAGCGCTTTGCGATGCGTGTTCGGAAGGATGATAAAGAAAAGTTATCCTCAATGGAGTTTGCTTTCCCTACAACCTTGACAATATCACCAAACGCGGCTCCTGTCTCGTATTTCTCCATGACGATATCGCCACGCCAGTCGAGATTACCGCTCCAGTCATGGTAGGACGCAATGATTTTCGACCTTCCTTTATTCCGAATGAGATGGTGGATTGCGCTCCTATGCCACGTAATCTCGACATCGACATATTCTACATCTGATTTGACTGCGAGATCGAAGAGTTCAAATGCCTCCTTCTGTGCCGTATCTGGGAATGCGCCTCCTTGTGACACAGTACGAACAGTGAATACAATGGGGAGAGAAGTTAGTTGGCGGAGTGCTGCCAGCTGATTTGCAACGAAGGTGCGTGAAGGAACATTCGGGATCTCGCTGGGAGATCCACTGGGGCGGAGAAGATCAACGCGGAGTTCGACGGCATCCGCGCCTTCAGTCAAATTATCCATTGGAGGGGCTGCCGAAATGATATCGGGGTAGGTGACAGATAGGAAGTACGACCGCCTCCCGGGGATTTCCAGATTGGGAGCATAATTGGGCTGAACCCCCGAGATATGTCGGAAGAAGCGGCGTACATCGTTCTGGATGCTCGGACGAGCATCGTAACGCACTTTAGTGCTTTCCTGAGATGGAGCTGAGGGCCGGACGATCTTGGTAAAACTGACGAACTCGTGGTTTGCAACGTCAATAAACCAAGGCTGCCGGCGCTTCATAACCTCCTCAAACGGCTCACCCCAGGCAGGCCTGGCTTTCTCTTGACCTAGGTAGGCGGCAATCTCTTCCATGTCGCGAGTAATGTGAACCACGAGACCGCGATCACGGCAGTAAGCCTTAAGCAAGTCGCGGCATGCCGGAGTTTCCACTACTCCGCCTCCAAGGCTGATCACATAACCTTGTCTCATCGTCTCGAGAGCCTCCTCCAGCAATGCTAGTTCGCACTTTCGGAACTCGGGCCAGCCATGCTTCGCCACAAAGTCAGCAAGTGGGACTGCGTATTTTTCGGCAAACCAATCGTCAGCGTCAATGAACTTCCGACCCAACGACTGGGCTGCAAGACGCCCTATGAAGCTTTTCCCTGCACCGCGCATACCAATAAGGAAAATGGTGGCAGATGGATTGGCTGGCGCAGAGTTCAGGGATTCCAAGCTGGAAGATGAGCCAAGTTCGATACCTTCACAGGGAATGCCGATCTAAACGAGAATCATGAAAAAAGACGTTAACGGGTAAATCAACTTGTCTACCTTATTCCCAAGATCATCCCACCAGTTTGGCCAAGTTTTTTCAACACATCGCTTCTCTTCCAAGATGATGCCCCCTACTACGGATCCCAGTACACTGAATGCCATGGCTACCCGGTGGTCATCATAGCAGTGGACGCTGACCCCATTCCTCAAGGCTGCCAGAGACTTTCCATAAATTTCGAGACCATCATCCAGTTCCTTCGTCTCAACCCCAAACTTGGCTGTTCGGCAGGATTGCATGTCATCTAATAGAATGGAACATGATAGCTACAGGTACATACCTAATTGATCAATCATTGCGCGGATACGATTGCATTCCTTAACGCGTTGGTTCGCGATACCAAGGATTCGGGTAGTATTAGGATGCGGTGCATCTTCCAAACGACGCTCCGGTTTTGAAGGCGAGGCAGCAACGGCAGCCAGAACAGTCGCGGTCAAGAAGGCATCGGTCATTGTCTCCATGTCTACAAAGCCGAGAGCTTTGAGCTGCCCAACAGGGGGTCCAATGACGGTCGTCTCAGTCTCAGTTTGGATAACAGTGCACCCCATCGGCTCGAGAACACCCTTTGCAAACCCGGCGTCACCCTGGAGCGACGATGAACCAATGTTGGTAATGGTACAAGAAGTCCCTGTGATGGCAGCAATGGCAAGTGGATAGGTCGCACTACTGGCATCACTCTCAATCTCATAGTGGGGCGGATTGATGTACGTGGCTTTAGGAATGTGGTAGACATTAAGGAGTTTTCCATTCTCATCCTCCCCCGAACTACATCAACTCCGAAAGTTTTCATCATGGATATTGTCATGTCGATGTAAGGCTGTGAGATGACCTGCCCGCCGACTAGCTCAAGTGTGACTGGGTTTGCGGCATAGGGGGCACAGAGAAGAATGGATGACACGTATTGTGAAGAGACGCTGGCGGTGAGCTGGATACGTGATCCTCGGAAACCGGCCGGACTGGCAGTGATGGACAAAGGAAGGGATCCGTTCTTACCCAGGTAAGAGACTTCGGACCCATTGCTACGTAGAGCATCAACCAGGGGACCAATCGGGCGCTCTTTCATACGGGCATTCCCGGTAATCACAGTGGCTTCCCCAGGGTTGTCGGATCTGACGAGCGTGCAGACGGTAGCGAGGAAGCGTGAAGCAGTCCCCGCATTGCCAAGGTACAATTCCTTGCCCTTAGGCGGGACCGTGAGCAAGCCTTCGCCACCTTTCACAACCAGCGTTTCTCCACCATCTTCCCAGGAGAACTCAGCTCCCTGTATAAAACTTCAGTGAGTTTAACGTCGACATATAGTTGACCAAGTTACCTTCAATGCAACAAGTGCAGACATCATGACTTGTGTGTCATCCGAATGTAGCAGGTTCGTGATGCGTACAGTACCCTTGCCTAGCGCAGCGATCACCATAGCTCGATTGGATATGCTTTTTGAGCCTGGAGGCGCCATGCAAACAGGAGCTCTAGGGATGGTGGGTATGACATTTATTGCTTGAGATAGTGCGCGGCGAATCACGGCATCGTCCACAGAAGTGGCTTTCTGCTCGTATGTGGCACCAATGCGTTTCAGCAAGACGATTTTTTTCTCAGTACCAGCGTTCTTCTTGTCGACTTTCATGATATTCAATAAGCGATCGTTTGTAAGCAAGTCGGCTGCAGGAAGGGACGCAATGCGGGGGTCCGCGACTGAGACGGGAAGGTTGTACGCCTTCAGGCATCGAGTGAGTCGGCCAACAGCAACCTGATTGAGAATCCCCAGCTGGCGTGCCACCTCGGCTTCCAGTACCATTCCGACAGAAACACATTCTCCATGAAGAATTGTAGGGGTAAGAACCGCCTCCAACGCATGTCCAATCGTGTGACCGAAGTTAACGAGATTCCGTAAGCCCGTCTCGCGTTCGTCGATGGTGACTATGTGGGCTTTGACAGCAATTGAGCCCACAATAACAGAAAGAAGCAACTGTTGGCCAATAGAATGAACAGAGTCGGACGGAGAGGAGCGCTGCTCAGTTGCAGCCAGGATTTCGACTGAACGTGTTTCCAGTTTTTCGAATTCCGCCTCGTTCCAAATAGCTGCTGTCTGTAGGCATCTGGAATTAGGCAATAACAATATTGGTGTGTAAGTGAACGTGCCTTAATGACTTCAGCCATTCCATTGGCGACTTCACGTGCAGGAAGGGTCTCGAGGAAGGACGCATCAATGAAAATGTATTCGGGCTGCCAGAAGGCCCCAATGAGGTTTTTTCCGTGAGGAGTGTCGATGGCTGTCTTCCCGCCCACGCTGGAGTCCACCATTGCCAGAAGAGTCGTGGGGATTTGGACGAATCGAATGCCACGCATGCTGGATTGAGATCGATCAGTGCTCCTTATCGAGCAAGGATTAGAGAACCTTCTCACAATGTGGCAGCAACGAAGCCCCCAAGGTCCCCGATCACTCCCCCGCCCATAACGATGAGAACGGTGTCTCGAGTGCAGCTTCGGTCAAGTAGGAAGTCCTCAATGTCTGCCTTTCCTTCCCTCGACTTAGACGTCTCTCCTGGAGGGATAACCTTGCTGAAGAAGCGAGCGGGAGACCCAAGCCCTTCAAGAGCGGCTTTGAAGACAGATTCATAGTGACTAAGGTGGAAGGATGCAACGCGAACGTCGGTCAGAAGTACGTAAGTCGACGCTGGCAATGTCCGGATGACAGTGTCCACGATGTAGTGGCTAAGGTGGAACCCGCACTGAATACTTTCTTTGCCAAGGACTGAGACCTTAAAGATTTCAGGATGACCAGCCATCTCTGTCTGGCCAACGCAAGACACTGTGAACGAGCAAGTTAAGGTTGAAACGTCTCCGTGGGTCAATTTAGTCTGGCTCTTATGGACACATGAAGATATGAAGAGCAACGGCAATTAGGAGTGACGGTGATCTAAGTCGAAATGCAAAACCTCTGACCCGGACCGCACCCACGGCAAACTATCTTCTTCCCACTTTGTTCCGCTTTATGTATCCATCCCATATCAATTTCAGCATCTCTCTCTCTCCTCCGTCTAGCATGGTTATCATCATTGAATCCCTCATTTGGTCGTTAATCATAGAGCACAGTTCAAAAATTCCAGGCTCGAGTCCCCGTCGTATGTCAGGGGAGAGTATTCCCAGTGGGCTGGTAAGAATCCGAATATACGCAACGAGAACGTAAGGTGCTTGCGTGGAAAATGGCCTGGCTATTGACTCGGCCTGAGGAATGGGTTTCGATTTGTTTGCGGACGAGGATGTTTGAACCTCAGTTCTTTTGGTCAACGTCATGAGAAGCCGCGTGATGCTGTTGGCTTCCTCTGCCCCCAATGGTTGGGAGGGTTGAATCCAGGATGGGAAAGTGCTTGCGATTGAGCGTTGCTGGCTCGCTCCAAGACTTCCTCGAACAGCCCGCAGGCACTCCAGGAGTCGGCTGAGAATATGTCCCAGATGCGGTAAAGAATTCACCACAAGGTCACGGCGAGAATTCACAAGCTGTCTTGCAATCGAAGCGATCTGTAAATATATACTTTTCGACGTTGTGGTGTCGTGAGATGTTGAGGGTGAAAGTGTGTCGGCCAAGATTAACCAGATGTAATTAAGGTCTGTCTGGAATAAGGAGGGAACCTGAGAGAATAGTTGTGAATGGGCATTCCTGATGGACGATGTCTAAGATTGCGCGCTCACTCACAGTATCTTTGAAAAAACATTTGACAATGTAGTCAAGGGACAGAAGTCGATCATTTGCGCCCAAAAGTTTGAATGACGACAGGAGACAGAGGTAATGCGATCTGAATGATTTTGCGACTTGATGCGAGTCTGGGCGGGGGAACCCGGATAGAAAGCGGTGTCTCTCAGTGGGGGTTCATTCACTGACCTGGAGGTGGGTTTGTCACCAAGATTGCCGCCTGAGATATCATCGCAAAGACCAGCTTTGGTGATTGGGCACTGTCCATCATTGTATGGTAGAGCCTCTGGAGGACGTGACCATAGGCAGCAGTGCTCAGTTCGTGAGAGCAATTCGCGATTGCAGGGTCTCTCTCAGCATGAGGACCTGTATGCATTTAGTAGGTGAAATACATTGATGCTAATGCATACCTTGGAGCAAGCACCGTAGCGCCAGGTCCGCCGAAACGAGGTATTCTAGTTCCTGTTGCTTCTCCACGGGGGAGAAATTTTTGAATTCTTCACTGACGAGAGAGAAAATGGTAGCACAAAGAGAAGACCAGTTCGGACTTTGTGCAGTGTCTGTCTCCGTTTTCGCTCGGATATTTCGAAATAAAGCTGTGAGAAGCTGTCTTCCTGAAGGTGGGCTTGCTTCAAGCAAAATTAGTTATGAAACTTCCAGAGAAAGTTACGGAGCATTTTTTACCCCCAGAGACGTCGGTTTCCCCTATCAGGCGCCGTATCAGCAATAGAAGCCGCCTAATATTCACTAAGATAGGATACAAGGTATCTGAGATGGGTGTGTCGTGAAGCCGCTCGGTGAACGTCAGTCCACGATTTGTCAGGCTCCGCAAACGACCCAGAACATGCTCTGGCGTGCTATAGTTGGACTATCTGTTAGTGGATTCACTGAATAGCGTGGATCTGCATTCAAACCTAGGAATCTGTAAGTGACTCGCAAACGCGTCCAATAATGTGGCCGTAACCTCCGCATCCCAGTTCGAAATATTTGAACACGACGCCAAATTCGACAGGAGGTTTTCCAAAAGATCCAACATTATAGTAATGGGTGCCAGGTTATCACCGGAAGTCCCACTGGGCTTGATCATAGTTCTAAGGAGTCAGGTATCAGTGTTAATATTAAAGTAACACTGAGGACCGCTTATGACAGCGAAATGGATTTTATCAACTCCAGGCTGGTTCTTGCACACAAACCAGCCTCATCACCGACATCTCGACATAAGTACGGGAGCAACGTCGGCTCTCTCCGCTGTGTACGTCAACGTTTTGTTGGAGCGGGCAGGCTTAAACAAACTCACAAGATCGGATGGAAGTCTTGGCTTGTTGACCATCCTAAGCAAGTACGACCTGAAAAGTGTTCTCTTCGTCATCAACATGGCCCACTCATCCTCACCCATTTCCCCCCACTCAAGGGAGCCTAAGGAGGAGTCGGCCACCAATGCAGCTTTCATCAGCCAGTCTCCTATGGGTTTCGGAATGTACTCCATCGGTGTGACCATCAAGAAATTGAACATTTCCAAAGTGGCCTCATTGTCCTTGCTTTGAAGAATTGATGGACTGAGGCGTAGCAGGCTTCGTCCCATCCTCCGAAGACCTAGAGGTGTGACATCGAATTTTAACAAGCGACTCGGATCTGATGTTTTAGCCCGTTCTCCAAACTGGCCAAGGATCACATCTACAGTGGAACGCCATGTTGCAAGCGAATAAGACAAAAAATCAAGTGAGAGCTTACCCCTGATACGGGTGTGCTCCCAGAAAGAAGCGTTGGACAAGGCCCTTTGAATGACGGCACCAGCAGTCATCGAGGCAGCTGTGTTCGCATGATTATCTTGCTGCCGATATAAGCGAAAAATCCTCTTCACCAGTCGACCCAATTGAGATTGAGTGGCATAAAGGCTGTCCAGTAGCACAACACATCAGGACATGCAATCACTCGGAGCTCATATCTACCACCCCACTTACTCTACGACTGCGAGCCACCTATCGGTCACAAGGTCCCATAAGGCCACAAATCCTGCTTGCCGAGAGACATCACTATTCCCAAGATATGATGAGGAATGCACGGCGCCAGAAACATTCGCTGGGATTTCTTCCCGTTCGAGCGCTGCAACGAGACTCTCAAAGAATGTCGAAGAAAACGTTGCATCTAGAACCAGGACACGATGGGAGCCATTTTCGCTTGTCTGCCAGAGCTGCTGAAATATTATTCGCGCCTATAGGAAAGACGTCACACATAAGAAAATCAACGCGAAGAGAAGAGATACTTCCAGATTCAACAGTTAAATAAGGGAGTTGAGGTTTGTCGATTGTCGACAAGATCCCAGTCAGATGATCTTCGCATCCCTTTAAAATGGGGTGGACCACACCAGGCTCCAAAGGACCCTGAAACTCTGACACGCCACCAAGACCAGTCTCGCCAAGTATATAGCACACGTTTAAGAGCGAAGCTGCTATTGTAGCATTTCCTGTCATCTGGAGGGTGTCTATGGTAGTGGCCACACCGCTGTGTATTAAAGATTCAAGTGAATGAATCTGGTTCCGAAGTTTATCAGCATCCTCAGGCTTGAGTTTCGCAACATAACTTGGGAGAGATTGGACGCATATACGAAGCAGATGAAGCAATAGGATCGGAGGCACCACCGATGGGTCCTCAGCGTTGTCAGCGACACAACTTCCTTCCGTCGATTTAGGCCGGGATTTCCTCTTATCTTGTCGATGCAATGACCCTTTACTGTTGGCCCGGAAACCGTCGTATGACCGATTCAAACATGCCAACACCTCATTGAAGGATGACAAAATCTGTGTCGGAGTGGAAAACGACTTTAAATTGTCGAGCAACAGAGCACCGTATTGGCGGCCAAATAATGGCGACGCGAAGATTCCAGGGAGTGATTGTCTACGCAGACGGTCCGGCAAGTGCTCAAAGATATTGGCGAGAAGATGTATATGCTGATCCAGCGCGCGGGTCTTCGTGCAATAAGACAAATGTAGGCTGAAGAATTCGAGGACAGATGAAGTATCGCTGGGGGACTGCACAATATTCTGGGGGTAGAAGAGTAAGTTGCATTCTATTGGTGCCAACAATATTCCCCTTACGTGGAGTGAAGCCAAGAAGATATCGTGACACCAAATGGCAACGATGTCAAAGTCAACGCGGATGAGGATAGATAAAAGCTCGAATATCTTGAAAATGACTTCATTCCGTTTCTCTGCAATGGAATTCCCATCAGGCCCCAGAAATCAAGGGAATGCCTTGGACGTATTGTGCGCTCACCCTTCTCTGACTCCATTGGATCTGTCGGAATACGCCACATCAAGCCCACACTCTCTTTGCACAGCCGGCGCACCAAGTCATCGCTCATAGGGTCCCCACTGTGGAATATTGATTCCTGCTCCAACACTCGAAGCAATCCCAATTTTGTCTGCCAGCGAGGCAAAACATGAGCGACGCCCACGGAACTGGCATTGTGCCCATCAATCAGATCCAAACAAGGCAGAGAAAATGCAATCGCGGCAGTCCGTATTTTGGAGCGATGCATTTGAGCAACATTTGACGAAACATTTCCCGCAGCCTCCGATGAGTAAAGGTGCCCAATGTTCAACTCCTTACACCTGTGAAGAGCGGAAATATAGCCTGAGAGCAAGTCGGGGAGCAAGCTGAACACTGCTCCTTCAGTGGAAGAGGCTTCAGACGAAGCGAGAAGAGAGGATAGATGTGAAATGATTGGTTGGGCTTGCCGGGCCCTTGCCCCCTTACGGCCTGTAGTACCTGATACGTGAAGATGTACTATTTTGTGGGAGAAAATCATGGAGGTGCCAACTAGCAGCATGTCCTTCCGTAACTCGGACAAAGGACTACCAAGGTGAGAAAGATTCCAGGTAGCCACCACCCAGTTGCCGAAGCCCCCCTCCTCAGTGAAGGAGTTATATATCTGAGGGAAATAGTTGGAATATGGAGGCGATGCAATGCCAAAAAGCTTTCACCTTTAATGCGGCTTGAGAATCAAATTCATCACAAAATAGAGAGGCGACCAGCCTAAATAGTGATCCAAGGATGCTAAGATCAACTTGCTCGGCGATCGTGTCACTGCGTGCCAACAATCTGAAAAATTCACAAGCAACCGAGAACACAACCCGAAATTCGATCCTGACCAACGCAACGGGCTGCACCAGACGGTATACGGACAGAACCTCCTCCACCACTCCGCGAGTTAGCCCTTCGAAAACTTTAAGCAGAGAAGGGAGAATTATGTATATTGAAGGGTTTGAAATGATGTCAGTCATCCATATTGGGTAGGCACGCCCAAGTGATTTCGGTTCATCAGGCACATTTCGAGGGGGGGAATATGTGACTTTTCTCCAGAGTACGCGGTAATCGAAGAAAAAATGGCATTTAAAAGGGACCAATAGCGTTGGTCAAGATTTACGTTCCTTTCCCTATTATTAAAATCCTTACACATTAACTACAGAAGCCCTGAGGGGGCATTGGATAAAAAAACGCACGGCACCTGGTCTTTGCACTTAATCATGGTTTTCAACGCCCAGCGCCCTAGGACCTCAGCTTTACAAGGGACGAGGAGATTCGGGTTCCTCCAAGCAGCAAGCGCGAGCTCAACTTTGAGCAGTTCGCCGCCCTGTGGAGGGTCAGAGGACCCATCCAGAGCGCGAATCAGGGCCCACGAGGACTCAAGCGCTGGATGCTCGGTGCTCATATAGCACTCAGTTAGCTAGGTTAACTTGGTGGCCCCGAGAACCTACTTTTCAGTCAGGTGACCATTGTCGGTTGTTGACCCCTCAGTCCAAGTGTTAACACAATTAATATCAGACATAAAATGAGATGTGAACAAGCGCTGCACATGGGACGTAGCAGCGTAGCGAAACAGTGAAACGACTGCGAGACCTCGAGCATAACAGAGTAGAGGTATAATATGACAAGGATAACGAGCGTCGTCATGGCTTGTTGTCCAACATTGACGCATTGCTGAGGAGGTGAAATCGAAGCGTACAAAGCCCACGGTGTCTAGGTTTCTGCTCTGATGATCTCCCTTCCTTCTAGAAGTTTTACTCATGTTCCTTTGTTCCCTGTAACGAGTGGCGTATGTGGCAACGTGCCATCGTGCGGCGCCCCACGCCTGCCATGTATATATAGGTAGATCTGTGAGTGCCGGGTACGACATCCGAACGTGTTGTGATATCGTACCGCAGGCCACATCACCGCGCGATTATACCGCCAAGCCCGGCTTAGTAATGAGCCACCGTAATACGTTTACAAAAGCGCTGCGGCGTCCTGATACGCCATCGTTGGCGGAGACAGCACCAAAATTTTATAAAATGATTACAACTCTAGTTTAAGCATAGATATTTTGGAAGGCTAGGCTTTATTTTGGCTCAATTAGTGGCTAAGTTGAGAAGTGGCGACAGAAGCGCGACAGGACACTCTCGCTTCCCCGGAACTTCTTCTGCTGATTCAGTGACTGCCAATTCGTCTGTCACATCTCTGGCTTCAACAGTATTCTGTATCTTGTTGAGTTTGAAATCTTGCACGAACAAAGACGCGGCAACAGGAATGAAGGCTGGAGCCAGGGCAGGAATAAGTAGATCTCTCTCGGCTGAGAATGCATCGTCTGTTGACACCAAGAGCGTTCGACCGAACATTCACGGAGACAAATGGTACACACTCACGCATGAGTTTCCGAGGCTCCGAACGTAAGTCGGGCCAAGTAGTGGCGACCAGACCCGGGAATCCTACATGTTCGGCGAATATTAGCGGGGGACTACAGGACTGTGGAGGCTTCAGGGGACAGGTTCGCAATTTCGACCGGCAACCGGTTTCTGTCGATGGCGCAAGCGACAGCGGTACCTACCACACTACCCGGCTCCACTGTAAGCAAGACAACCGCCGTCACCAGAGCCACATCTTGGTGAGGCAAACTCCCCTGGGCACCAGTCTGAGATGCCACAGCTGCGATACTGCCAATCCAACCCTGGATAATTGCATCATCACGAGCGCAGCAGTATTCTCACTGCTTGACTTGAACGCATCAAGCAGCAGTCCGACACGGATCACACTGCAGAGATTCTTTGAGGATCATTTGCAAAGGTGAGGCACAACTTGGGTGGTAGGTCCGCCGACCACATGTAAATCGCAGGTTTGCACATTCAACGTCACTCACTAGACGGAACCGAAGCTACGGACACCATTACATTGTGAAAAAACTCTACGTTGCCTTCCAGCCAAAATAGATTTGATGCAAGCACCATGACTGTTCGATTCTTCAGCACTTCCACTGGAATCACTTGGTAAGTCACCGTCTTAGCCTCCCAATACACGAATGCTGGGAAGGCTACAATCCCTCCGATGGCCATCATCGCAGGAATTGCGCGGTTTGACCATATTGATGTCGCGTGGAATCCGCCAGCAATGACGATAAGTACTACTTAATGATCCACACAGCATAGTGATGGGTCAAAACTCTCGAAGGGAAAGGAGCACACACAGAAAATCAATGCCAACGTCGCCCCAAGTAATAACAACCCAATTGCATCAGTATCGCTTTTTGATCCGCTCTATGAAGCTCGCTAGATTCTGAAACAAGTTGAGCCTCGTTGTACGGCGTTGACCCAAAAGGAGCATGACAGCCTGTCGAGTAGTTAACCAACCAAAAAATAATTGCCCGCACAGTGAGAAGAGAGTTGTTAAGAACGAAAAGATCGAGACGAACGACGGGTAACAGTGCAGGCAAATTTCAAATTGCATAAATACCATAGCCCCATCTTTATCCAAAGCCAGCAATAATATCCGCACTAATTTTCTCATTTGCGTAGAAGTTGATAAACCTCCGGTACTTTTGAGGACGTGGTCAAGCGGGGAGGATGAGGGAGCGAACGATGACACATTCGCCGCCAAGGTAGCAACGAATGACCTCCAATTGCAGCATCGTAATGTCAGCAATAAAGATTTGTTCGGTCACGAAAGGTGGGTGCTGCAGAGCAATCTGGAGACCTGAGAAGCCTTGAACCCAAATGCAGTTTCCTGGACCCAAACCCGCCATGGTCGGCGTTGATGTGGAGACGAGACTGTGAATTTCAACGCACCGACTGTAATCATGATCCAAACTGTAGCACAGAAACTACCGGCCACTGGCCAAGTGCATACAAGAACAGCGCAATAGCGGTAGCGATATGAGAGCGTTCTATGACTACCAATCCATGGCTAGCAATGAATCGATTTCACATGCCTCTGCACGCCCCAGAGTACAGAAAAAGAGAAGAGGAAGGAGTCAAATTTTTGATCGTGAAATTACTGTAAATGGATGTATACACATTCAGTCAGCCTTTCAATTGGGCAAGAGTCATTGACTGAACGATGACATTCGGCCAACTCCGTGAGATGACAGTCTCCACGGATTCGGCACGTGATTTAAACACCTCGGCTTGATGGGGTTGGCCGAATACAGTATGTAATACACGATCCAACGGTTGCATTGACAAGATCCTCTCGTGGTTTACCCGAAATCAGCCGCCCTGGCCACGACAGGCAACATTAGGGAATAAAATCATTTGACGTGACGAATGCCAGACCAATTAGAAGAACTCATTTTATCTGGGGAATTGTTCAATCCATCCATCTCCGAGTCCCCTCCCCGCACACCCACTTCCCGAACTCCTTCGCCCACAACTTCAGATGAACTCTTTGGCCCCTCTCCGCCTGTCTCTCGTTCCCCTTCACCCCTCCCAAATCACCTCCCAAAAGATGCCCCTTCGGAGTCGATCGGCCTGGGCCCTGGCCGGACAGGTGTTAAGGGTGTTATCCGCGACAGGAACGAGGCCCTTCAGCTTGAACGCGAGCGCTCTCAAAGACGTCTGCGAGAGCTCAGATCTAGGCAAGAGAAATCGAGCTTGGCTTATGGGGGATTAACTGTCCTTGAAGAAGAGAAGCTTCGTAAGAAGGATAGAGAGAATAGAAATTCATCGGAAGAGGAAGGCGAAGAAGAGGATGAAGAAAATGAAAAGCGAAGCTACCGGGGGCGAAATATGAAGACGTATTTCGAAATGCGCCGTGCAACGTTTGAGGATGCAAGGCCTGTTTTCGGTCATCTTCGAGAGGTAGCGCTATCTGGTTTTGTCAAAGCCGTCGAGAAGGAAGACAGGGATGTTTGGGTTCTCGTCCATTTATACGAGCCAGTAAGTTATTTCTCTCGTTAACCTTAAGAACTCAATGTGCTCATGCGTTTGCCTGCGAATCAGTATGAAGAGCGATGCCAAACACTAGACACAACTCTAGCTCATCTTGCGCGAAAAAATCTTCATACCAAATTCCTGCGTGCCCGTGCTGCGCATGTCGGTTTTGCTGTGAAGAGGTCTACTCATCACTCTCTCCCCGCTGGTCGCTCATCACACGATATGTATGACGAATATGATGAGCTCGAGGGTGACAATGTGGAGGTTGACACAGAGTTGCTTCCCACGTTGCTCGTGTATCGCGGTGGCGAGCTTGAGTTCACATGGGTCCGCGTGGACCTTGAGGCTGGGCCAAGCGGGGTTGGTGCGCTCCTGAAGAGGTAATTACCAGCACTTTCAAACCCCCACGACTATTACTGATATTTGCTAATGCAGACATGGAATTGTCCAGTCGGGCGATTTCGAGGAGGATCGCCTCGATAGCACGCTACTCTAAAACGAGTGATGCGATATGTTAGCAATATGATACAATCCACCCTTCCGGCATTCAACTAGTCTACCACACCGAGCTAGGACTTCATTTCCCACCAAACAGAAGACTCGGTCACCTCCCTTTCAATCCCCGTTGTAAGAAATCATACAACTTTCGGCCAGGTTCAACCCCCAAAAGCTCCTCAACCTCTTTTTGCTGCAACTCGCACAGTTCCCGAATACTTCCTACCCGATTCATCACATGCCGATAATTCTTCGTACCTACTCCAGGCAAACTTCTAAGCAACTCCTGTGCCGCGGTATTCTCCAGCGACACTGCCAAAGTCCCTCTCCCGCCCTCACCTGTGTTTGGTGCATCTGTCCCAACAGTGACCGCCCTTTCAGGGTCCGGCTCGCCCACCCCTGATTTTAGGTCTGCGAAGATACCTACCGTGGCATGGGGAGAACTGGACCAAATGATTCTGAGGCGTGGGAAGTGCAGAGTCAGAAGAACAAGCTTGGACTGCACACTGTTTGGGTCAATACGGGCTAGTGTGGAAGACGATGGCTCATTAGCCACTTTGCGTGTCTTTGAGGCAGCTCGTTTTGCGGCACTAGTGGTATCGACAATACTCTAATTGGGCAGAGAGTCAGCACTGCCAAATATGCAGCCGACGGTGGCCTTTGGAAGTCTTTCCTACCTGCATCGAAAACGATTTGTTCTCCTCGAACTCAATCAACAAGACAGGTTGTCTGTAATGCGCTGACATCAGTTCGCATTGATTATACCTGCGCGTATTTCTAGTTCAGTCCATTATTAACCCAATGGCGAATCTCGTACAGGCGACCACTTTGCAAACTTTGCACCAAGTCAGGCAGACTCTTCCGCTCCACGACAATATCGGGCGTCAGTATGTAGTCACCCACCGTGAGCGTGAGAGGGGTGGTGATATTCCTCGCCTTGTTGAGTAGATTAGGGAGACTCGAGCGAAACTCTCGGATATCGACCAGTATCTGAGTGAAGAGAAATCTTGACTATTGGTCTGAGAGTAAGGGGAGATGCACGAACCCGTGGTGGCTCAGTCATCGAGCCGCCCTGCCCTCCAGCGTTGCGCGAACTGATTGCATTGATAAGGTGGTCCGTCGTGCCTGCTATCAGAGGTATCGGAGCAGTATCGAGCGCAAGAACCATTTTCTGAAAGTTCGGTAATAATGCGTCAGACAGGGTCGAATGGGTGGGGTCAATGCTCACAGCTCGCTCATCAATTAATCGCTCGAGCGCGTGCTTCTCCTTACGGATTCCCGCAAGATACTTGTGCTCCTCACTCGTCCCTTGGTGGACCATAAAGTAGAGCCTGAGTGCCAAACCAGGGCTTAAGCTGCGGTATACCTTACGTCACGTCGCATTGAGTTACGGGCATCTGCAAAGGTGCTTCCGTTCGTACCTCGACTCGTCGAATGAAATCTATACTCGGCTCATACATAATTATCCATCGAGGGCGAAGCTCTGCTAGCATCATGTCATCACTGTCATCACCATATGGGCGTATGATGATAGTGTGGTCAGGAGGTAACAGACCGTAATCCGACTGCGGGGTTTCAAGGTTTGAAACTTCGGAAAGATCTGGGAAATTCGCCTGAGGATGCTCCTGAATGGTGGGAACCATGTTCGCTGGCTGTGTTCGTTCAAGGCTTTCCTTCTTGATTTGCGAGTATGCCTCGGGAGGAAGTGGAAACCCTAGGTCTGGAGAGGAACCAATGGGTTGCAGATTGTCTCTGATAATTTGACAACACTGTCAATGTCAGTGGAAATCATGGGGGAAGGTTTACAAACGCACAATACATGTAAATCCTCAGCGTCAACATCAATCACATCATGGCCCCCATCACTTTGATGAGTCGCGCCACCTGGGGCACCCCCTCGCACTCGTCTGCGATTTGCTCGTGCAAGTGCCTTTGCTGTGTCCTTCTTCCTTAGGCCTTCGCTTAACTGACTGTCACCGGATCCTCTATTGAGATTGTGGGGTTGATTCGTGGGCGCCGCGCCGGTACTATGCTCCGAATCGGCACGCAGATTCTTCTTCCAATGCAAGTATCCAAGCAACCGAGCCTCCAGAAAGTGACGCCCTGGAGTAGCAGGATATAGATGCTTAGTAGAAAGGAATTCTCGTAACTGGCCACAAGTCTGGTGATCATTTGCCATAATTAAGATGATGTCACTTCCAGGTGCCACTGTGGATACAGAATTAGCTCTCGAACGCATTGGACAACTCGGGCAACGCACACATTGAGGCGGGGTTGATTGACATTGTTTGTTCGACCTCGTCCAGGATGTCTGATAGCACCTTCCATTTAGGGAGATCTTCAAGAACGGGCCCCATGCCACTAGGCATCCAGTCCTGCCATCCGTCAGCTTCCTGATAAGTTTTTGTTCTGGATGAGGATGGAAGCGGGTCCCTTCCTTCAATCTCATCCAAGACATTCCAGGCTTCTTCGAGTTCTGCATCCTCTCTCAGCAGTGGCCCATCCTTTGGTACCTTGTATTGAATATAGACCCGGCGACGGGCCTGCGTAAAGATAACATTTGCAGCATCGGTCATAAGCCAGGCGCTCAACATGGCAGGCTGCTTTTTCCCCCCTGAATTGGTGAGTACGCACGTTTCTCGAACCGTTTCGACATAAGAAAGAAATGTAACAGGGTCGTAGGACAGAAGGTATCTATACAATCCGATCGTGAGCCATACGCACGATTGACACCAAAGGAGGTGGACCCTACGACAAAAGTTTCCGAAGTTGAATGATGTCGGCCACGAGCTGCTTCGTTTTCACGCCAACCTTGTGCCACACTGGATCCAGCTGTCTTCTAACCAGAGCGTCAAATGACCTAAAGTATGCGTTTTCGACATTAAGATCATCCAGGTCGAGCTGGGGATCACGTCAGTACATGTCGCAGTGATTGAACATAACGGGTTCGCACAGCCTGAGACATATTGCTTCTTTTTAGCTCTGACAGCGTGCCATTCATACATTCGACGATAGCAGTATGTATGTCCATCATTGTGGGGCTCAGCTGTTGATAAAGTTCGACCGTGTCCGCTCGTCTGCGCTGCAGATCGTCCTGAATGCGCTGGTGAAACCTATAGCTCATTAATTCAGTTTCCCATCTGGCCCAGTCGACAGTGATGGAGTCACCGAGGATATAGGTGAACATTCCGGAGATGAAGTTCTTTCATAACTGTCTGAAGGGGGAACATCCCCGCAGTAAAATATTCGGGTTGGTCAGAGAATGCTTTGAGAAACCCCTCCTGGATCCACTGTCAACAAGAGAGAGGAAGATGAAAATTCAGAACTTACCTGATTCCCTTCTCGGTATAATCTTATGATGAATGTTTCCGGGCTCGAGGGTGTAACCCTGTGTCCCCCGATAAGCGGCGTCAATGTAACAGCGCATTGGCACCAATCAAGTACCTTTCAGCATGAAGCACTAGGAGCCCGGTAATGAGACTAGCGGGCAGGTCCCCCTGCAGAAGGTCAACAACCAAGATTCGAGAAGTCACAGAAACAATGCCGCCTTTCCGATATAGCTCCTGCCTTCATAAGAAAAAGAGGATGAGACAAGCGTGCATTAGTCGAGGCGACCATGTACAAATGCTTGCCTCTCTTTCCTTTGCATTTCGTAGTCAACAATGCGAAGACCTGGATTCCTGACACCCATGGTAGAAAGCTCTGACGCGATTGCCGAGTCTTCATCAGGTGAAACCGCTCCAACCAAAACGATTAGGTTCTCGGTGCTGCAGTAAATCTTCAATAAAGAGCATATGATCCTTCGAAGACCCAGACCGCGGGCAAGGATAAGTAAGTCAGATGTGGCAGGGTCGTGTATTTCGCCGATGATTGCTGAATGAAAGGGCAAAAGATTTGACATCTAGGGCTGCATCATCTATGAAGATGAGCGCAAGCACTTATGTCTGTTCCAATGACTTGAAACCGGAACCGAATGAAGGGCGCAACTCGCTTACATAATCAGAGCCGGTCCGTGGGAACCAAATTCAAGCGTGACAACAACAACAACAAATAGGCAGGTGCCTCTCTTAAGTGGGAAAACTAGAAGGCGCTGAATTCTCTATGTTAGGTCACCAATTGCTTCAAGTACCGAACGAGTCTGTATGATTAAAGACAGAAGATAGACGGGAGTAAGAAATACAAATGTGTGTATTAGAAACTACCAGTTTGACCCAAAATGCCAATGCTCTCATTCTCAGTCTGTAGCCACCAGCGGCATCAGCAGCGTCAGTAGCATTAGCAGCATTGTGCTCCAACACTGTTAACCCCCTCATCCATATCTTCTAACTCCGTGTCGCTGTGCTCCTGACTTGCCCCATCTCCAATCTCATCCACTCCCGGTCTAAGTGAGTTGCGCAGCTATCAGGGAATTGTTCTTGATAAGTGAGTTTGACCAGCTTGAATCGACTCTTAGCCTATTGGAGCTCCAGGATACTTACTACCTGGGACTGTCCATGGAGCTGAATGTGATCTAGGTATTCTTGTCAGAGTCTGAGTCTATATAACGCGACGTAGTCTCATTTACAATATGCAGTTGATCTAAGTTGGGTTCGGTCCAAATAGAAGTAACCACTCCCTTGTGAGGGAATCAGCTTACAAGCAGATTGCTGAACTTTGATGTTCTTGTTCGATGTTCGGATGCAAGTAATCTCAAGCGTTCGGCTTTCAGTCAGAAGTCAACTGCGTCTGTCGTTCAGTAGATTTCGTTTCCTTCATTTCCCAGATCATTGAACATCCTCGTCCAGCTCCAGCGTTGCCGTGTGGCTCTTCCAGTAAATGCCTCTTCAATAATGTCAAGTCCCTTGGCGGCGATCTTTGGCGTGTCAGCAAGTTCTCTAGCCTACGCTTCATTCTCGGCATAAGTCGATCCCCGGAGAGCTCATATCCAGAAGGTCGCCTCAGAGAAACACACGACAAAACTACAAAATTCAAAGGCGCGTCACGTACATACTATAGCCACTCTGTCCAGATGAGATGTCAAGAAGCAAAGGAAAGGGGACATGTCAGTTGAACCTCTAGTCCGGTGACGCTTCTTCATTCTTTTTTTTCTTCCTCCGTTTCCCTTGCCTTGTGCTTGAAGGAATCGTATCGACAGCCTCTGCTGCTGCCCTCTTACTTGGAACGGATAGCTGTGCTACATCGCCCTCACTCTCCGCAGCGGCTGCAACTGCATCAACACCTTCAGAAGGCCACCCAGAAGGGTAAACAATCTTAGGTGCTGACACCATCGCTCTATAGGTTTTTCGAGTTTCTAAAGATAATAAAATTCAAGGGAAAGTCAATCCATAAAAAAAATTACCTACGAGCCCGAAGAATAAGCGCTTTAGGGGTCTTTGTCAGAGCATTCAATGCTACATCTTGAGACAGACTCAGAAGCGTCCCCCTGCCAGCAGAAATGAGATCCGTCTGGACTTCCAAGTCACGACGAATGGGACGCACAAATTCGCTACATCAAGAGGAGCACGCAAATCCGATATGACCTTGGTACCACTCCCGAAGATGATGTTTTTTCCGTTTGTCATCCTGCAAAGTTCCATTGCGTTGGCCCACCAAGTTCGGCGCCGATATTCGCTGTTCGGGGAGATGACAGGGGCATAAGGAATTTCAAACACTACTCCGTTCCGAATAGCAGTGCGTATCAGACTGTGCTTGAAGTAGAAACTCATTCGTGGGTGGGAGGCCAGATCGAGGGTAATAATATGAGAAGTGAGGGAACCAGGGGCGGAGTGAGTCAAGCAAGCACCAGAAAACGAGGACTCGGTCGTTGGGAGAAGAGAGATAATATCGTATGATGCAAACAAGGATGTATTAGCAGTCGTCTGGGACAATTGATATTGTTAGTACCCAAAGGACTGACAACCGATGTTCCGTTTGTACCAACGCAAAGTCTTTCTCGTTGTTTTCATCGATGATGATAGTGAGACGCCGGAGGAAAATGACCCCTTCTCGAGGAGTCAAGGCATACCCCTCTACGGGCTGCTGAAACTTCCCTTTAACAATATGATTAATTGCGATGACAGTGTATCCAACTGTTGAATGAATCGCAGGTTACCCAAAATTATAAACTAGAAGCCACCACCACTAACGTTTAACACGAGCATCTATTTGAGCTTCGAGCAATTTTTTCTCATGTGCTGTTGGGACAATTGGTTGTTTCCCTGTCTCATCTGAAGGTTGATAAGGAACGGCAAGGTCGAAGAACGTCATTCGAGGACGTGACGAGTGACGAGTGACGCGTCACGGCGTCAATCTTTCCCAGCTGGATCAACCTTGCCATGGCTGTGAGTTGTCCGTGTCGTGTCCGATGTAACGCTCACGTAAACACTGAATGCTTGAGGCTTCCTTAGTCCGGATTTGGGTATAGCGGGGGTCAGTTTGATTCAAGCTCCTTCATTACTCGGCATAGTTGACTTATTTTGTCAGGACGTTCCCGTTGCTTTGCCCTTTGGCAAGAGTTCGCGAAAGTTGGTGACTTCGGTGCCTAACACGCTTTAAAGTCTCAATAACTGCCATACCACTACAGTGTTATGCTGATGCAGAGCGCCCGTCGCAGTGTATTGCACAGTCCGAGGATTACTTAGAATGCCTCCACCACACGAAAGAGGTTAGTTTGTGCGGCTACTTGTCACCAGCCCCCCATCCCAACACTGTGTTGCTACTCTAGATTGCACGTGCAAAGACCGTTAAAGCTCATCTCGTCGAGAAACTTGCGCACGAAGGGAAAGAAGGACGCAAAGTGGCAGACATATTGTCCGAGGGTGTGATTGTCGGCGTGGGACTCATCGGCGCAGACAAGCACCCAAAATCATGAATAAAATGACACTTGACCTTTCTCCTCTGTAGCAGAAGTCCAACAGAAGTCAGCATGCGGGCGTGCAGGGTGACTGAGGCAGCAGTACTTAATCAATATGAAATTATTGGGCCAGCTTCAGCTGTTGGTGTAACATAGGCCGCATTGGAGCTATCTCAAACGGGAGAGATTTAATTTTACGAGAAATTTCTTGCTTCTGAGTCGGCATTCCCCGTTTCATTGGAACTATCGTGATGCAGCTAATACGTCGTTCTCGATGGATTTTAGTTGTCCAAATTTATTGTCATATTAGAACAAAATGACTGATGTATCGTCGCAGGATATCTTTCAAAGCACGAGCAATCGAACGTTTAAAGAGGACTCATTTGACGCTTGTTCCTCGGTTGTACATGTCCCCACTACTTATTTAACAATCTCGATTACTTGCACTCCTGGCACGACCTGGACTCGCTGGACTCAGCCTATCAAGAGGTTTGATCCGACGGGTCCGACATCAATTGGCTTCTGGGCTATCAAGTGGGTTATGTATAACTCTCGCCACACAGCTTGGCAACGCTCATCACACCACAATGTATGTTCTGCCCGACGATATTGAGTCCGCACGTTCCGATAAGTTAGCCGTAGCTGCAACAGGAAGCGGAGGACTAAGAGAGTTCTAGGATCATCTTCCCGACGATGATGCTGCCTAGAATCTCCGATTCAAACGTAACCGACAGAGGCTATATTTATCGTTTGGATTGGCCCATGTTGCAGAGTGATGCGGAAAGCGAAGGTGCAGTGTACTTATCTCCTCGGGCCACCTTTTGACAACTTAATACGATGTCTGCGGCGTATATGAATATTGCAAGGTCTCTATCCAAACAGCAGATGTAAAGAAAGCCATATCTCAGTATTCAGTCGACGTTGTCACTGAGAAAAATGATCAACCTATTGTTGTCTGGCGAAGGTCAGTGGCGCCTGTTGCTCCCCATTGTCTTCCCTTTCTAAACTACCAGCTATGATGGGGTGTAACCCGTCGGCTCGTATTTCTACACTATACATTTACATGACCAATTCCCATTAGCGGGCCTCGGGTAATAACAATTTACAAATCAAAGGAGTGTAGGAATCCATTGCTATGTCGTCATAACTGCACCCTTGCTTCAAATCCATACTCGACTGGGGACTTTCATCTGGTCTCTCTCCCATGCGGTTCTTCTCTCTTTCCTAACAACCATATTCTCCCTACCAGAACCAGCTTCCCTGAAACTGGGATGGGTGTTCTTACCCTTACTCCCCTTGCCGCTGGTCTCCAGAATGCCGATTGGGGATGCGATATTAGTTTCAGAAGAAGATTGGAGAGGGTGGATCCCTTTGAGCAAGGCGCGCCTAGCCTCGTTGGAGCCACTTGTGTCTGAGCAGACATCTTCATCGTCGTCAAGGTACTCCTGAAAATCTTCCAAGTCTTTCATCAAAGATTCAAGATCCCGTGCAAGGAACCCTCTGTTTCTGTGGAATACATTAAATTAGTTATGACGCAATGCTGATGCTTGTTACACATTCTGGTGTACCTTCTTGGGTTTATGGAGCTCCTGTCAGGTCGGATTCGTTCATCGCTGGGGGAGCGCTGGCGGTTTGGAAAAGTGTTCTCTGGCAGTACCTCCGTGGCCATCTCTTTTGGTGGAGTGCTACTAGCGAAATGAGCCAAAACAAGCAACTACCTCGCATCTGCGGGTACACTCACCAACTATCCTGCTTGCCACGCGAGACGAGTGGATGCCCGACCTTGCGAATGCAGTCATGATGTGGATCAGTAGATCCCAATACACTCCGAACAGCTTGAACTTCGCTGCTCTTGGAACGTTTCAGGGCACCCTGACGACTAGTTGCGTGTTCCTGTACTCTACAAATACGAACAATTTGTTAGTGGATGCAGACTGGGAACTCGCTCATCTTCCTTACTGGAGGAATACTGATGATTCAAGATGACACGTATTCATTCTTGATTCCACGTCCATCCCAAAGCGCTTGTTCATGTTTTTTCTGCGAGCTTCCATCCTCAGGATCATCTGCGACTTCGAAGGTGGCGATCGAGGCCTGTGAGTAAAGCACATACTGAATCAATACTACACTGACACAGGATAGCTGAAATCTCTCGCTGCTCACATCATTGAAGAGGTTCGAAAATCTTCGTCGTGTTCGGTTACTGGATAACTAGATGTGGTACTCGCAGGTCTAGAGGCGTCATACTCAGAAGGGGAGCGGAAATAAGCGGATAAGATGCTAGGAGTAAGGGCGGGAGGGGGCGGCGATCGATCATGGGTTTCGCGGGAATTCACAGATTCCTCTACGCTGCCGTTCTAACTCATGATATGAGCAACGGTAACAACTCGCACATAAGACACATACGACCATATAATCCATCAGAACCTGCCCGAAAGGGTTTCCATCATGCTGTTCAGTCTCGGTGGATTTCTCCAACTCAACCATTTTTGGTGGAAGGTACCTTTGCGATTCTGGGGGTTTGCCAGCCGGTGGGCGAGTGACATGGCGCGGCAGCGAAGTCTGCTTCTGGGCTCGCTGTTGAAAGGATGAAGGTGAATTCGGGCCTCGAACAGCAGGATAAAGAGCAGCGCGAACGACATGTTTATCGTCCTTAGGTGGGGAAGTGGGAGGATGCACGTTGATGAGAGGCATAGTAAAAGACAAGGCTGGGGTGCTTTGATTAGGAGAGGCGATCATTGGCTCAGCCAGAACATTGTGCAAAACGGGGGTTGGAGGAACGTTGTGGGTGTAAGTAGAGCAGGAAGATTCTGAATAGGAGGAGGAAGTCATTCCATTCCTTTGAGAATTCCCTGAAAGCGATGGATTGCTGCGAGAAACAACAGAGTTCTCTGGGAGTTTCACCCTTAGTGGGGGAGGGGAGGGAGAATAGGGATCCCAAAGATCCGCTAATCCCCTCATCGTTGTCGAGGTAACAACCCTTCTCCTCCCTTGAGTCCTTCGCCGCCCAACTGGGACCGACTTAGAAGGAGCGAGAGACCGGCCGGAATTGGAAGAGGCGGGAAAGTAGCTCAGGTCGGATCCGGGAAGAGCTGGCAACTTCGGCGCATTGTTGGGGGGCATCGTCGAGGGATGGGTTTTGAGAGAAGCTGCAGGGGTAGTTTCGAGACGAGCAACAGAAGAGACCGAGCGCTTTCTCCACTTGAACAGTGCATCAGTGATATCGGAGAGTCTCATGGTAATTGTGTAGGTTGTGAAATGCTTGGAATCGAGCGAAGAAAATAGAGAATAAAATAATCAAGTAGGAAATTTGGGCTTGAACTGTGATGCGAGTTTCCGGAGATGTAAAGCAAGGATCGCAAGTTGCTGTAACGGATTATGCGGGAGTGGCGTCTTGGGGTATCGCTCAGCCTGCTGAACAAATGAGCGTGTCGAAGGAGCGTGCTATAGTACAGACAAATCCAGGAGATTTGGACGATGGGCGTGCGCTCCGTTCAGGAATACATGGAACTGTGCGGTGTGAAACAGATGGGCGGGCCATCACGCTGTTTATGCATATTTATGTATACGGAGGATTTTAATGGAGGAATGAGATTAATCCCTGTCGTTTTTTCGCACCCTGTCTCTCACCAAGCTTGCCATTGGTTCACAAGTGATTTATTTTTATGTCATTTCATGCTCATAGTAGGTACTACCCGAACTGCTCTCAGGCTATGGAAAATTTCCCATTGGATCTAAGTATGTTGTGAATTGTCCATGCCCTTCAGATACCTGTTGCAAGTGGACTCTCATTGTTCGCAATGTGGCTCCTTTCAAATCTTTTGTGTCATTCCTTTGGCCCCCAAAGTTCAGAGGGTGTAACCTCAACAACAACTAAATCGCGGGATTGATATTATCGGTTGGGCAATATATATCATTCATCTGTTCGGCGCTACCCTCTTCCCTTGCTGCCACCTTAGTTATTTCTTTTTCGTTGTTCACGCTAGATGTACTTCTGGGTCGCATTCTCAATTCAACATAAGTCTGGGCTGTCTCCACGCTACAACACACTTGAGCTACTTCTGTTACAAGCTGGAAAAACACAAATCCTTGCGTTCCCTAACGACTTGATGGTTGCAAGAGATGGCATCCAATATGCAGACGATGTTATTATAATATTGTTATGTCGCTATGCCTGTTTCGAAATACAGCTGCATCCGTGATCACCTTCTGCTTGCGCCTCCATCTCTGTTTACAAAGGTCCTGTGGCGCGCGCTCGTCCCTCACACATAGTCCGGTACTACCAGGGCCCCCTCATCTCCTCTAACTCTGGTCTCAGGGGCATTTGCTTGATATCAATTTGGATCACACATTCAAACCGTACTCAAGTCAATCCTTGACAGCTCCAAGTGGTTTCTCAGCTTATGTTCAGTTTTTTGCTCGTTCTGAGTAGCTTTCCATTTGTACAGAGTGGGGGCAGTGGTCTCATTACCATTGTTGTTTTGGTTGTCGAGTCATGCCTGACTTTAGTTCACTTCCATGTATCTGTGCTAATTGATCTTGTTATCGCCGCCGCATCTGTGTTTGTGGGAGCGGCCTCACGGACTGAATATCTGGGTCATGTTGTACCTTTCGTCCTCTGTCGAATCCCTTCGTTGTCCTCTCAGACCGTATCGCATTCATGCATCTGCATGGCAGCGAGGATTGGGGAGTTGAGGGTCGGCGACCTTCACCCTCTTAAAAAGGCGTTGCGGAAGTGGCGAAGGAATTGAATGAAACATTTTCGAACCGGGAGGCACTTGTTGGACATCGACTTTTTCTTGATAGATGAGGAATGCATCCTCCGCAATCTGCAATCACTCTGATATACATATTTTTGAGGAAAAAATGTAGTTACCTCTGGGGATCTCATCAAAAGCTCGATACACTGTCGTCACCTGGATAAGGGCTGTTCAAGCACCGCACAGCGAGCACCCAAAAGTTGATACAATGAGGAAAAGAACAAATGTCAATACGGGAAAAATACCAGTTGGTTTCAGCGAATAAACAGTAGAAACCGACAGCATCCCTCGAGTACCATGCAATCTAGCCACAGAACTGCATCGACGGGCACCCAATAGCCGTGCCGTACGTACCCCCATCCACACCCGCAACAGCAAGAATAGCACTCATCACTCCGCCAATACCCTCACCAGCCACAAGACCAGCAGCGAGTGGGAACCCATACAAATCGAACGAGCTCGGGCTCTTGCGCTCCCAGAGCCAATTAATCGTTGCACCGACAGCCATGATAAGAGGATAGTAGACTTGGGGTACGACGAATGCGAGACCGATGGCATTCCAGTTAGGAACATACACCCAGTACTTGCGGGGAATGTAGAAGTGTTTGGCATAAACGGTAAGAGCGGCGACGACGGAGAGTGCGATAGCAGTGTAGCCAGAGGAAGGAGGGATAGCTATAAGAAGAAAGCTGGTCAGTCTCTTGGAGCTAGCAGGGATAATTGGAAGCAGACACTCACGAAGTGTCTTGGCGAGCACCGCAGCGGCAACAGCGGCCCAAGCACTGACGGAAGGAGCCCCGTACGAGCACACACCATCTTCGGGGGGATACAAAATGCAAGAGGCGGATTTTGTGAACAAGATAAATAAGCCAACATTGAGGAATATGGCAACGGTGGCACCAGCGAGCTGAGCGACGAACTGATCCCTTGGCTTAGCACGAAGCAAGTGCCCAGTCTTAAGATCACCTGTTCATGCGTATCAGGATACCTGTCCTTAAAGAGAGTAGGAAATTTTTACTCACCTGTCATATCCGACGACTGAGCGGCCGCCCCCCCGGACAATACACCGGCCACCAAGTTGAGCGTTTGACCGGAAACCTTGCCCAAGTGTTGACCCTTGGCAACGCCACCAAAAACCAACTGATTGGCTTTGGCAACAGTCGAGACAGGGTTGATATCGGTATCACCAGCACTCTGCACGGCGAGAAACGAGAACAAGAAACCAAAAACGAGTGCAAGAATAGCTTCCCCAACGCCCATATTCCATTTTGTCGCAACAATCGAGCAGGTAAGGATGACAGAAAGGATGAGACCACCGAACCATGCCCATAAAGGAACACGGTCCTCCGGGGGAGCGGGATCATCGTCATCCTCGATTTCACGGATATAGTTAGGATCATTGCGGTTAACAAAATCACGGAACATTCTGCCAAACCCAGATCGCATGGACACGAACATCTTGTAGAACGCATGGCGCGACGAAATACCGACTTCCACGAACGAGTAAACAATCATGATGAGTACACCAGGCCATAGCAGCCAGTAACGGGGTGACGGGGTCTTGGAGTATTTCTCGATATCATTGAGATGGAGGGATAAATAAGACCAACGGTTGTCCACGCCGAGGTTGATACCGACGGCGACACCAGTGGCGATGGTCGAGGGTGCGATGATACCCCACGCAAGGACGGCACCCATAAAGAAAGACCAAGAGGCATTCATTCCAGACAGCATACCAGCGCCGTAGAAAGCGGGAGTGAATTCAATCCACCAGCCATAATTATCCAAGGCAATCATGCTAGTGAAGCCAATGCGGTACATACTAGAAGTATCAGGCTCAGCCATGAGAAACAACGATCCAGTTTAAATCCGAGGGGAACACCACTCACGTCCACCCGATATGCCAATCCCAAATCAATCCGGGAGCGTAGGTGGCCAACACTTTGAAGAGAAACGCTGCAAGAAAGCTATAACCAAGCATCTTGGCTTTTTTGGAAGCAGTAACTGCACCACCAACCGAATGCAATTGCCGGATGGTATAAGCAGTTGCAGTGGGAGTAGGAAAGACGAGCTTCTGCTTGAGAATGTAGTACTTGCGGAGTGGTATGACGAAAAAAGCGCCGTAGTAAGCAACGCAAACCGTCAGAGCGATGAGCTTGCCCGTGTCCTGCTCTGGGAGCCTGCTAAGAAGACCAAGGCGGTACATAGCAGGTACGGCGCCAACGAAGATGATACCAATACCACCCGCGGCAGTGGCAGCAGACTAATTGTTCATCATGTCATAGTGAAGATGAAATGTGAAACAAGGAGATCGCGATAACGTTAAATTTCAAATTCCGTGCTAAAAGGGAAGCTTACCTGAACAGTGACATTTTCCTTCGGACCGAAGTTCTTGCTGCCAGTAAGCCAACCAGGCCCTATCCCCCCGATAATCTTTGCCAAAGGCTTCAAGATGGCAAAGCCGAAACTGGAGCAGGAAGGTGTTAGTGACGACAAATGGGTGCCGGTCAAGAGCTCACATGGCACCGAACAACTGAGGGCCGAAGGTGAACCTAAAAGAGGTATGAGCATGGTGATGTTTGACGGCGGAAGAAGGCGGCCCAGCATGTCTGCGTCCGGGCGGGGGCGGCGAAGTTACTTACCCAGTCTTAAGACCAAGATAGATGTTTGAAGCACCAACGATAGCACCGAGAACGATGCCAACGACAAGGGCACGACTGTGAAGAGGGTACGCCGGAGTAAGTTTTCTAAAAACAAAATAATTCAAGTATTCATACATAGTGAGGGTGTGCTCCTCATGGGGTATCAATGGGTTCTCGGGGAATGGGTCCCCAGGCGTGATGCCATGAACATCACTGGACGGCTCGGTCGTATCATTGTCTTCGGAATCTGGAGTTTCGATATTTCCTCCTTTCTCGCTCAGGGCGTGTGCCTTCTCAAGCTCGCGGGCATCTTCTGGAGAACTATTGTAAGGCTGTCTATGGTGAACGTCTTGAATGTCTGCCATGGCTATTGTCGCTGGGGATGAGGAAGGGGGAAGATCAAACTATGGTGAGGAGGTTTTATATGCGGGGACCATATGGCAGCTACCCTTCTCCGCCCCTGAGGATGGAAGCACATAGTAAACGAACATATAGAGTGCAGTAGGAACCGTTCCCGATTCTCGGACTTGGTATGATAATATGCATACACAATATCCCACCTCCAGCTGTGCGTGCAACAGGAGCTAAGCTTAGCAGAATAGGTACAACGAAGTAATGTGCCATATGCTCGTCCAGTCTTCGAAGAAGGGATTCACCTATTCGGCTATCCCCGTACCGTAAGAGTTGATCTAATTAGGCTTCGTTCGGTCGGAGAAGGAAAAAGAAACCTGTCGACCCGAATGAAGCCTTGGGTAATGAAGCCTTTAATTTCAAGTTGTTGTTCCGTCGCCCTCCGCCCTTCTTGCGATGATGAATTCCAATAAAGGCTGGTAAACCGTCATACTTGAATGTCATCTAGATGAACTATCAGAGTGCCTTAGAACGAGATGAAGGGCTCAATATTCCAACAGGGGATAGAAAGTGGCGGTATTGTATTGAATTATAGCATCAGGTGACAACACAGCAACTAAATGGGATACCATGTAAATCAGGTATAACCGCCTGATGCGGCAGAACCCGCCACTCGATAAGACATGTATGTGGATGAGTACAAAGAGAGGGAGGAACGGAAGAAGACCATCCATTTCCCAGATGATGGAGTCAATGTCAAAATATCCTGGCCCCTGGGAATTGAGAATCGTCAATGTATGATTCTCAGATGGAAGGTCTGATTGCTCAAAGAGGCACCCTTTGGGTCATGACCATCATAGGTGTTCATCTCCCCACCTAACGACACGGTATAGTTCCCATGGTTGTCACGTCTGGCACCGTAAACCCATATCCCAGTTCCAAAGTCACAATTGCGCCCGGTGTAGAGGATGTCACAGCAGTCCATTTCTATAAAAATTGACGGAAGGATCATCGGCTGCGTATACAAGTCTCCAGCCCACCGACGCAATGGAGTCCATAATGGACAAGAGATGTTGGATTGTATGGGTACAAAGAGAGGATCACATAATAACTCAACAAGGAACACGATCAGGAAGAAAGATGGCAGAGAGGTCACTATTGTAGGGTTGAGAGGCCTAAAATTGAGAAGGATCGTGGAGGGAGGGAAAGGCAATTAAAAGGGAATCTACGAAGCAGGGGAGCTCAGCACCATGGGTTGGGTTGGATGACAAATGCGGGAATTCGGAAATGGCGGGTGGGGCGGGAGAAAAATAAAAGGACTCTGGATAGGAAGGGAATTTGCAATAATAGAGGACCGGGCATAGTAGCGGGAATTAATGCCACATACGTCCATGAGGCTCACCTCCTCATCCTCCTTTGCAACAGGCATTCTGTTTTCTTTAAACATAGCATGTTGGAGACGGCGCGTCGTTGTTGTCCAAGTAGTTCCAACCATATGAATTTCCACAACAGACTCTGCAAAGAAGCAATGAATTGTCGCACTCCATCACAGCGACCTTGAACGTGATGTCCCAGAGCAGACGCGTTCTTAATCCAGTTCAATGCGATCAGTTGATCGGCGTACTAGTATTTCGATTTGACGCTCGAAGGGGCGCTGCGAGGCGCTCATTGCCTTCATTCGCTAAAAGACACTCAGAATGAGACAGAGACAAAGGAGGAATATTGTTGAAGCCAGAGATCGATCACTTACACCTTGCTCTCTCCGCATGCTGAGTTGTCCTCTACTCGAGCCTTCGAACCTCTCTTACCACAGAGGTGGCATTACTGCGAATGGGAATTAATATGACGCTGCAAGCGGTACTGAAAAGTGAAGAGTATAGGGTTAGTAGTGCACACCCTCTATATGTGAGGCGGGTTAAGGACCCTGGGTTACCGTTCAATGCATTTTCAGAGGACCATGTCATTTTTGCCATTCAATCAAAGGCTCTAAATCCACAGGACCCGCTACAGAGTAGCGGGAAAAACAACAGGGGGAGGATTAGGGTATTAGAGGATCTCTTGCCATAGGGTTTTCGCGTCGCAAAGATTGACATTGTCTCAAACACCATCTGTAACCTTTCGCCCCCCCAGAGACGAATCATATCCAAATCGCCCTCTATGAGCTCTCCAGCTACCACACCTAACGATGAATTGATATTCTACTGTCCACATCCTAACCTTACTGTTCGCGACGTATTGGTCATCACTGAAAATCCATACTCACAGAGAATTGCTCATCTGTGGAACCTGGCCAAGGCATTGAATCCTCGTTTCGGTGATGTTTACAGAGCATCCTGCATATTCTACCTCGTACGTTTATCTTCTTTGTACACCACAAGCTGTTCCCCTCGTACCTACCTAGCCGTCCGACTTGCCTATCGAGCCAGCCGACACCTTGTTCTCTCGCAGCCGAGATTGGCTCCGGCAGCACCGTGAGGATGGCCGAAGGGCCTGCATCAGCCAATTTGCCCGCAATGCCTTCCTTGCTGTGCCACCTCCTGACGGGGTTCATATTCTTGTCGTCAACGAAGAAAGTACGTCCATCTTGTAGACCTTAACGTTGCCCGCCTTACAAGTGCTCTAGTTCTTGAGGGCCTGGATGATCTGGGGGACCTCGGTGCCCTAGCGCTTAAACGTGCGCCCGTTCTTTGTGTTTCAATTGCAGTCCTGTTCTTGATTGTGGCTCGTCAGAACGCACAAAGGGCATCAAATCATTCCGGGATTCGCTCCCTTCACCATTATCCGGTGTCTCTTCCTTCGAGGGCGTGGAGCGGGTCGTCAGCGCCAAAAACAACTTTCATGCCGGGCGACCTGCGGGAAATTTCGGCCCCCCTGTTTCTTTATTCAATCATGCTTTGGGCCTGTTTGACTATCACCTGCGCCATCTAGACGATGAATCCTCCACTGTCCATCCTCCTCCAGCCCTCATTGAACTGGCACATCAGTTCATGGTTGCTGCTGCGAATAGCTACCCCACCGAGTTCACGCGTGTGGCAGTTATCAAAGACATTCTCAGCCGGATCGTCGCTGTGCCACTAAACTGGGAGGTCTCGCAAGCTCAGTTCGGCATTTGGCCGAATGCTATCAATTTGGACGACACACCTTTCTTCGTGGTGGAGGTGACGAACGAGGCTGGTCTAGAAGGAGATGCCTCTCTACAGGCAGCGCTGTCGTATGCGCATATTGCATCATCACCTTTGGACAAGGTTAAATCATCTGCGTTCTTTTTCATTTTTATTGATGTAGATTGTAGGATTCATCGAAGCCTTCGAACTATCCTGCCGTTCTCTCGAACTGCCCCGCTGTTCTTTGCGGTATCATGGGTAACCTTCTTGAAATCGGGGTTGCGACGTACACAGATGGGCCATACTACAATCTTCTGTTTTCTGAGCGGTTATGCCTAGGCTTCTACGCTGCGAAAAATCTCCTCCGTCTCGCTCGAGCTTTCACCGCCACTCGACATGTCGTCGCCGACCTCAGGCAATTCTACACCGCCGCCCTGCCAATCCCAGGCAACATCGCACATTTGTTCCCCTCGCCTCTACCGGTCCCTACCTACACCGGTTTTGTGCCAACCTTGACCTTCACGCGCCGAGTCTCACGATCGGGCGAGACTGTCGTGTTGGCAGAGGATGAGGCAACGCGGCAGTCGGGCATTTACCTTGCCACCATGACCAAACCTCGCAACATCGATGAGGATACGGTGGTGTCTTCGTCTGTGGACGACACATCTGAAGTGGTTGTGAAGTTTACCGCGCAATACCATCCTGAAGCGCACTGCCTGCTCGCAAAAGCGGGCCTTGCACCAGCGCTGCACGCGTGTGTGCCAGTATGTGGTGGCTTGTTCATGGTCGTGATGGACCGTGTCCATGGAGAGATTGCTTGGAAAGCAGTCCAACGAGGAGGGCTCCTTCCCTATGAGATCTACAAGGATATCGAAAATGCCGTCGCGCTGCTTCACTCTAACGACCTCGTTTTCGGTGATCTCCGCACTCCGAACATCATAGTTGTCCCTGGTGGATCTGGCTCGGACGCCCGACGTCGCGGCATGCTCATTGACTTTGACTGGGTTGGGGTTCATGAGATTGGGAGATACCCTGCTTCCTTGGACAATTGTCTGCCGGACTGGGTGTCAGGTATTAAGCGATATGGGATCATGGACAAGGCTCATGATCTCGCGATGTTAACCAAGTTCAAGCGCTGGTGCCATTCAGTTTAGTTTCAGACTTCACGGACTAAACTTCTTGCGCACGGACATTTCCCTAAAGGATTGCCCGATGCTTCCGTTTTTGGAGTCCATGTTGACATGGCTTACATAAAAGCCACGTTGGACGAAAAATTTTCACCTCTCTCCTCAGTTCACATATCTAGAACTGAGGTGAGATAGTCACAATGTAACAATAACTGATCATTAGTAAACATGCTACCAGCGCTTACACGACGCTAGTTATTCCCCCTAGTTACCAGTGAGGTCGGCAACCTTCGCCCCCACGCTTTGTGGCTGTGCTAGCTGTGTCCCAATCTTGGTGGTACACACACGCCGATCGGGGAAAAGAGGTGTGCCATTATTTACTAAAACCTAATCGGATTTAATACGAATCAGATTTTAAAAAGGGTTTCAGACTTTCTCCTCTTTGTCCTACAATGTTCACTCTGCAGCCATGCCTCCCTCGCCAATTGTAAAAATTAAGAGGCCCTAAGAAATTCATCTCTGACATCCCTCACGTGCCAGCCATTCCAATAACCCCAACGACATCTCGGATCTTTGCAATCTCGTGAGGTGTCAGCGATCCTTTGCTGGCAAGGAAGAACATCTCGAACGCTGCACTCGAATTTCGTTCCTCTCCACCGAACTCCTTATCGAGGAACTCCTTCAAATGGACCCAAAAAGTCACAGATGAAATAATCTCGTCGTAGCTTTCTGTGGCGGACATCGGGCGAGGGCTGGAAGGACGTGGAGGAATATCCGTGTTGATGAGGTCGAGCGGAACACCGAGTTTGCCGCCGCTCAAAGGCGAGCCGGCACGCGTTGGAGAAGGTGGCTGGCTGAGCGTTAGAGCTGGTACTGGGAATTGATCGGCTGCTCCAGACATTGAACGGGTATGAGGTAAACGGGTTGACTGAGGCGCATGAAGCTGGGGTAGATTGGTGTCCAATCTCGCTGGGAGTGCTCGTTCTTCTGTATTCTGTGTTGAGCCAGATCTCACCATCAAATTCAACACAACTCTATCCTCAATCCCATCGTATTCTTGAAGAAGCTTATTGTCGGCTAACACTTTTCCCTTTAGCAGTAAACGTTGAGCATCGGCAGGAGGTGAAGTGGATTCGGTATTAGCCAGTTTCTCCTTGATCGCGGAGATCGTGTCGGTTGGATGAACGCTAAGCGTAAACGATCTAGGCGGCTTGGAGGAACGGATAATAATATTGATGGGTGCTGTAAGGATGCGATTCATTCGCGAAATAAAATGAAATTTCATTTTCCTCTGTATTGGAGCCTCGCTATCGATAACACTTACGTTGAACCTCAGGTACGCCCTCCTGGGCTCCAGAGGAAGTAACAGGTGGTGGTGGTAGGTCAATCTGAGATTATAAACGGCAAGATCGAGCCGCCACCCCAATAGCGACACATGGCAGGTCGAAGTGGCCGGAAAATGAAACAATAACCCCTCAGGTCCAATGTAAGATATGGGACAAGCGGCAGGCGGGGCTCACAGGAAAAGGCATTATTTTCCTAGGCAATTCTGCAGGATCAGGAGTGTGATCATTCGGCAATATGACAGGTATAGTCGCCAGCGTCTCCACGTGTGTTTTCATCATCGAGATCTCCTGTTCAGCCATGATGGAAATACTGTTGCTTTCGAATGAGGTATTTTCAAGAATTTCCACTCCCCACTCGTGTGTGTGCGTGTGTATATGGGTGCAAACACAGTCGCCAGGTTGCAGCTCAAAGTCTCTAATATAAAGGAGGCGTGGGACGTGGCTGTGCCTGCGCGTCACTGGTGCAACTCCATAAACATGCGACTTTTGCGCTGGGGGATGGGGCACATGAGCAGAATGCCATGGGGCTGCATACGAGTGGGAACCAACATCATGCTATTGGGTTGATATGTGTACAGGGCGAGGAACGTCAGACTGCGAAAATAGAGAATCATCGAAGTACAACGTAGAGCTCCAAGAATGTAATGAGAGAAAGCGGACGATGAGGTGACACCAAGGGACGCTGATCCTGAGGATACCTGAACCTACAAACTACTGGAACTACCGGCGTCGACCGAACTATTGGCTTCAACCGAAGTGCTGGCGTCCACCAAAGTAGCGGCATCGGACAGTGACGGCTCATAACCTTCATAACGGTTATTGCGTTGTTCAGTCACTCTACTTGCAAAATAAGCAGTGCTTGGGCTGGAGTTTGGCAATTGATAAGGGGGAGGGCCTTGAAAGGTACCGTAAATCACCGGAGCACCATGCTGGGCTGGGTATGGGATGAGAAAATAGGCAGGGTAGGGGGTGTGGACTTCGCGCTCATCGGCTGGCAAGAGTTGCGGCAGGTAGGGTTGGGGTGGTACCCATGAAAGCGGTGACGTTTCATTTATCAGGGCATTTGGAGGATTAGGGGCTCCTGCTGGGTACCCATAATTGGATGGACTTGGGTCACCAGTGCCAGGCCTTTTAGGGGAGACTTGTGACGGAACAGGCTGGTAATGACTACGCCGTACGCCGCCCCTGGAGAGAACCAACTTCATGATTGATCGAACTACCAAAACCACGAGAGCGATCAATACGATAATGTAAAGAAATTCATCTAATAGTCCCCTCAGGTCATCAAAGACACTTCATGCATAAACCCTGATTAGCATCTATGGAGAAACGGTCCGAGCGGGAAGAACCTACGGGGGTTTGGGAGGCAATGTGACTGATGTGTACGCCACATAATCGATCGTCATCGCACGCACTCGCCCACCCTTAGGAGGATTCCTCTCAATCATCCGGAGAGATACATGGTGCGGTATATTCCATTGAAGACCTCCTGCATACCAAAGGAGTACAGAACGTTCATCAGGATGCGGCGAAAGGACGGAGTTTATGTTGAGTGACGTGTTTGAGGATCTCACAGCCTCGCTCGCTGCCAAGTCAGCATCATGATCTTGAAGATGACCGGAAATACGCGGATTGAGGTATGCTTCGTGGACATCAAGAAACTCGCACGCTCCGTCAATGCATATCTCTTGAGCGGCATGTGGGAGAGTAATGTGGGACGGAGGCACTCCAAATACATAAACGACTGAACCTGATAGCGGAATGTTGTAAGAACTGAGTTCGACAAAGTCTGCCCAACCAACCTTTGAACCAGAAGGATGCTTCAGGGACGTCTGCCGCCGACGGAGACGCGGATACAGTTCGAACTTGGGAAAATGATTCTTGGACAACTCGACGATTGTACCCGTTGGCGTCTTCCGCTAGAACGCCGAATGAAATAGTCTCCCACCTCTTAGTGCATGACGAAAAGAAAAACCAATACCGGACGCAGTGCTCGGGTGGTGTAAGGTGGATGTCACTGTCGGTATTTTCGATAGTTCTATTTATCAAAATTGCTTGCTTCGGAATTTCGTGATGTCTACGGTGTCGGTTTAGTAAAGTGCATTGAGCATAGGTTGTTCACCTACTTTTCTTCTTGCCTAACGGAGTCATAGACGATTTCCTGGAGGCTCATAATACGATCATTCCTACCCTTAGGTTCGATGAGCCTGAGAGCGAAAGAATGGGTTCGACGGTGATCGAGATTTTCAATAAACCATATAAGTGCGGGACTCTCGTCAGGGACATCAAAGTATGCACTCTCAATGTCGATCGGCTGACAGAGAAATTCGCTCATGCAAATCTCCTGCCGAGCGAAGCCGAAAGGATACAACTGTTTTCTAGGAGCTCCCCAAACATACACAGCTCTCGCTAGGGCGCCGGAATCTCTACATCAGATCGCGAATGGCGGCAAAAAAAAATGCATTTATTGGATCTAGCCTACCTCGAACGGAAAAACGGACTTCTCGGGCTTCACTTGCCTCGCTACCCAAACCGTTTCTCACGGAATGAAACGAGTGTCGTCGACCATCTCTCCCGAGGTAGTCGTTGAGTAACCATGGCTCAAACTTGGGTGTGCATCGCCAGAATATTCTTCTGTAGCAACTGATAGGCGGCAAATAAGAGATGGAAGAGTGCGTGGAGTGGAGGGTGATGTTGGAACCTTCCACTGGCGGTACTCTACCGACGTTACTGTACTGCTCTGTGTGAGTCGCCATGGTCGTAAGATTCAACTCCGGCATGATGGTCAAGAACACGGATAACTCCAGCTTCTATGTTATAGAACAGGTTGAGATGCCTATGGAGGAGCCTTCAGGAGATTAGGCAGCACATATGACATTTATATGCAGAATGGCGCTCATTGGTACTTGAATCAAAGCACTGGCGAAGAAACTGACTCCGAACCACATGTGACGCTGACATGGCAAATGCCTCGCAAGCTCGCTCGTGTTTATCTACTGTGCCATCACCGCGTGTTGGTTCGGGGTGTGGGTCTTGAATGCGCGCACGTGTGCAGCTCCACTTCTCAAGGTGCTTTCGTGCATGCATTCTCGCTTCTTACCCAACTAAATACGCCGCGATAGCGCCCACAACGCAATAGGCCAGGACTCTTGCCTCTATGACTTCGAAATAATATATAACAACGCAATGCAGTTTGACCGGTCAATGGCAGTTCGCATCATACTTCTTCCAGAATGGTACACTGCCTGCGGTCCAACAGCAGTGGAGAGCTAGGATCGCTTTTCAAGGAGCTTCTATGCATTGTTGCTGCCCTGGATTATTAACTGAATACCGTTGTGGTAGCATCCAGAGCACAATATAGTTGGCCCCTACTTATCAGAGCCGCGGGGTCAATGGTCAACCCCTCTTGTCCTTCTCTCAGAATGCGATGTGCTCTGGTATTTTACTCCCTCTTCCACGTCGCACTTTTCTGGGCACTAGTCGATGCAAAATCTACAAGAAACGTTCTTTTTGCAACGCATCCCTCCCTCACGTATTTTCCGCAAACATCGCGCATGGGTCCACAGGGTCAGCCATTCAACCCGTGGGGCTTGAAGAGCTATGAAGACGATACTGGCCGAAAGCATTCCTTCCGGTTCACTAGAAATGGCCGCCCAAACACTCGGGAGGCAAGTGCGAGGGAGGTTCATTTCTCCGTGAAAGGTGCGAGGAGGCATCCATAAAAAACACCTTCCTCAGCTCACTTCTGAACCCGCAAGCTTCTGCCGTGTACCTCTACGGTGCGCCAAAGCGGCATTTAGATAAACCTCTCATCGCACAGCAGGAGGTGTGCGTCGGTGGAACTCAATGCGGGAAAATCGAAGCGGAGCGGGCGTATTCGAATGCTGAGCAAGGCGAGACCGTACTGATCTGGTCCATGGAGGGCCTCGATCCTAGGATCACTCATTTCTTCATCTTGAGGCTTATTGAGGCAAGGGGTATAGATGACAGAACTATGAGCTTACATAGAATCGAATACGAGGCAGAACCCGTACAAAAAACGTAAGATGGGATTACTAGTCTTTCCTCCATTCCCTACTTACCATCGCTAGTGTGTATCCCCTTCCGCAAGGAGTTACGGTTTTGAATAAGACCATCAAAGATACGGATCATGCTATCGAGTATCTTCCTCGACACTGCGATTATTTTGGTAACTGCAAAACCCCTTGGGAGTCAAGGAGCTTCAATGTGATCACTTGGGACAGGGATGGTAGAAATAAGAAAGTCGTAGAGGAGACTTTTGCGCTTGTCAAGACAGCATTTGCGCCCTGGCATTCTAATGACGTTCCTCGTGCGGTCTTTAGGTTTACAGGTGAGCCTCTCTCCTCATTTCCCTGGCTCCGTGCTAACTTTTCTCTTAATCCGAGGCTCTGCGGTATGCTTGTATGGAGCTCCCATCTCCCAGATCGATCAAGAGATTCCCCACGCAGCCGAGGAGATATGCCTCGATGGCGAATGCGAATACTTTGACTTACACCAGTCATATTTGAATCCGAGAATAGCAGGCTTCCTGGAGGAACAGGGAGGGAAAAAGCGTCCTGCTATATCCAATCAAATCGACTCTCAGCCTGAGTTTGGGTCCATCAAATCACAACTTGTTGGAGCGACCTCGGTCCGATCCCCCAATGTTGCTGACCGTTCGGTATTCCTCTGGTCGAAGGAGGGCCTAAGGTACGATGAAGAGCACGAGCTCATCGTGCGAATGATCGACAGGAATCCGAGCGGGGGCGGCAAGATTTCTGCCATTACAATCGACTTCATGACATACACAACCGTTGAGGACCTCTCGTCGCCCTCGCCATCTCACTCTTCCTTACCGTCAACAGTGCATCCGTCACCCGAGTCCTCCGAAACGGTGCCTATCCCCCAACCGTCGTAAGTTCATGCTTGCGAGATGTGACCAAAGGTCTGACATGTTCCGATCGTTAGCAACATCGACACAAACCCCCATCCCAATCCACCAAGTTCTTCTGGTCCTGATAGTGTCTACAAGACTCTATTCTTCATTATGCTTTCCATTTTCATGGCCGCCGTCGGCGCTCTTGGGTACTGGTTCTACCATATGAGACGCGATCATCAGGACACCTTCTCCAGTCTTTTTGTCCCATCGCAACCTCAATCCCCACCACCTTCGGGCGGGCATTCGGAGCGTACACAACTGCTTGGACCCGGCTCGCACCCTGGATATGCGCCACCTCTGCCGTATTATGGCAATGCACTTGTCCCCGCTACTGATGGGCGAGCCATTTACTATGGTTCATCAAATGCGTCCAATCATGAGACAAATCGTCAATTGCCAGTGCACTCCGTTATACCCCAGCAGCCATACCACTTGCCCTACATTCCTGGAATGCACCAACAACCGTATTATGTAGTTTTCGCGCCCCCTCATTCCGGACATGCCGCCTTTCCGGGACCTAGTCGTCCTTTGAGTACTGGCGTGGTAGACGAGGAAGAACCCATGAAACCTTGGGAATCTGATTAAGCTAATTCGAAGGAGAGACTGGTTACCAGCCCGCTCCACTCGTCGGAGTTTCCCAAGGCATCATCTGCGTTTCAGACACTAAATAACAGATCCGGAAATCATGACCCTCGAGCTGCTGGATAGATGAATCCTCATCCCTAGCAATAGATAGCCAGACATCTCCAAGTCATCTTCCTCTCTAGCACTGATGTTTGTTTTTCAAATTTGTACCACACAATCCATGTTTTCTTGTACACTAGTTTCTTCACACTGCGTACATGTCAATTCACGATTTTCTGCAGCGACTACGAGTCTGTGCGACATATGCGGACTTGACTCGTTGCAAGCAGTCCCAACCCCAACTACACCCTTCACCATGTATGCCTGGGTGTTCAGAGCCGGCACAATTATATCCCGTCCTCGGCAGAAATGCATGCGTACAGTTTTTGATGAGGAGCATTTTCGTATCAATTATAGTCCTGACCATGAATGTGGATGTATGACATCTTAAGAGCGTTCACGCAGACCGAACGACGCTACCGGTGAAGGCGAGACTCCACCTGGGATGATTCAGCCCCGGCATCATGGCCATGCCGTTGGGAATCTGTATGACTTGGAGGGATCGGTAACACTTTCCCTGCAGTTGGAAACTTGAAGGCGAGTTGGGGCTCCCCCTCAGGTTGGTTGCTCCGTGCTCCTCTATTCAAAAACTAAATATTGTTAGCTGCTTTAGCCTCGAGTATTGCAAAAGGCCACCCCAACCTTTAAACTGGAAACTATAAGGACCGTCAGAAGAAATACACTCCAAAAAGTGCTCCGACCCCTGGATCATGATTTGAGAAGGAAACATTGTGAAACAAAGGATTACGCTCACGGCACATTATCAGCGACATGCGGTGTGTAGATGATATGGTCTAGATTCATGCCTTTTTCCACAACCAACTCCGGGTTTGGTTTCACCGCTTTGTATACAAGTGCGTGTTTCTTGGTCGGTTTGAGACCTTCCGCGAACCACAATAGAACGGACCTATCTTCAGGATCTAATGGAGTTAGAGCCACGGAAGGGTTTTGCGATGCGGAGACTCTCCAGCTTGAGTTGCTTTCCAACCTGGTCATATCTAAGTTGAGATATGTTTGGTAGGCATCTAGTGATTCGCAAGAGCCATCCAAGCAGATTTCCTGATCGACATGAGGGAATGTGATACGGGATCGCGGCGCTCCGTAAAGGTAAACGGCAGACCCTAAGCCAATGTCAACATTGATGCTGAGACATCCAAATCGCGAAAGGTTGGCTGCACACCTTTAAAGGCGAAAGACGCCCGGACAATCCGCTTCCGGGATCTCGAACCAGTGGTGGTGAGGCCTTGCATGAAGGCAAACTCCTGAGTCCGAAGATGCTTTCCCCCTTGACCCACCAGTGTCATGGACTTTACGAGTTTCCAGGGGATGTGTCTCTTTCGGCACCCAAAGAACCATCCACGGTTTAGGCACTTCTTAGAGGGTCGGTATCGAATGGATGGGTGATCCGCCCTAATTGCCAAACTTGGGCTCTGAATGGAAGTGAACGCATGCGGCCTAAAAACCGCACCGCAGCATGAGTTGACTCGAAACTCCCGCACAGTGGAGGCGCACTCACTTGATGCTCTCCTGAGGCACAGTATACTCAATTCTACTGAGAGACATTACGACGCGGTCCTCGGCTTTGGAGTCATCAACCATGCGAAGCACAACATGATGGTAAATAGAAGTGTCCAGGTTATCCATAGACCATAATAGAGGAGTAGATTGCTTTTCTACATTCTTATAGATGGCGCTAATATCTATTTTCGAGCAAATTAGATTTTCATAACAAATTTCTTGCGGCGCTAATGGGTAGCCTCCAAGTTGATCCAATGGAGCGCCATAAACCCACACAGCGCTACCTGACAGTTTGAGACATGGGCTGGGCTCAACTTTTCTTGCACAATGAACGCATTCAATTCCGGCGAACCTTTGAAATGGAAGCGTATTTCTCTCGCCTCCGAGCCTGTGTCGCTGCTCCGATGGATATAATAATGGAACGATGAGTTACGAGTCCCGGGCTTGTTCGGATAGCTCCCAATCTTCCATGGCTCTCTCTCTATCGGGGACCGCCTGAACGACCCAGAAGTTTTGGAAATTGCTGGTAAGTATGAGATAGATGGATCCGTGTCAAGAACTGTGACATTGACAGTCGTCCTACGGGCGTCAATGCGCACGGCCCACAACGCTAGGAAGAGCCCAAATGAGACAATCGATGTAAAAGTCATTTGCCAGATGAACTGACGCGGAGGGAGCGTTGAGGCGGTGTAAGTCTCAACAGCCCTAAATTGGGCCCAAATCGCTTAGGTAAGTCTGATTACGAGTATTCAATTTTGCATGCTCACAAACCGGCTCCTCCGCTCCTCTGCTTGGGTGCCCTTGTCCCTGAACAGACACTGTGTTCTCTACAGCTATCGAAAGTTGCAGCTTCGCGCGTCTGCTATATCAACAATGCCGTCAAATGATCAGACATCGGATATAACGAGATGGGCCTCTGAGGACGGACATTTCAGGCGACAGGCATCTGTGTTTCGCGATACAATTGAGCCTAACGGTGCCTTTCCCCCAGAAGCTGGAAGATACCACTTATATGTACGCATCACCTGCTGATCGAGTATAAGATGTTTATTCACTGCTGGACAGGTCTCTTTTGCCTGTCCCTGGGCTCAACGCACTTTAATCGTGCGAAAGCTAAAAGGACTTGAAGATGCCATTGGTCAGACAGTCACTCCTGCTTCCAAACGTCATTGAATCGTGAAACATATCCTTAAGGTGTCACTATCGTCTCGCCACTCTTGGGTGAAAATGGATGGCCGTTCGCCAATGCGGCAGCGTTCCCCCAGGCGGAGGAAGATTCCTTGCACCCAGAATTCAAGCATCTCAAAGAGCTATACTTCCAAGTCAACCCGGAATATAAAGGACGGTTTGTGGATGATCTCTTTCATCCCCGATCTCAAGCCAGAATCCCTACAGATTCACAGTGCCGGTACTGTGGGATAAGAAAAATGAAACGATCGTCAATAATGAAAGTTCTGAGATAATCCGCATCCTGAATACTTCCTTCGATCAATTCTCAGCAAGCGAAGTCCAAAGGAAGCTCGATCTCTATCCCGAGCCGTTGCGTGGAGAGATTGACGCTACCAATAGCTGGGTATACGATACAGTCAACAGTGCGTCACCTCATTACCTCGTCTTGAGAATTTAGCCCGGACGAGGACTCTCCTGTCTCAGATGGTGTGTACAAGGCGGGTTTTGCAACTATCCAAAATGCGTACGATGTCGCAGTTAAGCGCCTCTTCGAGTCTCTTGACCGACTGGAGAAGATATTTTCCGGCGACAAGAATTACCTTGTTGGGGATCAACTTACAGAGGCTGATGTCCGACTGTACACTACGATCGTGCGCTTCGATCCCGTTTACCACGGGCATTTCAAATGTAATTTAGGGAGTATCAGAGTACGTCCATGTTCATTGAATCCTTCAAGATATAGATGTATTCCTGACTGTTGTGGAATAAGCACGACTACCCGAATATCAATCGATGGGTCAAAAACCTGTACTGGAATAATGCGGCTTTCAAGGATACGACGAACTTTAGTCATATCAAAACCCATTATTACTGGTCTCATCCCCAGGTATGCGGTGCTGCATACGGACCCGGTGCACTATTATATGAAACTCTGACCAATGTTCGGATGTCCTAATTGTGACAGATCAATCCGACCCGCATCGTTCCGCTTGGCCCGAAGGTTGACATTGAGCCTCTGTAGGAATACCTTTTCTGTCATGTATATATATGGTCCAAATCTGAGCCAATACACTTGTACGCTCTCAGTGGCAGTGCTCTGCCTTCCGGTTTGGTCCGTCGGATCACCTCTGATCATCTCCTGATCATCTCAACTTAGAGCCCTTCAGACTGCGCGAGAAACGCTTCGCCTCCAGGATTTCATAGACTAGAAACACTGGGATAAAATGGCAGCAGATGACAACCATCCTGAGAGTACTCTCCCTTACCCACCTATATACAAGGATGCGCCAGTCGTGGTGTTGTCTGACTGGTACGGAACGATGAACATACAGCGGAGAGCGCTCCTGAATGGTTCATCGGATTAGGGACGGTACAATCACCAATCGCGATTCGAACGACTGTTTGTGCACACGTCTTTAGACCATCGCTTGCTCTCGCTGAATCGCCTTCCGTCAATCCCTGGCAGACTTGACGGATAATCACGGATTTGGCGAGAAACTAAGGTGATGATTAGCCTTGATGTACAAGAGTGCCACGTTGACCTAGCCTGTTCAGGCGAGAGGGGAATCTTGATATTCTGGAAGGTCGTTCCACTTTTAGGGATGCATTCAAGGAGATGCTGGATAGCGTCAAGACTCCTTTTGAGGAATGCAAAGAGATTCTCAAGAAAAGTCCGTTGTTGTTACCATGGCGAAGCAACTGACCAATCCAACTGGCTCCGATTTTTTCTCAAGATATTATCTTGGACCCTGGATTCAAACAATTTTTCGAATGGTGCAAGTCCAACAACGTCCCCATCATTATTGTTTCGAGGTACATAGGAGAAAGGATTTGGATGAATTAACGACCAGACTTCTGACAGTACTTTTATCAGTGGGATGGCGCCTTTGATTCGTGCAGTACTTTCCAACCTCATAGGCGAAGAGGACGCACAGACGATAGATATTATTTCAAACGATGTTGAAGTGCGGCCTGATGGACAATGGAGCATAAAGTTCCGGCATCCTACCAGGTATTCGGAATTTGGCACGGTTGCTTCCCCTGAGATCGCTGATGGGATTTATGGGATAGTGGTTACGGGCACGACAAGTCGCAGGCGATCTTGCCATACAAGGAACTTTCGCATCGGCCCATCCTGTTCTTTTTTGGTGATGGTGTCTCTGGTTCGCATCATCAAATTAATTATTTACATATGCAGTTCTGATGGATTCATACATTTCATTAACGTAGACCTATCTGCTGCGAGGCACGCGGATGTCTTGTTCGTGAAAAACGATAAGCCCGAAGGTCAGAATGATCTTGCGGTTTACGTGAAGCGGGAAGGGATACCCCATATTCTGTTCACTGATTTTACAAAAGCTCTGCCCGTTGTGCAGAGTATCGTCAAGAAAGAGAAAACAGTGGACGAGGTCCTTCAATATTAACGATATGTAAGAATGGGAATGGCAGTCGTCATTAGACCCTTAAGCATCTTCTAAGGGATTGGCTTCATTTGTGTGAACATAGTTGCCATTTTTGCAGGGGCGCTTATCACTGAACTGGATTCCCCGAACATTAAATGAATTCCAAAACTAGCTAGTCGGATACAGATTCACCGAATGCGCTTGTTTTGTATATCTCATTTCTTTTCAACATTTTCGTTTCCTCCTGACCCTCGCCTCTCCTTTCGTAGCGGTAAGAACATTCAGGAGTTTTATTTTGTGAACCCGGCGAGCTGCTCACATTTTTTTTTTGATGGATCTGTTAAGGTGGCTGAATGCCTGATCTGTTGTAGCGCCGCCATCATTTTCTCAGCTTCGTCTACTAGACCTTAACTCTCTCAGGTGGGGAGTTGGTGAATGGCTGCAGTTTCCTCAGAGTCGAAACGTACTCGGTTTGCTGGTTTCATCCGGTCCTTTCGCACTTCTAGTCAAGAAGAAAGCTGGTACATCCCATATAACGGTCCTATCGAGGAGCCCAAGTCGTACAACTTCACCAATCATGACCCGTTTGAGCGAGGACGGTCTACGCTCGCGCGGCCCTTGACCCACCATGGGACGCATGACGCACGCTCTTCGCTCTCCGAGTTTGACGGGCAATCTCGCATCTCTCATTCTAGTCATATATCGCGTCCATCTGCGCGAACAGCGGATGTTGGCAGTGTTGGGAACAGTCCTGTAGCGGTGGTCACTGACAGTGACCGCAAAAAAGGTCGCCGTAGGTCCTCAGTTCCTTCTAGGGAGCTCCCTCCTACCCAATGGACTTCCTTTCGTCACCCTTTCAACCCTCAACATACTGGTGTGCTCTCCTTTCCATCGGCCCCAGCTCCCATCCCTCCTCCGAATGCCTCACGGGCTACCCAGCCATTGCATAATGCGAATTTCCAATTTGACCGACCTCATCCGTACTCAGCTGGTGCTCTGAACCGGACTGCTCTTCCCGCCCCCGTAACAGATAAAAAGCCAACCGGCAGGTCGCGGGCGTTCACCACCGGGCATACTCCATTTCAGCCATATAAATCATCGCCTTTAGATTTCCAGAGAGCCTCCGACGCACTCAAATCCCCGCCCCGCCTCCGCCCTGAAATTCGGTTTGAAGGGGCTCGGAAGGAGCAATCCACCCGACAACAGTTTCAACCTGTGGTGTTGCCATCAGCACCGACTTCAGCGGAGACGGTTGATCCTTCCTTCTCTTTGCATCACCATCCTTTTGCCACAGCTCGATCAGTTCAAACCAAGCCTCCAGTCCCTTCGAAGTCTCGTTATGTCTTGAATCGTCTCCGATCGTCGACCTCTGCGCCTAATCTGTCGGAAAAGGCGTCGCGTACAGGTGGTGCCGCGCGACGACCGGTTCCAGAGCCAATTGTCAAGCTCGTCAGAACGGTCCATGAATTGCCCCTTGCGTTGGCACCCGAGTCAACGCTGCAGGCCGTAGCGCACCCACGGCCGAAATTCACGGCAAAGCATGTTTTTCCAGACGATCTTCCCGCATCACCATACTCGCTTGCACCTCCACATTCGCTATCTCGACGCGAGTCCGAACCTAATTTACTCTCGAGGTGCTTGCCTACCCCAACCAAGAAGTTGATAAAGAAGCGTGTTCCACCTCGTTCTGCCCCGGTCGAATCGCATAAGGATCCTTTGGTGCGGGTCGTTCGTGAGAATGAGCAGTTGTCAGCAGAACGTGCGGAATGGGCACATTATGCTGAACGCGGATTCGGGAACAAGCGAAGCCGTTCCCTGAGCATGCACCGAACCGGGAGCACCATCCGATCCTCGAACGCGGTACACGCTACTCCGCGACGCACTAACGCTCAAGAAAGCTCGGCGAACGTCGCCAGCGGTACCACGGAAGCAGGTACTGTCACTACGTCCTCCAAGTCAACCTCTCAGCATGGGAGTTTTAAATATCTTGCAGCCGCCGCCTTTGGGCATGCGCATTCGCCTAGGGTGTCAATTGACGGATCAGCCGTTACGTCGCTGAGCCGGCATTCCAGTGAGAATAAGGGGATCCGGCCCCGATCTCGACTTGACAGTGCCAAAAGTGCGGTCCGGTCAAATTTGGATACATTAGGGCACTCGCGGAAGAATAGTAACCAGGCAGTCATCGAGGCAATTTCTGGTGTATCGCTGAGTGCAAGCGCTGACGGTCAAACCTTCTGGTCGGAGCCCACATTCGCTGAAATAGTTGATATACGCCGTCACACTGGTGCCTTTGGGCCTCCCGAAGAATCCATTGGTGTTGCTCTTTCTACACCGCCTGTGACGCCAGAAGGGGCGCGAAGTTCCTCCCCGTCTCTCCCTAATACCTCATCTTCGATTATCAGGGCTGGGCCGCATCCATCCTCTCCGGTCTTGGCGGGGAGGTTTCCGGGTCATTCTGATATAGCAAGCAGACATAGGTTACCTCCGCAAGTTCATGCTCACAAGCGATCAATTAGTACGGGGAAAGCATCATTTCCATTTCCGGTCTCTCCAAAGTCGGAAGCTCCCTCAATGTTGGATTCGACCCCAACCAGTATGTCATCGCATCCTTTCGCGGGTTCCAACTCGGAGACAGGAGATAGACCATCTTCGCATCTTGTGCAAGAGTCATTTGAGAGGGAAATGATGGAAGCCAATCGATCTCCCTGGGTCGAACGGACCGCTGACGTTGGGGCAGAGCTGCAGCAACTTTCGTCGCAACTTCTCAAAGATGGCAAGGCAGATTTCCCACCAACCATAGCACCTCCTACTCAAGAAACTTCGCATCTAGGACCACGGCACCCTACCGCCGGACCCAGTTCGTCAATACCTTCACGCCATCTTGGACAGCGACAATTTGCAAGGGAAGGGGGTGCTCGTCGCTCTATTTCCGTCCAAGAGATCCTCTCGCCACTCGAAAGGACAATCAGACACGAGCGGTCAAGGTCGCTGAGTGTCAGTACACCTCCTATGGGTGGTCATTCCGACATCGAAAGCTCTTTCGGATCCGCACTGCCGGAGCTTATCATAGGGGGAACGGATGATCTCGAAGAGTTTCGGGATTTGTTCTATCGACCTGACTCCGAGGTTCATCCTTCACCGAATGCGTTAAGCCACCGTCCCGATAGTCCTATTCACTTGGATGTTACGACAGAATGGATTCAAGCCTCTTTCAAAGCTGAATCGGGGGAAGGTGACGACCAGACGAATCGGGACCATCATTCCGTGCTAGACCACCAAGAAAAAGTGTCCGACAGTGGTAAGTCACCAAAAAAAAAGAGGGAATTCATGTAATTGATCGATTGAACGTTCTAAGGATCTATGTACATGGGTGAAGTAGGCACATCACTTCCAAACATTCAAGATTCCATACAAAGACACTCTAGCACCCCCGTTATTGAACAGCCCAAAAGCTTTCCAGAGCTTGTTTTCACAAGTAATAATGACCAGGACGATCAACTCGAGCCCACAAATATTCCTGTGTCTATTTTCCGGCCAGATAGTCTCTCCCTTCCTCCCTTAGCTGGCTATGTATCTTCTGGATCAGATGACGGAGGACTTGAATTCCATCCACGAGAGCGTGTCTCTCACATAATACGGGATTTCCCCACCCCTCCTGATGTCACCCCAGTAGCCGCTACTATTCTTTCCTCGTATTTCGCTGAGCCGTTATCAGGGGCCCCCTCTTCGCCTGCACATTCTTCCCATCCTGACCTTAAACATTATGATATTTCATAACTTTTTCACGTTCTTTGATGTCTTGCTTGCTTTGCTTGAAATTTTGTAGCTTTGTCACTTTTTTTTTCTGGGCTCCCTGCAATTTTTTCGTATTTTTGTTTGGTCTATAAAAGTTCACTATTTCCTCCGGCATTCCGCCCGTTAGTTGCTTCACTTTGCTTTCGAAGATTTTGCGTTTTGATGGTAGATTCAATTGTTTCATTAAAGTACCTTACTCTACATATCTCTTAAATTTAGATCGTGACATTACAACAGTCTCACATAACGAGTACAAAAGTAATGAGTCTGGGCTCACAGTTTACTCAGCATAAACGGTGAGCTGTGTGGAGCAAGTCAGTCAGGTGAATTTGATCAGAAATATACGCCACTCACGTCGAGAGTCATGGTTTTGGAGCTATTCAGATCCTGGTCGCGATATATGCCAACTAACGAGTTGCCCCGCTCGTATAGCGAGCCTTTCAAGCTGATCACTATGAATTGAAAAGTTTCTGAGGCTTGTGAACGTATGTAATTGGCGATCTTTGCGACATTTGTGTTATCCAGAGCAGCGTCAACCTCGTCCAGAACGAAGAATGGCGAGGGTTGGTAACTGGAAGAAAGGCGTTGGCCATTTTTAGGCACGAAAAGAAATCACTGAGATGTGCTTGCCTGTGGATCGCGAACAGCAGCGCTAGAGCTGCTACTGTTTTTTCTCCGCCAGATAACTGATCCATATCCCTAAACCGTTTCATTGGGGGCATAGCAGTATATTTGACACCGCCAGGTATGGTTCCTAGCAGGGGACATTGAACATGGGCAGACGTCGACGTAGTCCCACTTACCTCTGTATCCTCCAAGTTCAAGTATGCTACACCACCGAGTGGAGCTGCTTTTCCCTTTGTGAGATCTTTGTAAACCTTGTCAATGCCATCTGAAATATGCGAGTACGCTCTGTTGAAGAGGTCGGTGCTGACGGCCACTGTTTAGTACAACGACCGTGGCATGAAACTATGACGAGGCCTCACCGCTTTTTCCTAATTGCATTGAACTCGTCCCGAGCTGTTTTGACTTCTTTGCGAGCTTTCTCTGTTTCCTTGTCAGTGTCGATAAGCTTTGCTTCTACGTCATCCAACCTTTAGACAGGGCCCGGCACGTCAGTCGCGGGTCCGGACCGGGAATGTGGTAACTCACCGAGCCATAGCCTTCATATTGGGAGTCATCTGCTCGATTTCGGAGATGATTTTGCTTATGTCTGCATCCAACTCCGCTCCGTGACTAGCGGACCCATCCTATTCGAATAATGCACCAGATCCTTGAATTCCGGGCTAACTCGACACACCTCTTTGTCAGATTCATCCAGTGATCCAAAGTCAACCTCAATCCCGTAGTCTTGCACCTGGCGCGGCCGCAAACCATCGTCATCCACTTCCATAGCCGCATCATCCACATCCTTGCAAGAACCATAGTATCAGATTTGACGGTGAGATCCCACACAAGACGTACTTCTTCCAACGGAACATCATCGAGACTGCTGCCCTCTTCGAGAGGTAAAGCGATCTCTTCCAGCCGACATTTGCGATAGATCTGGAATCTTTCTGACGCCAAGCTTTCAATCTCATCGTTCTATACAAACTGCATCTATATTCGCGAATGTAGTGTGCGATTTTGCTCACCATGGAAGAAATCTCTTTCAGGCATTATCAAGTCCTTTGCTGGCTTTGCCTGCAACCTTCTTCACCTCCTCGAGAGCTTTGGTTCTTTGTTCAAATTCGCCCGATAAGTTTTTCAAAGTGGACTTGTGATCCCCGATTTCAGATTTTAAAGACTCGATCTCTTGCTCTACCGCAGATTTTTTCTCAACCAGTTTCTGTAGCACATCTTGATCGCTCTCGACGATCTTCTGAAGCGCCGTTAATCTGTCCCTGGTTGCCTGAAGTTGTGCTTCGTCAAAGGAAACTCTTCCTAGGCATCAATATAAGACAAACTGGGGGAAGAAAGTTTGACCCAACTGATGAGTTAATCTTTTTATTTGCGTACTGAAGCGCATGCGGATGTCGCCTCCTTCTTGCATAGCTCTAAGCTGTCGCTCCTCGTATTCGCGGATGGTTTTCACTTTAATAGTACGACAAAATGAAGCAAAGATTTTGTCATCTGCAGCATCAATGACTTGCTGAAACGATGCCATCTTGGTTCGTAATTCTGCCAAGGCAGAAGTTATCTAAACCGTCCTTCAGTCCGCTGTGTTAAATTTGGGAATAAGATGTACACACAGCCTCGTGTTCTGGATTCGACGACGCCAGCTCTTTCTCGATGTGTCTAAGCTCACTTTGTAGCCCAGTCAGGCGTGTTTTGTTCGCGTTCTGTGGGGATTCAGCTCAGACAACTTTCCTAAGAAGAGGATTCATTACATGGTCGTCTCGAGCTATTGCTAAGGTTGATTCCAGGCGTGACAGCTCTCTTGTAAGGTTCTCCTCAACCTGGCCACGGGGTTTCGCCTTCTGGAGTTCCCTTAATTGTGAGAGGTAGGTTTCTTGGGCTCGGCGGACCCCTGGAAAAGCTTGAGTAACTTGAACGGAGAAACAAGGACTCCGCACACCTTGGATTTCATTTTCTTCCCATTTCTTCCCGCTCCCATGAGTACTCTTGCCTCCAGTAATAAGGCCGCTCTTGTGAATGATGGTACCATCCAGTGTAACAGCTAAATGGATCTGGTTAATTCATTGATAAGGCATCATGGCACCGAGGTACCTTTCACTTCTTGGCCTTTCTCATAAACAACATAACGCGCTACGTCCATGGTATCACAGACCAACGCATTGCCGCATGCATGGTGCATAGCACGCTCGACCGACGCATCGAACTGAATCACATCCACTGCAAGGCGCGCACCTTTCGCAATGCTTCGAAATTTGTCGTTGACGGGCTTGATTTGAATAGTGTCCAACGGGATGAAGGTGGCTATTCCCGCTCTCTGATTACGCATGTACTGGGGATAATACTCTTTAGTTCGTGCTCCAGCTAGAGGAGCCAATGACTTCAATAGTCTAGTTCTTACCTCGATACAATCTATTGCTGTTTTTTCGTGATCCACGACAATGGCGTCTATATTTCGACCCAAAATAACAGACACGGCAATCTCGTACTTGCGCGAAGTTGGTTTACAAAGGTCCACGACTCGACCTCGGACTCCTGAACATTGAAGCATCATCATCAATTGTGTTCTCTTACTGTCTTAAGGGGCGCCACCGCACCTGGGAACAGCTTCTGGAGGGCAGAGAAAGTTTCCTTTAATTTTGCCTCCCGCTCGGTTTCCTTACGATCCACATCCGCTGCAAGGAGTTTCCGGTGACAATCCGCCAGCTTTTCGTTTACTTCCCTCTCGAGTTGTCTATCAACAGAGTCACCTTCATCTTGAACCTCTGATTACATCCACCACTCACGTTATTCGGCGTTTCTCCGATTCATGATTTCGAAGCTCCTGCCGAACTTGCGCCAGTTCTTGTTGCAAATTGGCGACCTTCTCCTCACTCTAGGTGCATCGCATCGTGAGCGCCTTTTCGTAAACGGTAGTCATGATCCCATTACCTCATTTTTGACGGCTTTTGTAGACTCCACGTCGAGGTTGAGTTTCTCACGTTGAGTCTTTAGTTGATCCCTTTTATACTCAAGGGTCGCCAAATTGCGAGATTGGGCCTTCTCATCTCGGGTCAATGATTCTATTTGTTGGCGTTCATTGACGGCCTCAGTTGCAGCTTTCGCCTTCCTAAAACAACGCGTTTACTCAGTGTTCCAGTAACTTTGGTTGTCAGAACCCACAGCGAGCGATACTCAGAAAGGGTCTCTTCAGAAAGGGCCAGACCCTTCTGAGTGGCTCGGCGTTGCTCCTCTATTGCGAACATGGCCCGTTCGGCTTCCACAGTCCATCAAATTGAACAGATGCACAGACCTTCCGCCTCTGTTGCCGCTTTTCTAACTGTCTCAAGGTCATCACTCAGGCGAGTGAGAGATTTCTCTTGTTCAAGTACTTCCTTCGCAACCGTGGTGGACATTTCCTTCGCCTTGGCGATCTTCCGTTGCGTGTGCGCTATTTGGGTGTCGACAGCGACGAGACCGGGGTTCTGCGAAGGCAGTAAAGCATTACAACTTCGCCGAAGTTGACCGATGGCAACGCGATTAAGACCATACCTTACCCTCAAGTAACTTTTCAGTAGTCTTGATGATCTGCTCTTGCTTCAGCACTTCATTCCGAGCGGAAGCCTGGGCACTGCGAGCTTTACCCAGCCGTGAGTTGTACTTTTCCTGGAAAGAATCTGAGGCGTGAATATTGAGAAACCCAGAAGTTCGGATGGAGACTGTGCCTGTTCTTTTTTGAGTCCGGAAATTTCCTTGCTCTTGCCTTTGATCGTTGCCGTATTTTTATTGATGTTCTCTTCAATGTGAAATAGTCTCCAAAGAAAACGATTGATGATTTGTGAGTCCTTGGAGTCAAATCAGATTCAACACATGGAAAGGGAGAACAATCAAAGGCTCACTCGTTCCTTGCATTTCCTTTCGAAGCGCTCAGCCTCAGCTTTTTGTTCCTTAAACTGCTTGATTTCACCAGCAATACCACGGCGTTTTGTGTAACTGAAAGTAGCACTCTCCGTCGCACGATCCTGGGCAGCTTTTGTTCGATCGTAATCTGCGGAGAGCTCCAGTGATCTGTATAATGTCAGAGTAAAAAAGGGTGCAAAGACTAATATGCAATCTTACCCGCTGATTTGCTCGATGAGGCGCGTCAAATCCTTGGGTGACTGAGATGCTACCGCTTCAACATCCCCCTTGAAACGTGTCAGTTGAGTGGAGCTGATGTTTACAACCGCATACCTGAAATACGAGGAAATTTTTGGCTTTCACCAGAATATTGTGTTTCTCAAGGGTTTGGTTATATGCTTGGTATGTGACGACTCTATTATTGAGACGGTATTCACTTCCCCCTGCGGTCGATATCCTACGAAAAAGATGTATAAATAAAGAGACTGGATACAACTCTATAAACACTTGCGTTCGCTGAAAGTGGTATTGGGTCCCTCCAGTTTCCTCGTAGACAGCCAGAACCCAGGCTTTGGTAGCAGAACCTTCTCCTTGATCCTCCCCGTCAGACTCAGGATCGTCGATAACCTCATCACCGCCTTCCCCTTGTCTGGCCAATCTCCTGCCACGGTAGATAAGATCCTTGAGCTGGCTGCTCCGAAGTTGTGCGCTCTTGACACCAAGCACGAAGGAGATGGCATCCATGAGGTTTGACTTTCCGGCGCCATTCGGGCCAATGACAGACGTAAAATTTTTAAAGGGTCCAATAATTTGATGGCCTCTGTAAAGCATCATACAGGCGCGTCCAACTCAGCACTTGCAAAGGAGCGCGTCGCGTAACCTACGCACCGGTATGATTTAAAGTTGCATACTTCAATTCGTATCAGCGGCATCTCGGCCTAACAAAAAGCGGCTCGCTCTCGAGCAGCCTATCGAGTTTTGAACAAAGATTATGCGTCGGGCCAACGGTGCTATTGAGGCGTCAGAATGTAGTCACGGACGCGCTTTCGGACATGGCCGCTCGATCGTCCATTTCTGCTCATAGCGCTGCCAGGCGACTGGGAACCCTCCACACGCCGAAATATGCATGCCAACTTGGCTGCTAAACTTGCGTTGTACTTCCATTCCAGATCCAAGTCACGAGCGGATCACCCAGACAGCTGTTTTGACGACCCCTTAAGAATGCACTCTGCACCCACCCAAGAGCCTGATCTTATACACATGACACTGTGTGGGCATTTGGGGGCTTAGCCCCCCGCCAGATAGATTCGACAATCTTGCTTTCATTCCCACTATCATCCTAGGCTTCAATTCAGCGAGCTCGGCTGCTCGCGTTGGGCTACTACTTTCCTGCTCGGCTCATGCATTCGATGATTCCATTGGCATCAAACACATATGACCATTCCATGCCTCGAATCCACAACCGCTGATGGACTTCAATCTCCGGCGGAGACTATGGAATCTCTAAGTGCACCACTGCTGGGGTATGACTGCAGTGCGAGCAACGATCAGCAGCAATGCTGGGAAGCTCTACTATTTCACCTGAGAGCCCTCACTCGCATACACATAGGTTTTGACATATCCATGGACCAGGCTACATGAAACTGGGTCCAGTCCAGTCCTGGTAAGAATACACACTATGACGACCCGGCGAAATTAGAATCACCGAGACGGGGCACAAGATATTGCGCCCTCCCTACCGTGCAATCACTCAGACACGCGGCTTTAGTGCAGATTTAAGATTTAGATCCAGTGTTCAATCTACTAAGAAAAGCATCCAGGGCGTCTTCTTCTATTGCGTACTCCGGGTCCTCACTGCCTTCAAATTCCGAAAACTCGTCCAGCAACTTTCTCGCTCTTCGAGCACACCACCTGTCAATCTCCTCGAAAAACCGACGAGAGGGTGTAGAGGCAATCCTCGCCTGCCTGATGTACTCTTTTCGAAGTACATCAACTAGCCATCCTGAAACCTCTTGACTGCCCTCGTCTTGGTTAACGCGGCGAAATCGAATCGTGGATTCATCAATGGTACCGCTTCGAGAATCGCCAGTTAACCAGGCCGCGTGCCATGCCCATATTGCATTTCCAGTGTTGATGCACTTGCGGATTAGTGTATGAAGTTGGAATGTCAGATTGGACGGAGAAAGATACTTGCTGGCTGCTACTAAGGTTGCGGATGCAAGTTTAACCGCATCATTCGCATTCTGTATCCATGAAGACTTCCCAACGCTTTGGGAATGAACCGTGGAATATTGCGCTAAGAACGGCGGAAGCATCTCTGTGTAGAAGTAATGTAGCAAGACGTATGAAACTAAATACGGCTCATCCAGGCGGACTTCCTTTTTGCTAGATTCTGCGAGCCCACTTTGGAACAACGAGCGGAAAAAGGATGACCGTGCAGAAAGGATGAGGGAGTGAGCGTACAAGGGGGGAGACGACGCAGTTGAGCAGATGATTGTAGTATCAGTGTAGAGTGGTCGACGGTCCAATGCGGTGGGAGATTCTATGGGGTGCCACAATTGCGGAGCATGCACTGCAAACGAACAAAGACTAGGTATTGTTGGATGTCTCTCCAGGCAACTCCTGGCTCTGTCGTCACTGGAGCTATGTAGGATTCGCGCGAGAGGAAGCAACACTGCGTTATATGATGCTTCAGACTCAACGCGCCCAACATTTGACGTATGTCCGACCTCACGAGAGTCGGTAGAGAGGATCATTAAAAGCTTCTCGCTTCCACTAGACATCAATGCTGGATCGTCGTCCAGAGGATCAAATACGAGATGACTGTCGAGGACTCCGAACCATACCCACTTCCGATTCGAGTTCGTCGCCAATGGATCTGCCGAAGAAACCTGGGAAAGTACGGAGTATTGCACGCACGTCGTCCAACCAGGATCAAAATGGAAAGAAACAAGAATCCCACTCGTGCTAGCCATTTCGGAAGTCAAATTATGGACGTGTGGTATCTCATTAGGATCGACAGCACACCCGAAGACGAAAATGATGCTCCCGTCACGAGCCAGCCACAAGGGCCTGTTAAAGGGCAGGAATGGGCCTATGGGAAGTACGAGACTACTCCAGAGCCGGTCGTCATCCTCGTCATGTCCCTCACTTGTCGTACGAGAAGGTAAACCCAGGCAGTCTATGTCGGATAATCCAGATTTCTTCAAGGCGGCACGGACGTCGATGACAAATGGCGTAGAGCTCCACAAACCCCGTGAATCCCTGCCACCAATGACCAAGATACGGGGGGAACTCCCAGGAAGTAGGACAGCGGAATGGTGATAACGCGACACAAGCGGTAGAGAGCTCCATTCAAGCCTTCGAAGATTCAGGATATTGAGATCTGAGAGTACATATGTGCCTTTTTTAGGGATTAGTAGCATTACTGATATCGATAGGGTCAGGAACAGTTACTCACGACCTTCGTTGCCTCGTGTATGGTGGATACCGCCGACGACAAAGAGGTATGGTTCATTATCCACGTTCACGAAAGTCGCAGTATGGTACGATCGGGGCGTTGGTGTCACTACGAATGGTGAGGGTTCCGGAGACTTATATAACCACGATGATTCGTCCAAAGAATAGACGTGCGCTGTGTGACCAGGCAAGTAGCAATCGTCGTAACCGCCTGCAAAGCCGTCGTCAGCGAATGCCTTATATCCTGAGATATGCCTTCTACCATAGATTACAATGTATTCGTGCTGCTCAAACTCATAATAAGTGGAGGAGTGAGCGTGGCGTGATCCAGGCGCAAGTTCCCTTCCTTCCTTGATGAGGATTAAAAGCTTCTTCACCTGAAATACAATAGCAGTGCACTACTCACGCTCTGCACAACGCACCATTCCTCTTCTACCCAATCGAGAGCGAAGAAGTCTTCATGTTGCCCCTCTGCCCCCCAAACATACAATACGCGGCCATGTTTCGGTCCTACCTGGGTGAAGGTGGGGCGAGAAAGAGTAGGGGAATCTTGTAGGCTAAGAACCCCGTAAATATATTGTGAAAGTGGTATAGACGAGGGGCCGACTTTGAGTGACAACATCCATTCTATAGACAAGATGCTATAGCGGAACGGGCTTGGACGTCGGACACAAGTTGTGGATGGTTGCCTCGGTGTCAACAAACCCGGCTAATTCCCACGCTTGAAGAATGGGTATTACGCTGACAACAAGCCGGGAATTATGCAGCTGGCCGGCGCAAGCAAGAACAATGTCTTCCGTGAGAGGGCGGACACGTTCATTTCTCATCCTGAGTCTATACTAGTCTCCAGCGATAGGGACACACCAAATAAAAATTGATGCGCCTTCCAATTTAGGAAATACCAAAGTCCTTACATATTTGGAATTAGTGTGGAGCCCCTGCCCTTCAACCACAATATTCTGACATCTTCGAAGCGTTCGCAGAATAACCCACGATGCCCAAAAGAACATCCGACGTGATTGATATTTCTTCTGACGCGGAAACCGACGAACGGCCCGCGCCTGCCAAGAAAATTGCGCGGGTTTTGAAAGACTCGGACGCGTCGTCGTCGAGCAAGCCGGCTTTATCCAAGAAGGAGCTCAAGGAGATGGAAAAGAGTGCTGAACGTGAGGCTGAGCTAGCTAGGTTTGAGGAGGAAGTAGACTCGGTACGTCATTTTGGGGGCAGGGGAGAGGTCAAAATCTAGTAGGCCCCCAATAATTTACTTAGAACAAATTGCCGACTATTTGGCATGCGATCATAGTGATGACTGCAACGACATTCGTCGCAAAATCAAACAACTCCTCACTAATCCCGGTTTCAAAGTCAGTTACTGTATCCGCTGGGGGGTCAAATCAACTCAATCGTACCCCCTCGTCTAGATTACTCACTGGCTTAAGGAAATTGGTGACATCAACAACAATTCGTATCAAAGATTCATGAAGGAAAAAGGGCCAACAGGGGGTGCAGCTAATGGGACGTAAGCAATGCTTCGGTTTCATAGGTACTGCCGCTCTCCGAGATTAATTTTCTCCATCTTTTAGGTATGAAGCTGCTTACATTTACTTCGAAACGAAGCGCATCATGGAGGGAAAAAAGAAAACGGCGAAACGAGAGGCGAATGAAGCGGCTTATGGTTTTGGAATGCCCCGAGAGGACAGAAAGCGTGGTTGGGTCCTTACAAGCTTAAGGGGAGTTTTGTGGCCCCCTGCCCCCCACTGCTTTCGTGCGGATAGTAATGCAGGGCCATGTATATACCACTGAAGATTTAAAGCAGTGCTACATTTCCATATCAGAATGATGGTCCAAATGACACTTCTTATAACGTTTTTATTTTTTTTTTTTTTTTTTCTAAAAAAAATAAAAAAAAAAAAAATATTTTCATACAACCTTATATCCGGGTTATTTGACTATGGTGGAAGTGTCTTTCAGCGTTATCTGGTCCAGATGGTCCCAATGACACAATCCCAAAGTTCACGCTTCCTCAACTTTATCATGATGATCACCTCGAGAATCGTGGAACCAGCTGATAATTCTGTCATACCAACCGCTGGCGACAACCTATTGGTTGGATTACATGAAGGACTGACTCCGATTGAGGAACCACTAAAAGGTCGCATAGAGAGGGTCGATTCCTTTCTCAACATAACAAAAAGCGTTTCGCTAGCTCTCAAATCCCCAAGACCCAGGCGCCAATCTCGTTAGCTTCAGTATCCAAATTTCCGCAAACGATGGCGCTTATATTAAGAGTGAAGTCGTAAGACGAAGTTGACAAGTGGAGTTTTAAGGATAAAAAAAAATAAGCGAGTCGCGACGGCGAAGTGGTCAGCGAAGAGAGATAAGCACTACGTACTATATGCCGGACCTAGGCATCGGACTCTAACACGAAATCAGCATTGTCGATTCAGTATACAAGTCATCGAAAGGGATAGAGGAGGGGGAGGGGGATAGTACACGGTTACGTTGCGAGTGTCCGAGAGAGAACGAGATGCAGTTGCACGAAGGGAGGAAGGAAAGAAACGAGACGAACTAGACGACAAGCCTACCAGTCTAGGCCGTTAGTTATACGAAAAACGAACCTCGACAATGAATCCAATCCACTACGCCAGGGTCTAGCCTAGATATCAGGGTCGTCAGTTATACGAGGGGCAAAACAAAAGAGACAAACCTGAACAACGGGTCACTATCCAGGGCCTAGACGTCAAATGCGTCAGTTATGCGAAGAGATAAGAAGGAAAGAGAGACGAACCTAAACAGCAGTTCGCCAGTCAAGCACCCGTCGACACTGACAGCGAACCATAGATAAGGAGCAAGACAGAAAGAGAAGGGTGCGACGGAAGGAGAAGAAGTCACATAGGTAGAAGCTAGAAGAAAAGGGACGAGACCGCCTCGCCAGCGTCCCCGGTGTCGTCGTGTATCGATGTCGCGACTAGACCGGGGTAAGGTCGGGGATCGGGTAGAGGTAGGAATTGGGGAAGGCCTTCTTGATACGCTCATCGAGGAAGTAGTATGGCGACACATAGGTAACGTCAGTAGAGTTGTTCCAGCCGGCACCGCCGGTGAGCATGCCGACGATGCGACTGTTGGCGTCACCGACGACAGACCCAGAGTCCCCGGAGGCGGAGAAAGCGCCATCCTTGTGACTGTAGGAGTAGACAGCGATCTCCATAGATGTCGAGTGAATGGCGTAATCCTTGTATTCACGAACGAACGATTCGATGCCGGTCGCACGACCGAGGGTAACAGCGGTGGTGGCACCGTTCTTAACGACGATAAAACAGTGTTCTCCATTTGCGTCGAGCATGGTTGGGTGGCGCAGCTCGCCATCTTTGACGAAGTCTCGAAGCTGCATGAGGCCGCCACGCGGATACTTGAAATCGGCACGGGTCTCAGCGTGAGGATACATCTTCTTCATGAATTGGCCGGCCGTAAGTTTGGTTCCTGGATATAATAGTTAGACTAGACGAGTTCAGTGAGATAGATCGAAACGTACCGAGATGAATGACGTTGCTCCGGAAAACGTTCCAGTTGAACTTCCTGCGGTCGAGCTCAACGAGAGCCCAGTCTTCCGTAAATTGTTTGTCGCCAGTACCAACAGAAATGGGAGGGGCATAGAGGACATGTCCCAGGATGCGCTGGCTCTCTGCGCTCCAGAACTTAGTGACGTTACCGTAGAACTCGTACCCGCTCGCCTTCGACGCCTCCGCCTTTGCCAACCTGTCCTCAAACTCCTTCCGGCTAGTGGTTGTCTTAGCGTCCTCGCCCTCGACGGCCTCTCCCAGACCCTCAAGCTCGTCCTTGTAGCTGTCGATCATGATATCCTCGTGGCCAATCTTGTCCATGATGGTCTCGAGAGCGTTCTGGAAAGCCCTGTTACCGAGGTGGATGATCTCGCGACGAGGCATGCTGTTGTTCTTGCAGTTGTAGAGCTCGTTAGGATACTGGCTGGGCGGGAGAGCAACATGGCGGGCGGTAAGGAGGAAGACCCGATCGCTCCCGCCGCCTTCGCAGAGATAGAGACAGCCGGTCCCTTCGAAGTAAGGGAAGGCCTTGGCAGCGATCTGGAGACCGAGTGCCGGAGTGAATGGACCGCGTACGTCGGCTATTGGGTCAACGAAGGGGACGTGGTCGAGGAGCTGTGGTCCGGCGAACCGGGTGAAGATGGACTCGCGGAACGCGATTTCGACGTCGATGATTTCATACTCCAAGAGAATCTCCTTGCAACGCACGGCCGCGTCCTCGGCGTCATTGGGGGAGAGAGTCCCGGGCATGACGCCCACCCAGAGGAAAAGGGGACCGGGTTCCTTTTCAGCTTCAGCAAAGCGGACGGGGTCAATACTCGTCCATTTAAGCTCACGAGAATCAAAGTACTTGTAGATCCGTTCGCCTAGTTGGTGCCACACGGGTACGATCGTGTGGGTGCAGACAGGTCTAGCCTCCTTGGGGACACGCTGGGCCCGGGGGCCGGTAGGCAGCGGCCAGGCGGGCCCCGTGTGGTAGATGGAGAGGGGGTTGGAGGGGAGGCCCCAGAAGTCGTTGTGGGCCTTGTCCAAGGGCGAACGAGAGCGAATGGCTACGGGATCATTCCCGATATCGAGCTCAGCAGCCGCAGTGGTGGTGGAGGAGACGGCGAGGTTTCGCTGGGTGATAACCTCTGGAAGCTTCGCGGCCCACATCTCCTAGCGGGTTGTTTCTGTCTTCGCGGGTCAAAGGCTAAGAAGTATCATACGTCTGCCAACTCTATGTCGGCTATCTTGGACGTGGTTGGACGTCCTACAGAGGTGATTGTAAGGTGCAAAGTGGGCTGGCGTTGTTGTAGTTCGGTTTGGAGTTTTGGAGCGTCGCTAGGTCGGCGTGCGCTCAAAAATAGCTCAAAAGTTGCCGTTCCTATGAGTCGTTCCTGGATTTCTTTTGATGAAATCAAATCTGCTGGAATCGTTGGTGGGCTCAGCAAGAGGTGGACTGAATACAGCACATGATGATCCACACATCAATGAGTTGAGGTCTCGCTGCCAAACCAGCAATGCTTATGGAACATTCACGCTTCACTATTACTACTTCCGTGCGCCGCAGCGCAATGTCGTGAATAAATTACTCCTGCATCATGGCCACAGGGCAAGCGCTAACATAGGCAGGATCCCAGTGTCACGAACCCTCGCGGTAAAGAACGTGGGAACGGAAATGGAAATGAGAACACGTAAAACGTTCGGGGTCACGGCTTATGTAACTTCTTAAAGTGGACAACCGCCTTAAACTTTCATGACACGATATGACATGCAAGGCGTCCACAGAAACCTCAGATTGCCTTCGCTAAATGCGACTCTTGGTCGTAACCTTACTAGTCTATCACATGCTGAGAATTGTCAGTGTTGTAGCTAGTGGTTCAATCAGACAGCAAGTGTTGAGCAATGTAATTGAAGGATGTTTTCCGCTTGTACATGATGCCCTCTCCGATTTTGCCACGTACGGCATGAGAAATCTATTGATATCCCTGGGTCTGCAGCATCCGGCTGCATCTCGGTTCAACATCGGTGAACCGGCGACTCCGCACTTGGAAACAAGTGCGGAGTTTCGCGGTGCAAGAGATGCCGCTTCGTACGCTTGTAGAAGCCTCAGTGGCGCCTCTTGATCTCCAGGGGTGAAAAGCTGGTGAGGCCCGCCTCGAACCCCTGCTACTCCGTCCGATTGAACTGCGACGGGTTGGTTTCATGAAATGGATGCTTGTCACTTTGTCAACTTGCCTGTCGCTGGGTAAACACCGGCTGTTTCTTCGGAGGGATGGCGACCTCATCTGTTGTCTGGGTAAACTGTTAAAGTGGCGTTCTATTTCTGAGAAGGTTATCAACAGAGTAAGCCATTCCCCCATTCTAATTCACCGCAAAGGCAAAGGGACCAACAACTCAATATAAAGTGTTATCATCTGGAAGGGCGCCGCTTGGTTCAATTGTAGCAAATACTGCTCAAGGTCCTACACGGGCAGGAGCCGCATGTTGCGTTGATAGGGTACAGGCCGAGAAATCAATGTGGCAGGGGAGGCGATCGCAGCTGGAAGGGCCCTAGGAAAAAAGGTTCCCAATTTTTTCTCGGAAATACTGGGACCAAAGTCCCGAAGCTGGACCGAACCATCCACCCTGCAACAAAATTGTCGGTTGTGATAGTACATAAATACCTTAGAACAATGTACCCCGGTCGGGAGAATTACCTCTACCAACATCATATCAAGTACGATGGTAGGCTTTGCCTTAGCATTCCGTCGCCACTCAAGCCCATGTATCCCCTTAATTTATAGGCATTCGACCTCATCCCCTTCAAAGAGTCGTGGGTTGTTGGTCCACAAGACACTGAATTCTACACACGCACTTACGACGTCCACCCAGCTTTACCTCGCCCTCAAGCACATATCATTTACGTGCATGGACACTCCGAACACATTGGAAGATATGAACTCACTTTCCCTCAGTGGACTGCGAGGGGCATCTCTGTCTTTGCTTTCGATCAGAGAGGGTTCGGGCGAACAGTGCACGATCGATGGCATAACGTGGCAACCAAGGGTGAAGAACTGAGCGAAGCACTGATCGAGGAACGGTATTCCGTTTCGAGCTGGGAGCAGCAAATGAACGACCTTGCGTTTTTCATTCGGCGTGAGAAGGACAGGGTTGGAGATGTCCCTGTTTTCCTCGTTGGCTATTCAATGGTGCGCACACAACATTGACTTCAAGGACTGGTGCCTGACCGATGTCCGACTTTCAGGGAGGTGGAGCGTCTCTTTCATTCCCTTGTAGACCTCACCCTCACGAGGGAATAGTCAAGTTAATTAAGGGAATCATTGCTGTTTCGCCATCGATTGGTCCCGGCATAAAGCAGGGACTCCTCACAGCTCCCGATCAAGGCGACACCATGGACATAAACTGGGGGCTCCTTTCACAGGTTCATTCAAGATTCTTTGACAGAACTCGTGCGTTTATACTGACACCAGACTTAGTTCCTATCAAAAGATAACCGAGTGTCCTTGGCTGTCCGAGCGGATCCGTTTATAAAATCGGTTTGCCATGCAGGCCTTGCGAAGGATATCTGGGACAATGTAATGCCGTCTGGTAGAAGGAAGACACTTTCCTGAACGATTTTATACAGGGCGCTCAATTATTGGGCAAGCACTATGACAGATGGCCTGAGGACCTTCCTGTTCTCGTTGTCCACGGAAGTGGTGACATCGTAGGGACAAATTTCGTGCCGTCATGATATTTCTTATTGAGTTTGGGCGATTTGATCAGATCACCTCTTACGCAGATTCCAAGGCATTTATCGAAAAACTCAGGGCGAGCGATAAGCGCTATTCCTTGATTCCCGTGGGTGGCAATGTTGTGTTTTTCATCCATTTTGATAATTTCTCGTCAACTTAGGGCGGTTTCCACGAGTTACATCATGAACCGGATGGCGTAGGAACGAACTTTATCAACGAGTGCATAACCTGGGTGATCACTCATGCATAAAGCTCTTGTGCCTTAGGTAAGAATCGCGTGTGGTTGTGATTGCACCGGTTGACAAGTGAGGGTTTTCGTGGTTCGATGGCAAAGAGCCTCTTCATGATGGAAATAGCTGTGATATCGCACTTCGGAATAACCATGGACTCTGGCCCCTGATGTGACTGGTTCTGGACACCACTAGATGAAGACGACTTTTAGTGTGATTATTTGTGGCGCAGGATTGAGATGCTGAAATGGGACGTGAGAAGCGAAATTATGAGTTCCCTGGTGGATTTGAACACCTTGTTAGCGGCTTCACGCGCACGGAATACGGTTTTGTCTATCACTGTTCCCTTGACGATCTTGCTCACCTCCTTCCGTGAACACCCGCTAGCCTCTCGCGCTGCTCTGTCATGCTCTACAAATTTCATGGATCATCACATTACCGAGAACGTGAATAATGCTGTGGGGGGGGGGGGGGGGGTTGCACCTAGGATAGAGTGCCCGATTGAAATTGCTTATATCTGAAGAACCCATCATAGAGGAAAAGAAACCCTGTTCTTTTGTAGTTCTAACTTTTCTCGTGTCTGCGTTACTGCCTGTGTGCTAATCACAATTCGGGACCATGTATGATATTGACTACTAAGGATTTACAACGATGCTACGTTCTGCATTGTGATTAATGATGGTCGGGATGATGTAATTGGTGTCTTCAAGTTTCCCCTAGGCGAAAAGTCCATCAGGAACACGCCTTGGTTCCCACACCCCAGATTCTCGACCCTTCTAGCGCCAAGTTGTAAGTCGGCGACCAATTTGACTGTGGGGGAAATACGCTCCAACTGCCTCCGGCGTGTTGACGTAGCAACCCGACGTGGCGCAGCAACAAGGATGGGCCACTAGGCACCTTATTGCCGACGTGGCGCACTGAGTCACACATATTGCGACTACCCGCACTGGCGGCAGGATGGACACTATTATCTCTCTAACCTCATGTTGCGCGCCACTTTGTATTTCTTTTATCTTGATTGGCCACCCGAACATGTATATGATGTCCGCGACTTGGCCAGAACACGATATCTAACTATCGGATTGATATCGCGTTCAGACACCTGCCGGCTGATAACAGGTTATTAGCCCAAGTCACTCTACCACAGCACAAAGCGAAAGCGAAAAGCATACACTAGGCACCGCTGAACTCTTGTCTAAAAAGGACTGTCACGTTCTGACTTGCCGCCTCTGCCCTGTTCTGGATTAGCACCGAAGAACTGACATGACCTCCACTGCCTCCCTACCCAAAGATTCTGCTATCGACAAAGCTGTCCTTGCCATCCCCAAACTTAAGGGATGCGAAGATTGGTGCATATGGGCAGGTAACCTTGAGGTAGTGTCACGACCATGCATCCCGGCCCGTTAGCCGCCCGTCCCGATGCTGCCCGAGCCTATTCCCGCTGTGCGAGCGCGAGCGCGAGCCCCGACCTCAGCCCTATCCTCCCTGAGGGCCTCCCTGCTCACTCCCCCACTTGCCCCTAGGCTCCCCTACACTTGGCCGACTCCCCCACAGCCACACCGACCTCCCTGCCCCGAGTCCGCCTCTGGTACCGACCTAGCGTGACTCCACGACATCGCCTACTCCGCTATGATACCATCGCCGCTATCGCGGCCCTACACCCCTTCGTTTATTTATCTGTTATTGTTTGTTTTGACCCTCGGTCATTGCCGGCCGCAGTGCGGCCAACCCCGCTCTTTGTCCTATTTGCTTCCGGACCCTTCGGCCTTCGGCCCGGGTCCGCTTCTATTCATTCCACCTTCATATATATATCCTGTATACTACATTATAGTACCTTAGCTCTAATATCGACTTGACCACGACCCCAAGCCCTGACCCCAACAAGGCAGCCCCAGTAAGTTTGAAGTGAGGGCCAAGAGACAACTAGGGGGCACAGCACTCCCTTTAGAGTTGCTGAGGCCAAATGCCCTACCCTCGGGCCTTGTCTGAGGCATCGCGGCCATCGCGGCCCTTAGCGGTCCGCATCGGCGACCTTCGGTGCCCGACCCCGGATCAGTATCTAACAGGTAGCTCTTGATCACACCTGGGACCACATCGAAGGAAAAAATGTTACAGCACCTGATGACTCTAAACCCAAACACCAGGCTTGGGTAATCGGTGACTGAAACACATGCCAAAGGATCTGGCTCTCTCTCAGTGAGCCTGTCCAACATATTGTCTTTGTCAGAAACGGTATTTGAGGGGATTGTGGGAAGCGGAGTGGAGTGCAGCGGCATGAGTGGGCACTTAGCTAATGTGCAACTCTGTTGCAAGGCATCTTGGGAGATGGGACTTCGGCTTCAACGACTCAACTGGAGCATTGTGCCACGCATTATAGGCTGTCCCATATTTCAGGTTAGCGGGAGGACCTTGTGGCGACGTTTACTCAGGCAAAGATGAAACTTAGAGGTGGACTTAGAGATGAGAGGACTTGGGGGATTTCTAGTCGATATTCGAACTGAGGTACATTGATGGTAAACTACAAGTATAAATATGAAAGGAGAACAAAGAAGGGACCGGTCAGTCCGGCATGGGACAGGAGCGGAATGGTAAGTGCAACAAAACTAAATGAGCAATAAGGACCAGGGAAATGGAACAGAAGGAATGAATGGGAGTGAAGAGTGAATGGACAAAGGATGGCAAAGTTGGGAGGCAGACTGAATAGGGCCGACAATCTAGGTGCCAATATAGTGGCAGATCAAAATGTCAATATACGAATAAATCAAATGTCAATGTAGGAGCAGATCAGCGGTGACAATATCGACCACTAGTAAGTTAAGCGAATGAATAAGAATAAAATGGTATACTTGGCCATGAGTGAATCGGGTGCAGCTGAATGGCTGAGGAACTAAAGTGGTGGCAGGAAAGGAGGAGGCGCCGCTACAGGGCCATGGACAGGAACCACTATCGGTGCTGCTAAGTGATGGACAATGGTGCAATTAATGGGTGCGAATAATGGGCGCAAGAATGGTGGTGGGGGTACAGGTGGTAGAAGGACAGGGACTTTGTGGGGCTGTGACAGTCTTCCACCATATCAAAAGTCCTGCCATGGTGCTATTTGGAGCCCTCAAGAACGCATATGAACATACAGGAGCCTCAGCTGAATTCTATGCCAGACAAGAATACGACAACACGAAAATCAATGACTACAACACCATCTCAGACTACCTGACAGGCTGTCAGGGCACGCTGCCTCCTTCCCTTTCTCCTTTCTTTCTTTCTTTCTCCATATGGATGACCTTCTCCTTTACACCTGTAGCCCGGACGCATCTGACGCCGGGTACCCCACATGGGTACCACACCGCCAGACATGCCGTGCACCTCTACTTGTATTTCTCTTCTCTGACACTTGGGATCACCTGCGGAGCCACCTGCGGAGCCACCTGCGACAGCCTGGCTCCATCCAGGGGTGATGTGGCATCCTCACATGACTGATTCCCACTTGTATATAAACCAAGCTGAAGCAGAACTGAAGAAGCAACCTTCTTCTCACTTTCTGCTTCAGGCAAGTACCCTAACCTAGTTTAGCCTTTCATCTTAATAACAATACACTTTCTGCTTCAGCCTAAGAAGCCATGGAGGGATGCATGCCTGAGGGAGGGCTATCCGCTATACTGCCCTGCTACTCTGCTACCGCCCAAGCCGCTAGCGCTGGGCACTACACCGCTGCCCCTACCTCTCCTGCACTGTCCCTGACAGCAGAAGAAGGTTTCAACCTAATCTCCCCTGCCTCCTCCAGCATGGTAACCGAAGAGCAGTACCAGGATCTCCTGGCCAGGTTCCAGGAACTGCAGGCCATCCTTGAGAGCCAAATCCAAAACCCACCTGCACCCACACCCGCACCCACACCCATGGCCGCACCTAAGCCTAAAGCACCCAAGGTCGCCCCCCTACCGCCTTCGCCGGCATGAGCAAAGACCTTGACCGCTTTAAGGCAGAATGCGGGATTTATTTCCACATCCATGCAGCAGAGTTCCCTGACACCCTATCTCAGATCCTCTTTGTCCTATCATACATGAAGGGAGGAGCTGTGGGAGCATGGGCGACACAGTGAACAATCACGCTGCTGACAGCGGGATCTCCTGCAATCACTATGGACAACTTTATGGCAGAGCTCGACGCCATGTTCCAAGATCCAAACCGCGAAGCCACCACCCAACAGAAGCTCGCTGCCCTGTGGCAAGGTACCGACTCCATGGATAAGATCATCCAGGAGTTCGAGATCCATGGTTGTCAGGGCACACACCCTGACTAGCCCGGACCCGGACCCGCGTCCGGACCCGCTTCCACCTGCCATGCTTCCTGCATGCATGCACGCTCCGGGCGCCGCATGCTCCGGGCCCGGTTCCTACCCCTTCATGTGACTTCCGGGTATCCCCGGAAGTTTTGCTGATATTGTGGCCACTGTGGGAAGATGAGAAGTTAGCTTCCTTCTCATCTCCTTACCCACAGTAGGCAAGTGTATTCTACATTGCCTTTATCTATTCATCTTCTTACCCACAGTAGGATTGTGCCCTGGATAGGGCTGGCCAGACCAGAGACTGTGGACCATAGGGGAGGGTCATGGGACCCGGGAGTCGTCCCCTGACAATGGTCCTGCCTCGCAGCTAGGTGACGTAGGACTGGTGGACTGCTTCGAGCAAGTGATTAATGCGTGCCTCTGTGAAAGCATCTACTGCCTGCGCCCCATGCCCAGGACCTGGGCAGAATGGAAGCAAGAAGCTACCCTCCTTGACAACCAATGGCAGTGCTTCCAGGTGACGCAGTCCCAACCCCCCTGTTTAAGCTGCCCCCTCCCTCCACAAGGCCGCAACTGCCAACCCCCCCAGCCCTTCACGTGCGCCCACCACCTGGACCACCCCCACGGTTCGCCACCGCCCCTGCTGCCACCGTGACTATGGCCCCACGCCCTCCAGCCCCACGCCCTCAGCCAATGGAGCTCGACCGCTCAAGGGCAGACCAACGATGAGGGCTGTGCCATAACTGCAACGCCCCCGGGCACTTCACATGGGACTGCCCCCTCCCCAAGGTCCACTGAGTGCACCACATGCACCTGGAGGACCTTCAAGCGCTTGCAGAGGGGCTGAGGAGCCAACTGATGGGGACACCCAAGGGGGATGAGGAGA